TATCATTCCCCATGTTGTTGAGCTGCTCTTTTATTTGATTTATTTTTCCCTCAACTCTTAACAAACCCTTTCTGATATGATTTACAAAATCAGTTACCAAACTTAGTTATTAACCCATTTCGCTGACATTTTAAATGTATTCATCCAAATACTGAGTTGTTTCATCCATTTCTTTCAATTATAGCTCTCTTTTGTTAAGATTTGCCTCTTGGGTAATTTATTCTTACAATTCATCAATTCTCTTCAGCATTTTTTACATCTCTCCTGCAATTCTATCGTGTTGTGTCTACCAATCTTTAGACAAAATTTCCATCTATAAACTTATTAAGTGTTTATTTTTCAATAAATTTCTAACTCTTTAGTCTTTTTCTAAAACCCATAATTAAATGAGAGTTTTTTAACAAAATCGAGTAATTGTTTCTGTAAAGCTATTCTACGAAATCTAAATTATAGTTAATACTAAACCCTATTTAATTTTCCATTCATCATTTTTTTATTAATCAATAGAGAATTAATCCTATTGATTTGATTTGACTTCATATTCCTCATCGTTTTCTTGTAGGTATATTTTTTTAGTTAATTGAACTAGTTATTCTTGATTAAATTAAATTTCCTGAAAATCCCACTTAGAAATTTTTAAAGTTTCTTTTGTTTCAGCCATTAACTTATAGAGAAAATCAACAATATTCGTTGATTAACTATTATTTTTGTTTGATTATTTTTCACTCTACAATGTGTCGATTTAAATTCTTGAAAAGTATTCTTTAATTGATTCTTTTTCCTATTATTGTAAATTAGCAGTTGTGTATAACGATTCCTTAAAGTTGTCTGTATGTTTTGAAAAACAACTTTAAAAACTTGTATACAATTACAGGTAATATTTTTGGGAAACATCAAGGCTTTTAGTAAAAAGTTTAACATTTTCAACTAATTAGGCCAATTTTTGCTTCTCTTATCTTATCTTAATTAATAATAATTATAGAATATTAATAATGATTGATAAATTTGTTCTAATTTTATTTTGGTCATTATTTTCATCCTCTACAATTTTATTATTTAATTAATTGAGTTACCCAGCTCTATTGTTTTAATCATCATATTTTGTTTTAAATTCATGAAATTTTTGTTTTAAATCTTTTACTGTTTCAATTATAGGCATTTGAAAAAATTATCGATCTTGGTTAATTGAAGCTTTCAATAATTTTATAATAATTTAAATCTGGCTGATTAATATTTTAAGTTATTCAACCACTTCACAATTATCATAGTATTTAATTTTTTTTAATTCTTACAACAACTCCTCATACTTTTCTCTCTCCAAATTCAGTTAACTTTGATTAAGATTTTCATTCTCGATAATTTTTAATGAAAAATCTATTGAAAAATCTTTTATAATTTTCATAATTCTTTCAGTAAGAGTTAAAGGACCAGTTTCTTCTCTTACTAATTCTCCAAATTCCTTTTAAATTAATTCTAAATCTATTCTTTCCATTTCAATAATTTACTCTTCTAGAGTTAATTTAAATATAAGATAATCTAAAATTCCTTTTTATATTGCTAAATTATTTTAATAGTCTTGTTCAGTAATTTATAAGTTACTTACTTCTGTAAAAGTTTATTTATAAAATGAACTGTCACATTAAATTATTCGTTTTGGATAATTCTTAACTACATCAAATAGAAACTCATCCAAATTGATAAAATCTCTTAACTTGAAAAAATTTTCTGATGGTATTGCTAATACATTTTACAAGCATTATTTATAAGCAATTAATTGCAATTTAAACTTTAAAATGTTCAATCTTTATTAGTGTATACATTAGGATGAAAGCTTTTAAGAATATTGTTATTAAATTTCTTTTATTTTTTCAGATTTAGAAACAGACTCTATTTCATATTGTAAAATTAGAAATGTTTTAAAACTTAAATTTAATTCATTAAAGTAATTTTGAAGCTCTTAGACCTTTTGTTCATAATAACAATTTAGGTTACTCAATAAAATTATAAAGTATTGAATTAAGTTATCATTTTGAAGTAAAGAGATTTCTAGCTCTAAGACTTATTTTTCAGTTTGTTCAATTATGTTTAAGATACATTGAGCATCTTTCAAAAATTTTTTCTTGTTAAGGGTTGCACTAGTTAAGGCAAGTAACTTTTACTTAATCTTATTCACAAATGAAAATTATTTATCTGTTAGATTTAAATTTGATAATTCCTTTTAAATCTAATCTATCTCTTACTAAAGTATTTAGCTTTCATCCAATTCATTTCTATTATCTTTAATATCTTAAATTGCTTATGATAATATTTATTCTAAAAGTCTCATAATATATTTAAATTATTAAAAAAATTTGATTTCATTAATCTTTTTCTATTCAAGTTATTCTATTTCACAATATTATTTCCTTTAACTAAGCTTAATAACTTTAATGATTTTGAGAGTATTTTGGAAATATTCTTTAAAGTTTAGATTAATTTTTTTTAATTATGAATTATGGGCAGCTTATTCTATTGTGACATTAAAACACTTATTTTATTTGATAAAATTTTTATAAAATTTAACTATGACTCCCAATCTCTCATAATTTTCTTAAATTAAAGCTAGTAATTTATTAGAAATGATGAAATCAAAAAATTGTGAAATTTTGCAAACTGCCTAAAGATATTCATTTTTTTAGGTTTCCTTAATATCTAACTTTAATTTTAAATAAGAACCAAATGTGAAATAGATATTATCATTTTTTTCATTCAGTAAGAAGTCTTTAAGCAACAATAAGTTTTCCCATTCTTTGAAAGTGTCTTCTAGTATTAATTTATCAATTTAAGTTAATTCTTTATTTTTAAACTAATTAAGTAAAATTAAAGCTTAGTCATTCCTATGATTCAATTGCATTAAAAATCCTTTGTTAAGATATTCCTTCCAAATGACCCTTGATTTTGCTTACAAATTGAAAGAGCTAGTCAGCTGGTTTAATTTTTGTTTTGTTATTAGTGGATGATAAATTATGATTTTTCCAATCATTTAAATCCACAAAAAATGATTTTTCCAATCACTCGAATTTTTGACAAGATTTTCATGTATTTTCTCAATTTGTAAAATTATTTCTTCTAAATTCTGTTAGTTGTCTAATTTAAAATTATTAATGATCTCCCATTACAACATATCTATTTAAAAATAATCTTCATATTATTTTCTATTTTTCTACACTGTATAATTATTGTAAAGCAGACAGGCTCCCTGAAACAATGATATAAACAATTCGATATTTGGTTTCAAATCAATTATTGAGTTAAAGATACCTTTTAAACAACCCTTTAAAATATCATCCCTTTCTTTACCATTATTTGGGGCCATCTGAAAAGAAGTTTTTGTTAGGAAAAGGTAAAGTTCCAATTATATTTGAATTAAATCATTTTTCTCTATTTCCATTTATTATCTTAATTCATCACAAATATCTACAAATTGCTGTTATGTATCACAGTTCATAAATCTCTTGTCATTTATCAAATGGAAGCTAAATATCACTTTAGATAGAGATGCTGTTGTCCTTAAGATGAATAAACATTTAAATGAATCCGTTCTGACGTAGATCAAACAACTTTTCAACAATTTTAGTATTCCATCTATAATCAAGTTGTATGATTTCATGACCTTTTAGGCATTCTTGATGAGTTTGTAAATGTTTTCCTCTTAAAAAATAAACCATTATATGGCTATCATTATTTCTTAAGCTTCTAATTAATTAGCAGCAACAGCTGCTTTAGTGTAAATTGTTTAGACAAAAGAATCAAATCTAGTAATGAAATTGTCTATATCTTAATAATCAGACTTTAAGTATGGTTCTGTGGTGGGAATTATTTTCGAAGACCCACAACCACCTCCACGTAATGGGGATGTTACTTTATTCAATAAGCCTGACATTTTTTGTAAAAAATTTAAATACTAAATCAACACCGGTATAAACATGTTTATAAACCTTCCCATCTTAAAGGAACCACCACAAAATGAAAAATAAAAACAAACCTTGAGTTCCATCCCAATTGAGGGAATATTTTGTTTAGGTATTTATTTAATTAAATTTAATGTTTATAAACTTACTATTATTAATACTAAAATAATTTTATAACAATTCATAATAATATTTTTTGTAATATAACATATAAATAATTAATTCTCTTATTTTTTACATTTTTTTATTATTTTCCCTAGACCAAAGTTCTCCTGTATTTTAGCTATTCTTAATACTTTTAATAAGAATTGACAGTAAATCCATATCAAGTTTTTTCTTTTGTAGGAGAAGGTTTCAAAATCTGAGAAATTTAGCTCACTAATTATTGTATTTTCTTATGTAATCCATCTTCGTTTAGTATGAATATGCTAGTAAACAAATGGAATATGGATAAGTAAAAAAAGAGTTTATTTTTTAATGATTGAACTAAAATATTCCCTAAAAATTATTTTCCTTTTAAGTACTGAGTAATTTTTAGTTATCTCAACATAAAACTGAGATATTAAATATTATTTTTTCTAAAGAAAAGTCTTTATTGTTGGCAAAACCTTATGAAAATAAATTAGAAATACTATTATTTTCCCCTCTATATGATTTAAATATTTAATTTATGATATGAAGATGAAAATCAAGCCATAAATCGAAAAAACCTAGTGAAATAACTGACAAGGTATAAGTTGTTCCATTATTTCTGCAATTTAAATTTTTTGGATGGACACATTTTGAAATGTGTCATTGTTCCTGGGTAAGCAGCAGAATATATTCCAATTTAAAGTACACAAACAGTATATGAAGTTCCATCAAAGCTTGGAATTGGTTGACAATTAGTTCACAAGATGTTCCTGTTAAGTTTTCAGTCCATTTGCATGTTGGATTAGTTTTAAAAGCTAGCTTATCTTTCCTTGCTTCAGCGCATTCTGAGAAATTCTTGCAAATTTTATTCACTTTATGAGTTCAATAAGGAGTGAAAGCACAAACAGTAGATTATTTTCAATTCCACATTCCATTACAGGCAGTAATAGCATATAAAATGAGCAAGTAGCCTTAGGGATATATTTGCTCCATTTTACAGGATTTATTTCCTGTAGTAGTTCTAACTGGTAATGAGAATAAACATTTTCCCGCATTTCCATTGAAATATCCAGCTTCAATATAGCTTGAGCAAGTCGATTATGGAATGAATTTGGTTTTATCAGTTGTGCATGATCCTCCTATGACAGAGATAAGCTTGCATTAGTCATTTATACCCTTTTTTTGCTCAATTTTGGTACTATCCGAATTTCTAACATTTTCCAATAGGTAACCATCTATAAGCTCCATCAGTTCCAACAACACAAGAGGCCTTTAATTCAGTTGTGGCACCTGATGTAATTGGAGTGCATGCATCTCCCTAAGTTGCTCATAATAGTAAAAAGCTTAGCATTCAAGATGTGTCTTTTTCACTTCATCTTTACATACGTCATAATGATAACATTATCTATTAACCCAAAGGCATGGCCCAGCGTTGGATTTTACAGAATTATTTATTGGTGAATTCAGTTCATGAGGCTTCAGCAACACAACCTGATCCATTTTTTTTACATCCAGAAAGGAAAGGATTACATTTATAAACAGTTAAGCCATTTTTATCACTGCAAACTCTATCTCTGCATTTATTTGTTGCTTCATTCCAAGCGAATCTACCTACTCCATCTTTATGTGTTGAGTTAGCCAAGCAGACTGATTGAGTCTTGCTTGATGAACTTGTTGAAATAGTTATACAACTAGCTCCTTAAGTAGTACAATTTTCAAAAAAGTTGTAACATTAAGTATCTGAATTTATTGTTGATAGTTGATATTTTATAAGTTGAATTAAATTCTTACTAAACACAGAACTTGTCATTTACTTTAGAATTTTTACATTATGAGTAATTAGTAGTATTAAAAGTAGAACATAATCCACTAGCAGCTGGAAATTTATTAGACTATGTGCATTCTTCTCTTATCTGATATATCACTGCACTTCTTCTTATCACAATTTGATGGAGCCAATGCAGATGCTGTATTCCAACTTTATATCTTTTAGAAGATCCCTTGAATTCAGCAAAAGCTGCTTAATATCCCTTGAATGCAGTGCAGTGGGATTCTTATAAGTATCTAGTCCAATTTATTTTTTCAATAATTCACATGTATTTAGTTCCTCTGTAAGATTTGCATAGTTCTGTATTTGGAATAATAATTATCACATTCAGAATCTGTTTTTGCTATAATATTGTCATAACATTTTTTATTTGTACGTGCATATAATTGCAGCTGTGACTTGATCACAATAAACCTTCTCATTTCCACTTTAAGCAGTGATAAATTTATGTACATGCTATATCCTGATTATACAATTTTCCTTTGAGGTAAATACATGGCTTTCCTGGTTCTCCTAAATTTTAAGATATAGGATTTTATATATCTTAACATTCAAAGTCTCTACATCAGCAGCTGTGAACACATTTTATATTTCAAACATGTTAATTTTACTTAAACAATATGTTTATTTACCTGCATCATTAGTGGTTGGGAAAGCTGTATATTAAGTATTATAGTTGATACTACCATATATGTAATTATCGAAATCTCCTTGACTAGTAGGTGAAGGGAGATATGTACATGTTACATGTTGCATCACTATAAACTTTTGTGTAATTTTCAGCTGTATATTTACAGAATTTACTTCTATCTTTGTATGATTGGGCTAAATAATAAGAAGATTTTAATGCATCTAAACTTGTAGTATTTTAGCTATCCCAACTATCTGTGTAGGTATTGTAATAGCAGCGCAATTTGCATTAGCAGCTAATACACATTTAGCTTTATCACTTGCTTAGCTACAATAATCATTGGCTACTTTGATACTCCTACAATTTTGAGATTTTTAAGAATCTATTTTAATTTAGTTGGAATTTTGTAGGACAAGAACCAATTATAACAGTAGCATCATAATATAAACATCTCATTCTGCTAAACTTTCAGCTGGATAAATATCTGGATAAGCTGAAATGGTATCACATGAACTACCTGAAATAAACATACGTTTCTTATAGACTACTGCTCGTGTAGCAATTTTAGTTAAATCAGGAATAATCTTCAATCCCAAACATATGTCTTATTTTTTAGTTGTAGACAAAGTCGATTCAATTTTTTAGTCTATGTAAGCAGTTGATAACTTTAGACAAGTTAAATCTGATACTTTTTCACATTTTCGTGCAAATGTTAAGAGATTTTAATGATTACAAGTTTTGCATCCGGTTAAGTATTTAATTTTAACAACTATTCTATCAACTAAATATAGTATCGCCTGACATTAATTTACACCATTATCATTCACAAACTTTTGATATTGAATTAACTTAAGTGTATGCACAAACAGGTATAAGTGAATAACAATTAGTTTATGCTAACCTACATGCTTCATCAGATAAAATTTGGATATTCTGTTATAATTGAGTAGTGCATGATGATGTTGTATAGTTACTTAAGAATTAAGCACATGATCTACATGAACGATTTATTACTCCCACGTATAACCACATAATAATAAATTGTTATCTTTGATATTTGGACAATATTCAAACTACTACATGCTGCTTAATCAATTTATGGAGCTCCAGCCTTGAAGAGTTAAAGAATCTATAAGTGGATTTAAGATCATGACAAACTTAATCTGATAACGGTCAGTAACATTAGAATATTATCTTACCAAACATCATATTTTTTTCATCCAACCTTTGTCCAAAGTGATGAAAACTTATAAACAACTACTAAAATAAAGACAAGTAGTAACTGATCCTGGTATTTTAAACACGTTCTTCATAATTATAATGATTTTTCTAATTCAAAAAGGTTGACTTCTGTATCCAAAAGCTATGAAATAAAATAATTAAGTTATGATATTTAACTATCGATTTAATTATTACTATAAATTATTTTATTGTTGTTTTAGCATTATCTTCATTCTTTACTTATTTGAAGAGATATTCTAAAAAGGAATTTGACATAAATATAAAATTTGCATTCCTAAAAATGATATGAATATTTTCTCAAATGTATGTTTATAATATATATTAAAAATAATTAAATAGTCTAATTAATATGAATCCACTTAATATATAGAGTGAAAATAAGGAGTCTGAATTAAAAGAAGAATAAGCAGTTTAGAATGAGCAGGAAGAAGTTAGAACATTAACTAATTTAAGTATTGAGGACAAAATTAAATAAAAGAAGATTAATGATGATCATCTTGAGAGAAATAAAAAGAGATTAATTAGATAGTTTACAATTCTATTCATAATCACTTTATTTATAATATTAGAAAGAATTTTATATTCCATTATTGTAGGAGTTGAAAATGAACTTTTAAGTGACTTCTAGAGTTTATTCAATTTGAGAAAATCAAAATTAACTGAGTTTGATGAAATGGATTATTTTAATGATAATTTTTTATTTGATATGGCAGGAAGTGTCCATAGGAATGGAATATCTATAATGATCTTTACAAATTACTTTATTACTTTATATGTTGGATTCGATGCATTAATTGCTGTAAAAATATTATATACATCTTATTTGAGTGTGTTTATTGTAGCATTCTTATAATTGATATATTCAGATCCTAGACCATTTTGGGTTTATGAGAAAGTATCATTATTTATAATAATAAGTTAGTGACTTCCCTTTGTATACCAAGTTATGGAAATCCATCATCGTTTGTTTGTTAATTGACATTCACTTTATTTTATACCGTATATTGTTATAAGACTAAGAATCATACTAGATCATTTAAGACTTATGATTAGAAAATAGATAGAAAAGTAAAAATAGTTCAATTATGCATATCACTATTTGTTTTTCTGTATTCTATATTGTTATTTTTAATGGCTTTATAATATTTGATAAATATGATTTTGGGTTTGATTTATTGCTTTGTATTTTATGCATTTTATGTAACTTTTGAGAATTAGATCAATAATATAATTAAGCATTCTACTATAATGAATATTGTAATATAATATAATCAATAATATTAGGATTCAAAACGATATGTGTTTTATATATCATTTTTCTTATTGATAACAGAAACAATAGCAGCAATGTTAATATCAAATGAATATGAATTGGTTAATATTGAATGGGCAAATAATTTTATGAATTGTCTCTATATGACAGATATTAATGCAATGAAAATACCAGCATAATTGTTAATGGGACCACATTTTACATTCTAAAAAACGAGTGTGATATTTGCTTTGATTGGTGCCTTATTTGGAGTTTCACATTGTTTTAGACACATAAATTCACTTGAATGGTATAAAGGAGATAAGAGAAAAAGAATCTTAAGAATAATAGTAGCAAATCTATTTACAATACCTGGATGGATTTTTGCTTTGAATGTTGAATCAATAGCTTTGAATAGTAGAATGTATGAATGGGGAGCTTCATTCTTTTTAGTAAATAATTAATTTGATTGTTTATAGATGGAGAGTGTAGCATTTTTGTTGTTTTATTTCTTTATGTTTGCAATAATCCCATTGTATGTTTTCAAATATTTACATTTGAATGCTTCTAGTTCATCATCATATGTTGTAGTTAAATTATCAGAAGAAGATTGATTTTGTTATTAATTATTATAATAAATATAATGGCATTGTAGAAAGGGAAAAATAAAATAAATCATAGACAGCGGTAGGGAGATTGGATATGTAGTAGTTGCAATAATATGAATTTTGCATTTAGAGATACATGCAATAGATGTCATTCATAGAAAAATTATAAAGAAAATGAAAATAAGGGATTCAAATCAGCTTTATTCTTGACAGAGAGCAATGGTGATATTCCACCAATATCAGATAGATCTAATAAATCTTCTGGAGAGAAAAAAGATAATGGCAATAATAAGTTCTCATTTGATAAATTACCATCTATGGAACCCATTTTGAAATAAATTACAAAAGAAACATGTAAAAAACAATTAAATTAAAAGAACAAAAAAAATATGATTTATTTGAGTTTGAATGGTAGTGCTAAAAATGTGAAAAGATTAATTAATACTATAAAATTCATTGTGCTGAATGCGGAGCTTAAAGGTACAGAAAATTAACAGTATGATTTTTATAACCTAAATGGGGGTTTTTTGATAAAAATGGTCTAAATTCTCTTTCTTTATATACCCAAATTTAGAAGGGGGTTGTACAAAGATAAAGAAAATAATAAATAAATATTTTTTTACTTTATTAATAAAATTTAACTGTTAAGATAATGAAAGACATGTCCAAAAAGATATTCGAAAAGGAGAATTAAGCTGAGGTGTCTAATAACCCTAGACATTAGAATAAATCACTAACTTCATTAGTCTCACTATCATTGATTGGTGGAAATAAAAGTAATGAATTAATAATATATCTAAAAGAAAATGAATTTAAGAGTATGGAACTTAAAAATAATTATACTTCTATTTCATCTCGTCCACTTGTTTTCTGTAAACCAGAATCAAAAATAAAAACTTTAACAACTTCTTCTCCATAAAAATAATCACCTATAAAACCAAAATAAGTAGAAACATAATCAAATGAATTGTGTAAATTAATCAACAATTATTCAGAACCTATTCTTGATTATTACTTAGAATTGAATGTAAATATTTATAAAATTAACAAATATAGAATTAAACTCCAAAAAACTTTTTATCCAATCATACAGTAAGTTCTAATCTTAGAGCAAAAATGGTTGATTGGATGGTTGAAGTACTGACTTCATACAAATGCAAAGATTAAACATTCTTTTTAGCTGTTAGATTGATGGATTCTTATCTATCTAAAACAACATAAAAACATATACCTCAAGATTTACATTTAATTGGTGTGACTACAATGTTTATGGCTTGTAAATTTGAGGAAATCTATCCAGTTAAATTATAAATTGTACATGAGAAGATTGCACACAAAAAACTAACCAAGGATGAAATAAAAGAGAAAGAAACATAAATATTAACTACTTTAGATTTTAGTTTTATTGGTATAACTGTTTTAGATGTTATTACAATGGTTCTATCTATATTAAATATGAATCAATAGTTATATTAAATAACATTATATCTTGCTAAATTGGTAAATTAAATTATATTATTCTAGGCACTTTATGATTATGAATTTGCCAATAATCATACATATGTATAATTTGCATGTGCTGCTTTGATTGTGACCACCAAAATTGTAGAGTAAATTGATTAATCACTTTCATCTGAAATAGTAATACCATTAATAGTTTCAACTTTAAAAATGGACAACTCTGATGCAATGGATTCAGCCAATAAATTATTGAATTTAGCTAAAGGATTTGATAAACAATATCCAAATCTGGAAAATTTAAAGAAATTTAGTAAATTTCAATTATCAGATATGTTAACAACCCAACATTGATTATTATAAATATATTACTTTTTATATTAATATTTAAATGGTTTAATTGGCTTCTAATAGAAGCTCGGTTGTAAAAGCCATTGATTCTACCTGGAGTATTATACGAACTCTATATTTTGCGATTATTCTCTTCCTATTTACTCTCATTGGTATGAAGAAGGAATCCAATAAATATACCAAAGAAGAATTGAAATATATTATTGATGAAAGTAACGATTGCAATTAATTATTTAATAGAGATGCCATTCAAGAGAAAACCAAAGGATGAAGATGATGATGATAATGGAAAAGAAGGAACTAAACCAAAGATTTTCAGAGGTCTTGGAGGAGGAGCTGATTGTAAGAGTTGAGGTTGAGCTACAATTTACAAAAAACAAAGGATTTTATAGTAGCTAACACAAGTTACTAGTATGACGATTGTCTTAAGAACTCCAGAATTATTGGAATTAAGAAATCTGAACAATAAAAGCCTTTGTTTTATTATATGTATATAAATTTAAAATAATATATTTATTATGTAAGTATTATTTTGTGATGAAAATACACTATTTTGAATAAAATCAAAACCTTTGAGAAATATCAATAATCAACAAACTATAAAGTTTATATAAATAATATATATTATCTATAAACAGGATCGATAGTTAAAAAAAGAGAATTCTAAGAACATTAGAATTTTAAGAATTTTTAATTGGAGATTGAGATCAGAAATGCATAAATAATATGTCATCAAGTTCTAAGAAAAGAGTGAGGTACAGGGTAAAATTAAGGGTATTGTGAGATTTGTTAAAAAGGGTAGGGAGTTGTGGATACTGAATCGAATTCCTTTTTAACTTAAATTTGAGGTTTAAAGTCTAGAATCTATTTGAACACTATCTAAGAGGATAGCAATAGGTTTTGTAGGAGTGATTGTTGGACTATACTTGCATTTTTAATTTCTGAAGTTAGAGCCTAGGTCAGCTATTGATATTAGGATGATATGAGTTATTTCTATTCATTAGCCAAATTTAATTGATCCATTAGAGATGGCTGCTTATCAACATAAATCTAGACTTCTCATATATATATATTACTTAAGTAGTATCAGATTGAACACACAATGGTTGAACTTGAAGAGTGAAGGGATTCAAGACTGAAACTTTCACAATACTCTATACTTTGAGCTTCTTTTTTCTTGTTTCCTTCTTTCCTATACGACCATCCTATTCAAATGCTTTTTGAATTGTTCTGACTGTACAATACTTTAAATGAAGTCTGTTGGCTACCTAGAAAGGAATTGTGAAATACACAATATATAGTGGTATATAGATAAGTAATTTAGTGAATATGGTGAATACCTCTTAAAGTGATAATTTTTCTTTTATTAATAACTCTAAGACTATTTTACGCTAGTCTCTATCAATTTTTTGATATTTTTTGGTCTGCTTAAGCTAGGATGAACATTCTTGTGATTTAACCATATTTAAGGTGGAATCTTTTCTTTTATTAATATTTATAATAATATTTTAAAATCAAATCTAGGTTTTTAAATTAAAATATGATTCATCTTTGGTTATAATATAAACATTAAAATATTTCAAGATTAGATTTTGTTTATATTTAAAGACCTTTTACATTATTTAAACATAATATAATGGTGAATCAACGTAAACCAATCACTTTTAATTAAATAATTATAAAAATAATTAATTCTTGCTTTTTATTAAAATATTACAATTACCTAATATGAAGGTAAGAAATAATAATAATTATTTTATAATTTAAAAATTATGAAAACATAAATTTAGTATGTAATTCAATTAATAGAAGATAACTCTAGCTTATTTTTAATTTGTTTATATTCACTAATACTCTTCTTCTTCCTATTAACATTACAGGTAATTTTTTATTTGTTACAAATAATATTGAAATTATTAATGAATTGCTTACAATGATCTTAATTCTATTCAGTGATTTGTTATGAGATGGTCTTTGAATTTTATCTATTTTAATCTTTCTTATAAATCGAGCAAGTGTCAATAGTATTACTTAGATATGTTTCCTTATCATAGGGCAGTTTTTGTTTCCGAATAAAATCAACTAATTTAAGAGGTTATTTGCTTGAGATAGTTTGATGTTAAAAATCATTTGTTTCTTGTATTTTCTTCTTTAGAAATGTATTCTCTTCTATTAAATGTTTGTTTTACTCTTATAATATTATAATTTCTTTCTTCAATTACTAATAAATAAATAGAACTCATACATTAATCATGTTCTTGTTAATATTATTTTATTGAAATTATTCTAATTATTGTTAGAGCTATTCACAATATAGTTTAATTTATTACTCAGTCTAATAATAATAATTATTATTATACTCTTATATGTTTTCTTATTTCACTCTCATACTTCTATACTTGTTTCTCAAGTTCATGATAATCTTGATTCTGTAAATTTTGGAGTATGGCATCTTTGATGAACAGAAGCTAGGAATCTAGATCTTCGAAAGTATCTGAGGATGGTCCTTCTAACTTATAAAGGTGGTATTTTACTCATACCAGCTTAAGTATGTCTTTTAATATATTTTAAGACATTTTAATTATTTAAAGATATGAATAGAAGACTTGTGCAAATATTTAACAAATAATTCAGCTAAGTACCTAAATTCTTTACATCAAATGAACAACCAATGGTTTTGAGAAATGAAAAATCAGGTTATTATGTGAATCCAGAAGCTGTTGCTCGTCGAATGATAAAAGTTATTAGTTTACATGACGATGTAAAGAATCCTTCAGCAATCACCTTATAATCTACATGGACTGATATTGGTTTGTCAGATATGGCTTATGTAGAAGTAAGATAATATGAATATATAATATAAAGGTTATGGTAGAAGTAGAAAGAGAGTTTGAAATAGAATTCCCAGATACTGATGTAGAGTGTTTTAGAACTGTCAATGATGCTGTAGAGTATGTGGCAAGGAGCTTTTTCGCTGTTTGATTTAAACACATAAAATAAAATAAAACACAATGCTATTATTGTTAATAATTGGTGTGAGTGCTGTTAATGTTACACTATTCTAAGCTGATTCTGCACTCTACTCTCTTCAATTTTGTCTAATGCGCAATTCTAATAGAGAAGGCAAAGATTGGTTAGAAACTATATTTGCATTATCTGAAAAAGGAAGAATTTACAAAAGTATTGATAATGGATATAAGTGGAGTGATGAAACACTTACTTTAGAAAAGATGGGTATAAATGATTGGTTTTATGAGATCTAATCATCCCCTGCTAAAAAAGAAATAATCTATATATTTGGTAAAAATGGCACAGGAATAAGATCTGAAGATTGTGGATCACATTACACGTGGTTTACATTTCCAAGTAATTATTCAGATTTTAAATTGAATTCAATGGATGATAAGTGGATGTTAGCTTTTTCTAATTGTGAAAGATGTATTCCTCCCTATAACAAAGAAGTACACAAATCAAATGATGGAGGTAAAACTTGGTAATGGATTCTCAGTTCAGCTATGATGGCTTCATGGGATAAACTTATTGATAGTGAATTGATACCAGATGAAAGAATTGTGGCATGTCATTTAGAATACAATTAAAGTAGAGTCACATATTCAGACGATTATTACAATTCATATAAGATTATACATAATAATGGAACTGGTTTCTTTTAAACTTAATTTCATATGTTTGTAATATCTAAATTTTAATCTGCCTATAGATTACATGTAGCACCTGCATTTTATGATTATGCTCAAATGATTAATGTATCCATTCCCTTTGAATAATAATACTCCTATACTTTATTAGACACAGAATCAGAATCAATCTTTTTATCTATATCTCATAATCAAACCAATAAGAAACTCACTAATATTTATACATCTGATTATCAAGGATTCAAATTCACCATATCATTGTTAAATAATGTGAGATCCTTGGATACAGGTTAATGTGATTTTGAAAAGATTGAAAGTCTAAGAGGTGTTTATATAGCTAATATCTATGACCATGAAAAACTCAAAGTTATTAAGGAAACTGATCTTGAAAAATATAAAAAGACAGTAATAACTTTTGACAAAGGAGCTATTTGGCATCCTCTTAAGGCTCCTGTGACTGATGTTAATGGATAATAGACTCATTGTAGTGGAGATTGTTCATTACATCTTTAAGGGAGAAGTGTAAGCAAAATATATAGAGAATCTAAAGCAATCGGATTGATTATGGCATCAGGTAATTTGGGATTATATTTGGATGAAAAGAATATTAATACTTATTTTTCAAGAGATGGAGGTATGAAATGGTATGAAGTAAGAAAAGGACATCATATCTATTCATTTGGTGATAGAGGTGGCATAATTGTTATGGCCAAATCAAAATCTTTAACAGAAGAATTGTTATACTCTTGGGATGAAGGTTAAACTTGGGAAAGCCTCAAAATTAAAAAAATGATTGTTACTTCTATAACAAGTAGAAGTTTGTACATAAACTTTATAATTACAGGTTTAGATGAAAAGAGAAAAGGAATCATTTTAAATGTGGATTTTACTACTTTACATTAAAGAACTTGTAGTGGGATTTGGGATCCTTTAGATCCAGATAGTGATTATGAATTTTGGGTACCAACTAATTATGAAAATGGTAAATGTTTATTTGGATAAAAATATCGTTATACTCGTAGGAAAAGAAATGCTAAATGTTTCAATCAATAAGATCATGATAAATTGCATTTTATTGAGTCTTGTGAATGTACAATAGAGGATTGGGAATGTGATTATGGATTTTATCATAAAATTGATGGTGGTCCTTGTGTACCTATAGCAACTTTATTTGAAGAAGATGAATATATTGATATTTTGAAACCTCCTGAAAATTGTACAGGTACATACATGAAATCTTAAGGGTATAGAAAAGTTGTAGGAGACTATTGCACAGGAGGGTATTATAAAATAAAAAACTAATTAGTATTGATTTAGATCCAATTGAAACACCATGTTAAGTAGGCTTATAATAAAGTATATCAAATCAATCTTTACCATAAATTTCAATTAAAGAAGAATAGAAAATTTTATAAGATAAATTGAATAGTAATGAATAGAAGAATTTAAGTGTTATTAATAAATAGAATAATTTTTTTGTTATTTGGATATTAGTAAGTATTGTTATTGCTTTTTTTGTGTTTATTTTATGTAAAAAAATGAAGGCTAAGTAGACTTAAGTGCCAAAAAAGGATTATTATTATGGTTTTGAGAGAGGAGAACGAATTAGTTTGAGAGAAGATGATGGTATCTGATGATTAGGGGTGTATTTAAATTTAATAGAAATATAAAAAAAAAATATAAATATTTTTAATAAAAAAGAAAGAGTAATGACAACATCATACTAGATGAAGAGACTACAATATGAGGAATAAAACTTAGAGGAGAATTCAGATTAACTTCCTCCTAATTGCTCCTATAAAAAGACATCTAATTTAACTTACGTGGTTTAATATATTGGTGAGAAGGGTACTCCTCATGAAGGTATTTAAATTTATTAAAATATAGGGGCTTATATTATAGTTGATGTCGATTTGAGTGGTAGTAATGGATCTTCTGGATTCCCAGCTGAGGCTCCAAATATTACATTTAGAAATGGTTTTTAACATGTTAATGTTTATCCTATGGGAAAATTATGTATGTATCTTTCCAACAAGGAAACATTTACATCAGGTACTACTCTCTTGGAAATCTTTTCAGGCATTAATTAAGTTATTCATCAGTATTGATTTTATAATATATTCTAAGTCCAACATTCCATGATCCAGCCAATGCTTCCATTTTAATTCAAGAGGGTGGAAAGGGATATGATGAAAAGATGAGAGATCAAGCAAAGAAATTAAGTCAACCCTAATTTAGAGTATTATGAATGAAATAATAATACAATTAATATATTTGATAATCATTTATAATCAAAATTTGGTTATTTCAAGTCTTGTAGAATTATTTGAAAAAGCGAAAGATTTTTTATGATCAGATCGCTATGTAGAAGCATCTAGATTTTTTGGTGATGGCAATCTTGTTACTGATTTAGGTATACTACTGATATTAATAAAAGAATTTAATTTCTTTGAATTTAATTCATCCCTTTATTCTAGATTTGATACCATCATATCCATTAATTGTTTTTAAGCTGTCTTATATTCTTTATTTTATCTTGTGGCAGGATCCATTCTATCAAAGATTGTTGCATTATAGGAATTCAACATTAAAGTATTACGTTTAATGAATTTAGGAGATAGACCTGCTTCATCAGTTTATAAATTCAATAATTTTTTAGGTATTGATAATTATTATTAAACCTTTTGATGTCTTAATTTCATTTAATATTATTATTAATTCAATTGTAATTTCTTCAAATCCTTATTCTCTTTCATAATTAATTAAGCTTAATCTTTTTGTGTATTATGATAATCAATTTTCTGAAGTTCTATGTATTCTTATAATTTGCTGTATTATTGTTACAATTTCTCTAATTAAATATCTGATACTGATATTGATTTCATTAGACTCTTAGTAACTGGCATTTCTTTATGAACTTCCCATTCAGCAGCTATGATCTTTTTTGCAGTTTCCTTTACTTAATCAAGTGTTAAACACTTTTCAAAAGTAATTGATTCAATCTTTTAATTAAAAACCTAATCAATAGATTTAAATTGATTTGGATGTTCAAGTTTATGTAAAGTTTCTTCTAAACCTCTAAGATGTTTTTATAGATCAGTTTCTACATTCATTTAATCTAATTTATAATCAGATAGACTTCTTAAGTAAATAAGTTTACTTAAATAACTCTGATTTTCTTAATGTCTCCTTCTCTTTTGTTTATGTGGTTTATGAATCAATCTTTAAGTATTGTCCTTACTACAAGATGGAGTATTGGGTATAAACAAACTTCCATCTCTTGTAGCTTCTTTAGAGATATCTTTTATGGGTTTAAAATCACTTTTAGCTCTTGTATGATGAAATAAATAGACATTTTTATTATTGATATCATATTTACTTTAATGAGGGAATTAGGGTTTTTATTCAAAATGACGTTTTTTTTAGAATCCATATAAGAATGATACAAATTAATTAAGATCTTATTGTTCAAGGATAATTTATTCATATTTTTCATGTTTGTATTCATATTCATATTTAATGTAATTGATTAATTCTTCTTGTTTTCCTACAAAAGTTAAAATATGTTAACATAAATAATTGGCCATTGATATCATTAATGCAGATTCATCATATTTATCTTTGTATTCTAATGATTTACTTTACAAATCCAAATTGATAATTAATAATTAAGCATAATGTTTCATTAATCTTTTACATTTCTTCTAATTAGAATTGGGACGATAGTACTCACGTAGAGAATCTACAAGCATATCAGAGATGGTATCAAAGAATTGATTTTAAAAAACATAAGAGTTTTCAAAATAAGCAGAATGAAGGAGAGTGAGAGCTTCATGATATATTGTAACTGATTTTTCATTTTTAACAAATTTCAGTTATATGAGTTTGTGTAAAAAGCGATTGGCTTCTTTGAGATTGGTCATTTTGAAGTACAAATAATTGAACATTAAGATCTATTGAATGGAAATAAATAGTTCTTGTTCATGATATCTTAACCAAATAAGAGATTTTTTATCCCAAGGTTCATGTTCAAATTCAATTAAGAATTATTTGAGTTTAGAATTACCTCTTGGTGATTGCATATCACCTAATAATTTATATTTACTTTTGCGGTTGGATGTATTTTGATGCTCAGTAAGTACATCTTAACATTTAGTAATGTAATTCTGCATGGTATGACATAGTTACATGCATCGATCTAGTTAAGTGAGTATCCGACCCTATTTTGAATTGAACTTGAGAAAATGTTTACGCATAATTTTCAATCGACAATATAGTAATCGACGTATCAATTACATTTAGAGTTGTATACCAGGTAATTCAGTCTATTAGTAATGATGAGTAAGATGTTTTTCAGAGACATTAACAAAGCATTTATACTTTCCTTTACGTAACATCCATTAAGATTCATAAATATGAAATTCCAATACTTGCATAAGATTATATTTGCAAAATAATAATAATAAATAAAGAGAACCTTTAAAAGATATAGGTTGTCTATAATTAGAATAATTAATCTTAACAAAATAACTAATTAAATCATACTGCTTTTACTTATTCCCATTCTTCATCTGCTTATATATTTTTTGGTTTACCTAATTTTCCTTATTTCCTTCTCTATACTATCTTCCTTATTACAAAAAACAATATTATCATAACTAAAAATGAAACCACTATAATTCCAATAATAATAATCTAATCCTTATTCTCAAAGTAATCCTAATTATCATTCTCCTTAATCTTAACATCTGATTTCGTATAATTATATATCAAACTACTGTTATAGAAATAGGTATAGGGAGTATCATATCCTTAATAGAATGCTTAGAATACAATCAAACCATAAAGTACTTTATGATCCTCAGGCAGAGGAACTTAATAATTAATATAAATGAATATATATACCTTAAAAAGATACTTTGTTATCCTCCTCCTTAATTGTTTATAAGGATTTACTATGATACAGTTAATTATTTGTGTAATACTTGAGAGATTCAATATCCATTTGACATCCAAAAGCATTCATAAATGTTTCTTGATTTGAATAATGTAATTGATAACTATAATACAATTTAAATAATTACATAAGCATCTTGAGTTCTAAAAGACCAGTCTTATTTCTTGTCATTGTATCTACAGAAACTATCAAAGTTTAATTCTCCTTATTTTCTACTACTTAATAAGTGATTGTCTTATTAGAATACCAAACATCATGAGAATATTATAAATGAGGTACCAAACTATAAATGTTTTTTCTAATTGATAATCCATTTTTTGTATAACTAGCAAAAGAGGTTGGAGTTACATTAAAATAGATATCACTTGAATTTCTAAATTGATAAGAACTGATATTGCTTTCAGTTTAACCTAAACAATCAATTTTTTCAATCATTAATTCTTATCCTTTTGTACCATATATATTGTAAATTTAAGTAGATTGTATTTATTCTATATAATGTTAATTAGAATCAATATATTTTAAACCTTCCAAATTTATAGTGATACTAAATTGACCTTGACATGATAAGGTAATTTTATAAAAGTAATTTACATTAGGCAATTAATATTTCAATTCTAATTAAGATTTACTAATACTCCATTCTTATATAGGATTAATCAATATAAATTCTGTAATATTCTTGGACATATAAAAGAGTTCCACTTTAACATTAGATTTACAATTAACAATTATGGTGTACCATTATATTGTTGTAATTGGAGTGAATGTAAATGATGTAACATTCTATTCACCAGTATTATTACCTTTATATGATTTACCTAAATGCAAAGTGATAAAGTTTTATTCACTCTATAAACTCAACCAATATGAAGCCACTTAATTTGAATTAGGATTAACAATACTAAGTGTATATGATGAATTAATTGGTATAATATGTTAAGAATTACTAAGATTCATACTGAATATAAAAGTTTCATCATTATCATAAAAATGTAATTCTATATTTTATGAATATACAAATATATTTAAATCTCCTGGTTCAACATAATATTTACAACTCTAAAGACATTAATCATAATATATCCTACCATACTCAATATCCAATGGTATTGAATTATATGCAATTAATAATTAAATGTCAGCACTTTTTAATGGTCTTAATGCAATTATATATGTACAATAATAACAAAAGTGTTAATTTGATTAACTAATCTAAATGATCCCACCAAAAAGATTATCATTATGTTCTTAAAGTATTTAAATTTCATCTGTTCCATAATAAGGTAGAAGATCAAAAAGACCATCATCACTATCATTATATTAAGAGTAGGTATTAATAGCTACATCTATATTATTAATTCCTTGAATCATTATACGGAAGGATTCTTTTCGTATATGTTAATAGAAATAATAAACTGTCTAATTTATATGATGACTTGTAAATTGACCATTTGATATATAATACAATTCTATATCTGCAAAATTTAATAGTAATTCATATGTGCATTACTTTCTAAATCCAGAAATTCCTATTATATAAGATCCAACATTATTAGATTCTCTTATTATAAGAATGTCTGATTTATATGACAATGATTTATAAGTATTTGAATCTTCAGTTGGATATGTGATATTATCATTAATTAGTTTGTTTACATAAATATCTGGATCACAATCATCAATAGGTCTAGCTGCAATTTATATGAATTCAACTGGATTGTCTACATAAAAATAATAATATGACATGAGATTCTCTCCAGAATGTCCTATTAACATTTCTCCATTTCTTATTATTGAATATTATGTAGATATCATTATATTGAAATAACCATCTTCACCATCTACTGTTGATATATTATTATAGGAATTACCAAAGATATATGAATATAATGATTATAAATCTAATTTTACACTTATCAATAATACACAACCTTATTTATAATTTTAACAATTTTTTAATTATTCTTAATTAATGATCAATAATTTATTTGAAATACTAGCACTAATCTCTTCTTCAATATCATAATTAGAAGAATTAGGAAATATATGATGATTATTGTTTTTTAAATCTTTAGATACTATAGCATAATCTTTTATTGAACAAAATAATTCTATTTCAGCAAATTAAGTATATGCTTATATTTGAATAGTATTCTTGAGATCTTTTGGAACAACAAAATATAAATCAGATTATTAATATTATTCAAATGAAGGAACTGGTACCTATTAAACAGTATTATCCAATAATTCTGTAATACCAGATACACCTCTGATCAACAATGAATATTCATTATATCCTATACTCTCTACACCAATATATACAATTGTACTCTCTTTGATATTTTATAAAGTCAAATAAATAGATGAATCTAATAATTCTAATTCACAATTATCTTTATTTGGAAATTTATATTTCATACTAACATAAATTTTCAGATTATTCTATTCATTAATTTCAGTTGTATATGTTCTAATTATGAATAATTTCTCTAATGCATAAGGTGATTAATAATAATAAAAAGCTTAATGTAAATTATCCAATTGAGTAATGAGTGGTTCTCCATAAAATAATTCCATTAATGAACTTGATGAAGTGAATTGAATTTCATAAGATTCATTAAGACCAAGAGAAGTAGAACTGACTTAAACATAATAATATTATTTTGGATTCTCTATTATGAGTGTATGTTATGAACTTCTAAGTGAAAAATCATATTGACTTTCATTAGGATATTTATTACCAATAATACCATTTGTACCAATAACATAACATATAAAATAACCATAAATTCCATTTAAATGTATAAACAAAGGACCATTCTATCTGTATTCAAAATTAAAATAAGTAACTTAATCAATTTTTGTTTGTAAATGATTATAAGGGATACTTTCAGTGAGATGAATATAATTAATTTCTTCATGTGATTTTCTATAAATTATAGGAGTAATTGTATATCTGAGTAATGCCTTGGCCACTATTCGAATATAATACTATCCAAATAAACCTTAAGTTTCAGTCTCTGCTTTATATTATAAGACATCTAATTCCATATTGGCATATCTATCATAGAATGTTGAATTAGGTTTATCATATAATCTGGAAGCATAAGCTTCATATTCACCAGTAATGGCTGTTATTTAGAATACTACTTCAATTAATTCTTCATCATTATCAATTGTGAATTAATATAAATCTGTATCATATTCCATCAAATAACTACGATGAGTTGTTGATTCTGTTAATTCAATATGCTATTCTTATCCCTTAATAAATATTTGATAGTTCATATATTCAACATTACTATATATACCAACTACATATTAACAATTAGTCTATATATTCTCATATTTTAGCATTGTGACATTACTCTCACATTCAAATTTATTATAATTGAATTATAATGTATTTTCAGCTGAATACAATTCTGAACCTCCTGATTTTAATTAGTTTACATTTTATAATTATTCTATTTAATCTATTGTAATTGAACAATTAAAATAATTATCTGGTCCTGCACTTAAAATATAAGTTAATGAATTTGAAACCTAACTTAATTCATTTTTATCTTTAATGCATTTTTTTAATATAATCATACCATGTCCTGTTGGATAATTTGCAGTTATTGTAAATGTTTAATTTGGTTGATCATATATTCCAACAATATATTCTGCAAATTCATTCTTTACTAAAAATCCAGATTCAAAAGCATAAACAGATAATGTTCTACTATAGTAATTACTCAAATAAGCTACAAATGAATAACTGGCAAATTCATCCACTCCATTAATTGCTATTATATATTAAGTTTCATTTCCATTTATTATTCTATCTCCTGGAGATATTGTTATAGATTCATAACCAAAATCTAATTATGATTGCCATGGATAATGTTTATAATCCAATGAACATTCACCTTAATGACATGGTGATATATAAACATCAGGATTACCTTCAAATGGATGAATATCAAATGATAATGAATTTTCCTCCAAAAATTCTAAATAATCATTATTTATTATTAGTTTATAATAATTTGTTTTCCTCTCAATTACTAAATCATCTGTCTTTTCAAATAAATCAATCTCCCTAATTCGTTCATAAACTGTTGATATAAAATATAATCTAGTATTTGGTACACCTAACATTAACAAAGTCAAATTCCCTTTAAGATTTGTACTATTTTTATATATCACTACTCCTTTTCCTACCATCCAAATCTCTTCAGCTTCATATTAAAATTAACTAGGTGATGGAGTTTCATTCCCTTCATTAATATAAAAATGAAATGACTCATTCAATATAGTATTCTTTTCGTAGATGTGATGAGCTCGGATTAGGATTCTATCAACTCCATCCATTGTACTTGGCATACCGATTTTTAGGATACTTTCTGTTTCATTATCAAATTTCACTATCACTGCTTATCCTAATTATAAGATTTCTTCCTCTTCATAATGAATAGTTAATTCGTAATCACAATCCTATAAACAATATACTCCTAAATAATAAGTTGTATTTGCAATAAGCTTATTTTCTTCTAAGACACAAACATCCATACCTTTATTACCACATAATTCATCATAAATTGTTGGACTAATTAAATACAAATACAATACTATTAATTCTCCTTACTAATGTAAAGAGAGGGGAATGAGCTTTGATCATGTAGAGCTTTTAACACTACAAAAATGTCTTCATTAGGTATCACATTCTAAACAAAGAACTTATAAAAGTGAACAGGATAAAGAACAGAAGTTGATGTACCTGGGACTTTACTAATATTCATATATTAAACATCAATACCCATAAAATTCATATTGTTTCTCCATCTATAATTCAATAATCTCTTATTCATAAGGCTGTGATAGCGTCAACTAAAATAACAAGATCAATATTAACATATTAAAATGAATTAATAAGCATAATTTAGAAAGACTTATCAGATGGGTGCACAATTTCGTTTGAGAAGCTTATAATAGGAGAACATGTGTTTAGAAAGCACTCGTAAATAATGTTAAACAAGAAGGAATGCAAACTTGAAGAAGAGATTTCAAACTGAATAGATGACTGTATTATCAAAAATAGAATTGTCTCATAATGGTAAAGATCAAGTTGAATTAATCTATGAATCATATCCTGTCATTTAAGAAAGAATAACTAGAACTAATAAGAAGGTATAATAAAGATTGAATGTTCAATCCCCTTAATTTAAAATGTATCAATAAACTAGTAAGACAATTTCATTTCATCAAGTAAAAAGAATACTTTAAACTTATATAAATTAATGATATATAAATTGTATCCATATTAATATTCTAAATAAATCATTATTAATTCTATTGCACTTATTTCAGAAAATGTTCTAAATGCTTTGTTTATTATTTCAAAAATTGCATCTCAGATTCCATTCTTTTTTCTTCTAATTCTCTTATCTCTTTAAAACTTCTTTAAATAGCATCTAGTTCATTTTCCAATAAGATTTTTTGATTTTCTAAATAAATTTTCTTTTTGTCATAATCTGCAATTTTAGAATCCTATTCACTTTTTCCAATTTCAGATTCTGCTGCCTTTCTATTACCAAATACAACAGATCCAGCATATAATGTTTAATATGCTGCAAAAGTTAATTTCAAATTATCATACACTCTCATTAATAACAATCCTCTTTCTGGACAATTGATAGCACTCTATCTAATGATCTCTTCAAATAATTAACTATGTAAATCTTCTCTTACTGGACATATACCACTCTTACTATAATATTTGCAATTAAATTCTACCGAGCCTATCTCTCAATTAATCTTTAATCTAATTCTGCTTCCAATTAATTTAATTCATCTCTTTTTACATCATTAACACTAACAACTTATTTAAAGTAATGTCCTTCATGTTCAAATCTTCTAGGAGGAAAGAATTTATTCAAAATTTCATCTATAGACCATTTTTGATCCAAAGGTTACAGTTATTATTTTTTTTTTTAATTTAAGACTTATTCTTGCATTTCAAGTTACATTTCATCTTCATTTATTTCAATTGGCTCTTCATATCTCACTAAAGTTGGCATATATTTCGGATATTTTTTTAAGGTTTCTTCTGTTTATGACATATTGAATTTATATATATATATATAAATAATAATAATATATATATATATATTTAAAAAAAACAAGTAATTATAATTAACAAAATCACAACAATCCCAACTCATTCAATATTTAGCTCATTATTTGTATGATTTTGGATTATTCAACATTATTTACACTTGAAATAAGGCAAACAAGGAATGCATAATCATCATCACTATAGATCCTATTAGAAACGATCAAGTCAGTTATTTTATTCTTAAAAAGAGGATCTGCTAATTATGGTATTTTTTTAGCAATGCTTTCCCAATCAATATCATATTGTATTTCTTTCTTTTGTGGCCGTGGCTGCACTTATTAAATTGAAGTTAATTACTTATTGGACAAGTCTTATTGATTAGACTCTTATCCACTCTCCTAAAGAATAGGGCTGGATTCAAAGTGGTCTTATTCTTGTTGTTCATTTCTNTTAAAACTTCTTTAAATAGCATCTAGTTCATTTTCCAATAAGATTTTTTGATTTTCTAAATAAATTTTCTTTTTGTCATAATCTGCAATTTTAGAATCCTATTCACTTTTTCCAATTTCAGATTCTGCTGCCTTTCTATTACCAAATACAACAGATCCAGCATATAATGTTTAATATGCTGCAAAAGTTAACTTCAAATTATCATACACTCTCATTAATAACAATCCTCTTTCTGGACAATTGATAGCACTCTATCTAATGATCTCTTCAAATAATTAACTATGTAAATCTTCTCTTACTGGACATATACCACTCTTACTATAATATTTGCAATTAAATTCTACCGAGCCTATCTCTCAATTAATCTTTAATCTAATTCTGCTTCCAATTAATTTAATTCATCTCTTTTTACATCATTAACACTAACAACTTATTTAAAGTAATGTCCTTCATGTTCAAATCTTCTAGGAGGAAAGAATTTATTCAAAATTTCATCTATAGACCATTTTTGATCCAAAGGTTACAGTTATTATTTTTTTTTTTAATTTAAGACTTATTCTTGCATTTCAAGTTACATTTCATCTTCATTTATTTCAATTGGCTCTTCATATCTCACTAAAGTTGGCATATATTTCGGATATTTTTTTAAGGTTTCTTCTGTTTATGACATATTGAATTTATATATATATATATATAAATTATATATTATATTATTATATACTTTTTATATATATTATTTATAATATTTTTATAAAAATCATCACAAAAAAGTAATAATAATAAACAAAATCACAACAATCCCAACTCATTCAATATTTAGCTCATTATTAGTATGATTTTGGATTATTCTGCATTATTTACACTTGAAATAAGGCATACAAGGAATGCATAATCATCATCACTATAGATCCTATTAGAAACGATCAAGTCAGTTATTTTATTCTTAAAAAGAGGATCTGTTAATTATGGTATTTTTTTAGCAATGCTTTCCCAATCAATATCTTATTGTATTTCTTTCTTTTGTGGCCGTGGCTGCACTTATTAAATTGAAGTTAATTACTTATTGGACAAGTCTTATTGATTAGACTCTTATCCACTCTCCTAAAGAATAGGGCTGGATTCAAAGTGGTCTTATTCTTGTTGTTCATTTCTTGGATTCTCTTTTTACATTTTTCAAAATTCTTTTGATGTTCGGTATTGGTTGTTTAGACTTTTTTGAGAAAGTAGTTATTTTTGAATTTCTCAACGGATGGTCGTTTTTATTGAATTTTTTATACCTTATCAAATGTATTGAGGACTTCTTTGTATTGATCTAGAAATTTGAAAACTGGTGATGGAGTTCGACGAAGTAATTTACTGCTTGAGTTAGTTTGAGAGAGAGTGCTTTTGGCAGTCTCTACATGATGAAGATGCTGGAGCATCTATTGCAATATAATTCGCCTACCTCCTAGATTGCGTTAATCTGGAGAGAACACCTTGCTCATTAACGATTTTTATTAATTAACAAGATGATTATAATTATGCCAGCCTATAAAAGCAACTTAGAAGTGCAAATCAAATAAGATTAGAAATAAGGGATGGGTCTAATTGATCATGAATAGACAGACACGTTCCCAGTATGGAAATTTAGAGGAGGTTCAACTACAATATATGAGGAGAGTAATAATGAAATGCATTTTACAGATCAAGTGTATACCGAGAGCACTGAGATGTTGCCTAATAAGAATGTACTATTGAAAGTGAGTAAATCAAGTAAGACAAATAAATATATCATCATTTTTAGAAAATCATTATGAAATCCTTTTGTCTGTAATGTAGCCTCCCTTCATGGTTGTTAAGGACATAAAATCATCCAATGGATCTGAATATCCTCTCGTAGTTAATTCCATCATTCGATTAGGAAGAGTGTATTAATTATACACTATTAATTTAAAGTGAGTACAAGGTCATAGAAGAACGTAACAAGCATATGCAGACATTTCAAGCACCCTGTTCTCTCAAAGTATAAAAATTAGACAATCAAATTTTAGTACTCCTTCCTCAGCAATAACAATCTGACATATTAATGTAAGTTTTGTTTCATGGAAGGAAGATAAAGCAAGGACTAACTCTTTCTCACTAATATTTGTCGTTGTGCTGGTAATGGCTAGGCTGTTCATTTGGACTGTTTACGTTACTGGGTAGATTCCAATATTATCAAAGAAGAAACTCAATTTGGATTAACACTTAAATGGTTACTTAATTTTTCATATTAGGAACAAGCAACATGAATGTTCCATTTGTAAAGAAAGTCTCCCAATTCGAGTTCAGTATGAAGATGAATACTTCGATCTTTTTACACTTGACAGACCTGATTTATAATATATTCTTGTTGAAGTACAATCAAAATTCTATCATTAGAATATCAATAAAGAGAAGAATTTATGCAATGAAATCTATTTAATCCATAGTCTTTTAAGTGATAATATTAAAATTGTAATTAATTTCATCATATTAAAAGGGAAGAGGATTTCAATGTGATATCAAAGCTTAAGACATTACTGTCTCTAGACACCATGCTACTATCAAATTAACTGATGGTAACTTTGTAATCTAGGACAATAAAAGTAAATTTGGAACTTTGGTATCAATAGACAAAAAAATTTCGATTGATTGTGCAGCTTGTAGTTTGTAAATTGGCAAATTATTAATCAATTTTATCTAATCTGATTATATTTAAAAAGGTATTATTCAATTAATGTAGGTGCTCCATCAACTTAACATAAACTTACTTAACTACCTTAAATAAATAAATAATTAGATGAAGATGAACCATAAATGGATGATGATTCTTTTCAATTAGAAAATAAATGAAAGTGACTTTTATATTATTCTAATTATATTTCAATCTTTCCCTTATTATAAATTATATATATAATTTTATTTTTTATGCAAAAAGCTAGCATTTTCAATAGGAATTTCAAACTACTATTTAATAAAAACAAGTACTAAAATCTAACAGGTAAATTAAGAATTGATAATTGTAGCTCAATAAGGACATAATCAAACTCATCTTGGATGGGTATCTCCTGTAGATTATAGATTTGGAAGAACAATGTTGTATATCACTTGTGCAATTGGATTCTTTTGTGCATATATGGACCCAGGTGTCTTACATGAAACAGTATCATTCACATTTAATTTTAGTTTGGTCATTTCAAATAACCACCCAAATATGTGTTGGTAATATTTCTGCATTAATCATATAATAGGGATTTGGAAAAGGACTTGAAGGAGATGAGAAGAAATTGAATCAATAAATATTGGATAGACATCATGCTGAAGAATAATTAGAGCATTTCAAACATAACATCACCTAATATGATGGTAAATGATTTAATACAAACAAATAATATACATAAATGAATAATTAAATAAATTACAAAAATATCGGATAGCAAAAATATTATTCACTGTTCCAAGAGTTACTACAATACTTCTCGAATAGGTTTTGATCTTTTTCTGATTTCTTTTACAAGTATAATAGCATCTTCCAGAGAATAATTTAAATCCAATACTAAATAAAGTATGATAGTTTAAATGCTTCTCTAAATGCCATCAGTGCAATGCACATAGACACATTTCCCTTCTTAAATTAGTTTCTTTAAAATTTAATGAGCCTGCATTCCCTTTTTCAAGAAGGATCGTTTATTACAATCTCTTATAGGAAAATGCGAATAGGTTATTTGATAAGATTCACAAGATTATCTTATATAATCAAAGTAATCCTCTTATAAATCTTTATTAATTAGATCTTCAATAGTTTATAAATTAACAATAGCATCCACTCCTAATTTCTATAGAATGTGAATTTCACTAAAAACTTATTATATAATATTTTACTCGCTATATAGAAATGAACCAACATAGATATTCTCCAATATTTAATTATAATTGAGAGTAAATTCTACATCAGAATCTACTATCTCGATAACATTATTAATAATAGGATGTTTAGTAAATACTCTAACTCCATTACGTTCCCATTTTTAATCTTATTAATATTTATATGCATATTAATTAATTGATTTACTAGGAATTTACAATTCCAATCTATACTCATATTCATTTTGGTCAGTAACTACTTAATCTAGTCTAATTTTGGATCTTCCCTTTTCTGAAAATAAATTTACAAACATTTTTGAATCATTATAAGAGTTCATTTTAATTCTTATTTTGATATGACTCCACTCATCTTCTATATCATGTTTGGAATTTAAAACTCTACTTATTCCATCTTCCCATTCAACAATTTATCGATTGTTTTATTTGACTATAACATATCTATAATTCATAGGTAAACAACAACACTCTATTCTAGTTGTCCAAATATCTCCTGGATTCCATTCCATCTAAATTCCATTTTATACATTCCATTACACTTAATGACAATCTCCAACTATCAAAATTACTTCACCATAATTCACATGTCTTTAAATGGAAATAGAGATCATATTGTTTAAAAATATTTATATATCAATTACTTTTATTAAATAAATCTAAGCTAAATATCGTTTTGAAATATTTCATTAATTTCAAAAATAATAATAGCTCATAATTATTATTACTCATTATTAATATTGAGAAATTTATAATAACTCTAATATTCAATCTTAATGGTTTATATAATATAAATTGAACATGTAATAAAATTGTTTATTACATCTATAAATATTATTAAATAATCAATATCAATAAGTTTATAATAACTATTTTATTTAATGAGACATAAATCAAATGGATAAAAAATATTTATAGATGGATCAAACCTTTTATTAGATGATGAATCAATATTCTCATATAGACCAAGATTTTCAAAACATAAAAATTTCTATGCTAAAAAACCTTTATTTGAATGTCATTATGTGACTCCAACTTAGAAACATGCAAAAGAAATTCTTGATAAAATATGTCATGTAAATAAAAAAGCTTTGATTACTGAGAGACCAGAATCCTCTTTCTAAAAAAGAAAAGAATTTTCAGTTGATTAATGTTTAACTACAAGAGGATCAATACAAAGAAAATAGATTAGGATCAAATCAATAAACAGATCAAATATTTAAAACAAATTATCAGATTAAGATTGGTTAGCATTTGTATTAGATTGATAATACTAAATTTCTCTTTGAATTAATAATTAATTTATGTGATGAATATTTTTTTTAAGTTTCAATGTCTAGCAATTTCTTATATATAGCTAATTAATTTTATATTATTATTATTAATATAATGAATAAGTGAATGTCAAACTTGAGTTTATAAAATTAAATCAAACATCTTCAAATTATTCTCCAGCTGACATTCTTAATGCTAATTGCTCCTTTAATGTTCTTAATGATTTATTCAATAATCCAATAGTTTAAGAGACAACATCTCTATCAGAATCCCTAACAATTAATAACTTATTCATTATTACCTTTATGATCTAGAATCCTAATAATCTTAAGCCTCTTATTCACAAATAGTGAATCGATCATCTCTAGATAATTAAAGCATTTCCAATCTCTAATTTACATTATCAAGAGTAGCTTGAGTCTACTCAATCACTTCATTTACTCTATGTATGTATAATAGATAAAATACAATGCCAAATCAGATATTGCAGATGCCAAAGTACTCTCAGTAGTATTGATTGAAATGACTAACAAATTTCTAGTCTTCTCATAAGCTTGAATTCTTTTTTCTTCTGAGAACTTCTCAAGATCCATTGAATCATGAACTTATTCTAATAATTAATCAATAAGTAAGATAACATTTTCAACTTATGCTGAATCTTATAATTAATGAACTCTAGAAGTAATAGTAGATAATGCTTTGAACATTTTACCCCAAGAAGTTCTATAAGTAAATTTACCTATTATTTTAATTAATGAGTACTTGCTCTTTTAATAGAAGCTCCAAAATGTTTTTATAGTAATTCAATTCCATTATTATTCAATTAAATAAATGAATTATCATGTGTTTATAGGTTCTCTGAAAATAAAGTTCTAGCCTACATCAATATAGCAATAACATCTTCATGTTCATGAATTTTATGTTGATACTCTTCATTTTCTTCTTCTCTTTATAAATCTAATTCATTTAAGTCTTCTTTGAATTCTTTAAGCTCCCCTTATTTTTAATTAATTAATTTCTATAAGATTTCTCTCTTTGGATAGAGTTCACCTTCCAATCTTGCTTCCAACTTAATACGTTCATTATCACTCACTTTGATATTTTAATCTAAATTTTATAGATCCTATATGAAATATTAATAATTAATACCACAGTACAAGAGTCTTAATATTCCCTGTGTGATACATCTTCTTCTTTTTAATCTTAATAATATCTATCCTCAATTTATTGTAAAGTTCCCATTAATCTTTCAATTGGTTCTTAAGTTTACAATTATAAGTAAATTGTATCAAGAAGAGTGTGACCAAATCTGTGTTGATCGAGTTATTCAATTTATTATTTCATATCAATATCTTCTAATGCATAGTTTAACATTAGAAGTAATGACAATATTACAAATTTGTTCACGTTTTTCATAAAAATTAAATATATATATAATTATATAATTCATTTATTTTATTAAGGTTCTGCCATTACTGAAATTTCACCATCATTACATCCACAAATGAAGAATCTCTTATCCTTTGAACAAGTTATTGATAACACAGGGGATTTTGCTGATATTTGAAATCTTTTCAATTATTACAAATAAGGCAAAGATCTTCTAACCAATTCACCATTTTCAGTACCATATATCTTATTATATATATATATAAAATTACCATAATATCTTAGAATACATTATTTCTCATAATTTAACAATCAATTAAGGATGAACTCTGTTCTTATTAAACTTCTAATAAAAATCCATTAATAGAAAAACTATAGAGTTAATGATCATATGCTGAATAGAAAATAATACAAAACAGTGGTCTATTGCTCATAATAATTGAATTGATAGGATTCTTATTTGGATGTATAAATGATCTCATCAATTATCCATTATATAAATTATATAAATAAATGTAACCACCTATGCATCCAGTAGCAAATAGTTTCATACTAGTAGAAACATAAATACAATTAATCTAAATTATAATTAATTATATAAATTACTTAATTCTAATGATCAAAATACATACATTTAGCATATAATTTATAATTATCCTTTTATTTATCAACATTCCATAAAATGACATGTCCACTTTTATCTCCAGAAATGATCATAGATTCTTTTTTATCTGAAGCTAATTAAGTAATAGTAGCAGTATGTATTTAATAGATATCAATAATTTGATTATTATCCCCTATGATAATTAGTTTACCTAGATGATAACCTCCACAAATAAATAATTTCCCTTGATTAAATACTAACATAGGATAAGAAGATAATTGAGCTGATACATCCCAAATATTAAATAGTTCAGTCTAAGGTTTTTCAAAGTTAAATTGTTTTTCCCTTTCCAATCCACATTGAAATGGTGGCTAATTAGCTTGAACATCAGTTTGACTAGTCCATTTAAGATAATCAATTTTTCCTTCTTTTCTTATACATATCAATCTTTAATCTGAGATCCATTTAATCTTAACAATTGCTCTATTGCTTGCTTATTATATATCAATAATTGGTTTCATAGTATTAGGTACTTTCTTTTTATTTTATGGTCTATAAACCTTTAATTCTTAAGAATTGGAAACAAAATGATTGTCTGTATTTATTTATCTACCAATATGTGGTTTTAAAAATAATTATAATGGAGTAATTCCAAAATTAACAACTTAAGCTTCTATACTTAATCTATTTTCTTCCATCATTTATAAAGTAAGTTATTAATCATATGTTACATAAAAGTAAATATTTAAATTTTTTTCTGCTTCTTTACCTCTCTATTTAAATCCAAATATTAAATCAATCCATTCAGGAAGATTCCTTTATATTTCTTCACTTTCTAATGCACATCTTTAACCTGTCACAAATCTCCATGGATTATTATTAGCCCATTTAGGTAATTATACATTATTAACCACTATTCCATTTTGTGTTTTACCAAATTACAAATTCTACAAATTAAGAAACATTTCAGGTAAACAAAACATCTCTGGAATCAATTCTCTTACATCTGCAATATCTTCTGTTGCACATCGGAAACTCTCAACTAAAGAATAAAATAGACGATCAGGAATATCAAATTTATTTCCTTAAATCTCTTTTGCTATTGTTGTAAATGGTTCCAATCTTATAAGGAATTAAGAAGTAATAGCTAATGAAGAATAATGAGATCCATAATGAAAAGCTGGAATTTCACCACCTTATTCAGACTATTCAAATCTTTCTATATAACTCTTGATTCTTTAATTATTTCCTAATGCACCCATGGTCTTTTACATTGCTCTAAATTAACCTTCAGGATATATTTTAACACTTGGTTCTTATTCTATTTATACATCTTTTGGTTCACAAATTACCCAAGGAAATACAGGATATTAAGTTAAATCATTATAACTTCTTGATGCCAAATTATTTAATAATAACAAGTATTTAAAATTACTCATTTATTATCTATTTTTTTATATAATAAATTATATACTTATTCCATTTCTACAAATACCCCTACTTTTCCAATAATTTAACTGGATCTGTAGTTTTACTCTAATTGAAATATGGAGCCTAATGACTTTTACGATGTTTTAATAATTTAGATGATATTTCATCTAAATCATTTTGATCACAAATGTTAATAAATAATGATTTCCTATTAAATAATCAAAATATCAATTACCCATCAATGAAAAATATCTCCAAAGCAGTTCTCTTCTATAAATATTTCTTTTTTATTATTAAAACCAAATTATAAATAGGATACTTTTTAATTAATTTCTAATCTTCCCTTAATTCAAACACTCCTAAAGCTGCATGTGATCCTTCACTCTTCAAGTATTCATATTATAATAAAATATGAGTATTTGTTAAACTCATCAACGCATAATAAATATAGAGTCCATTTATAACATTAACCTTCTTTCCTTTAAATGTATTCTCTCCAAATGATTTAATATTCTCTACTACTTAAACCTTTTAATTTGCTATAGTCTTTACAGCATTCTTAATATTATTACCAAATGCTTTGCCCATATTCAACAACTAAGTTGCTGCTTAAACAGCCTATGAATTAGTAGATTGTCTCTATCCATAAAGTTACTCAAATTTATCCATATCATGACTCAATAGAATTGGAGCAGTTTATGGAGTTTGATATACAGGTTTATTTTTTAATATATCTGGAATTATAGGGATACTTTTTATATAAGGTCTAGCAAATGATTTAGTGAGCATTTTTGATATTTTTATTTTAAAGTACTAACTTTAAACAAATTCTTCTTATACTATATCCTAATTCAAATCATTTCTTTAAATGCATCCTTAACATTAAGAGAGCCAACCATCATTTAAAAACAAGGAATTTAATGATTTATGATATTTATTTCTACCAATCCTTTCTTTCTCACTTTCTTTATAAACCCATTAAACTTTTCTTTCTTCAATTTCTATATACTTATTCTCCCCTATCTATTGTACATCTCTTGAAACCTTTTAAGGTGAAACTATAGACTCCATTGACCATTATTGAGGTATATTAGCTTTAATTTAACTTTCTTATTTAAAAGTATTGTTATTTTTGAGGAAATCAATTAATTAATCCAATACTTAATCATCTTGAAAGTATTTACCTTAAAGACTTTCAAATAAAGATTCAAATTCTTAATATAATTCTGTCAAATATTTTCTTAAAGGAGATGTCTGATTCTTATCCTTTGAGACAAAAATTATGTAAAATAGAAATTTTATCATATCTTTAAAGTGCTCATGATTTTTCAATTTTGATAATATGTGAGTTAATCCAAAAGTTATTTCACATTAAGAAATCTCTAAGGTTATAGCATAAGTTATAAATAATTAATACATATTGGTTTAATCACTACTTTCCAATATGATTTCATAAACTTGATGGTTTTGGATTTTAGTATTAAAATACGATTAAACTTATTAAGCTAATTCAGGATGATTGAAACATTTGGATATTAAAGCAATTTATTCTTAAATCCATTAATAAATTAATAATACCTTCTGTATTGCCTTTAATGATATAATTCTAATGAATTAAATCATAAAATTTATGAAACTTGATAATCAATTAAGGATAATTCTACTTCAGTTCAATTATATATAATGCCATTTGAAGAATGTTTTTCCATAATTGAGAATCTATCTAAAAGGTTTTACATTACTCACTATAATTAAAATATAATATACTGAAGTTAATCAATGATGATATTCATTTACATTTCAACTAATTTCTGATTATTATCTATCCCCCATTTTAGTAATTCATAAACATAATTAGCACCAATAAATTCTGATTTTAAGACTTAAACTATAAGTGTTGAATGTAATTTACTGCCAATTTCATAAATCTAAATAAGAATAATATCTTACTAGATTTTAATCTTCTTGTACTGATAATACTTTAAGAAGTTCATTTTAAAATGTTGCCTATCCTAAAATAAGTATAGAATTGCCTTAATGTGATTTACAAAGACAAAGTAAATCTTATAATATTTAAGCTTTTAAATTATCTTCTAAAGAAAAAGCAACAATTTTCATTATTGCATTTATAATACCTTCATTCTTTATTTAATCTCTCTCTTCAATCATTAAGGTTTCATTCACTCCAATTTTAATTTTATCAATCATCCAACCCATTAGTTAATTATAAATAGAAGCAAATGATTAAATCTTTTTCTTTTATGTCTATTCAATTTATTAAATGGACATAGAAGATGAAGAAACTTCTTTTATTTAAGTTACTAAATAACATAATATTAATACATTCTTATTAAAATTATTATTTTGGTGCTTAACTATTTTTTGTTGACATTGGAGGTTATCTAATAACATTTTATTATTATTTAGGAGATTCTACATTTTATTCTTATTATTTTGGTGATTCTACATTCTCTTATTATTTTGGTGATTCTACATATGGTTCTTCAGGTTCTCGATGTCCTTGCATATACATATAACATGCTTTAGCTAATCTATTGATTTCTATCAATTCCTTATTAAAAGCTTCATGATCACTAATTTAAATATTTTTATAAATACAATCCATTTTTTTTTCCTTTTTCACCTCCAAAATTATAAAGTGCATTTATAGTATCAGTATCAATTTTAATATGGAATTTCTTTTTTCCCTTTTAATCAACAGAAAATGAAGGAGACTTAGATTTTTCTGTTTCTGGTACAGGTATGGATTAAGCACGAGGAGGTTGTCTTTGTTTATTATCAAAGAATCCTTAGGGTGGTTTACGACGATTAGTCATAGATGGAGCTTAAGGTACACTTTCATAATCATTATTCAAGAATTGAGTACCAAGATTTTTGAGTTCATCAAAATCTACTTACTATTATTGAGGTTATTCTTTTTTAATTGGTTAGATTATGGAATTACGACTTAATTCAATTAATGGTTCAATAGAATTAGTAATGTATTCAATAGCTTAATGTGTTTAAAGTTTATGATTAGGGAATTGTTATTGGAAGATAAGATGTAGGAAATATATGATCATGGTTCTAATATCATAATATGGTGTTGATTTAAATATGAAAAGTAATGAATCTACAATATTATTCTAATCCCAAGTTTGTAGTATGAAATTGGTTTTGATTCCTTAATCTTCATAGTCAACTAATAAACTCTAATTGTGAAATATAATAAGTACTTTTAAAATGTTTAGAATTTACATAAGGAGACAAGGAGATATTTTGGATAATAGATATTAATCAAATAATTTTAAATGTTCAGAAATATCAGATTATTGATTAAATAAATAAAAGATCTTTTCTAAGAATTACATTTGAAAAGTTTCTTCATAATCATTAAAATGTTAATCACAACATTAATTTTCAGTGTATGCAAATATTAACATATCTAAAATATCTTTAGATGATATAAAATGTTGATAATGTTATGGATTTTGTAAATAAACTTAACATGCTAATTATAAATATTTAGAAAACACTTGTTCACTTATACATTATTAATGTAATTTTGGATTCCATAAAATATGAATAAAAAAATGATCTAATAATCTATTATCTCCAATAATAGATTTAGTTTCATTCAATAATTCAACACATTTTGTATTAATCAAAGGTTTTTCAAAACTGATAATAATTGAAGCAACTGTCAAAAAGAATTAACTATTAAATGCTTCTGCTTATAATTAATGATTATTTTTAAGAATGTTATTAATGACTTCAAATATAATAGATAAATTAAGTTATGCTTAATTAATTTATTTATAAAGTGTTCCACTTAAATGTAACATTACATAAAATAATTTAAAACCTCCAGAAAAATGAAATTTATTTTTATCTGCCATAATAGCTCCAGATTTTGTCAATAATGTAGCATTACAATTTCCCATTACATCAATTACATGATTCCCATCTGTAAATTCAGGTATATAAATAGACATAATTCTCTCAAAATATTTATCCAAACAAGCTGGCAATGTTTTTAATTACTTAAAATCCATCTATAATTATCCATAAACTGATTGAATAGTCTTTATTCTAATTTGTTTTATTTATAATTTATTTACTTTGTTGATGATTAATTCATTATAATAATGCATTAAGCTATACCAATTAGATTCTCACATATAGTAAATCTTGTCAAAGCTATACTTTAGTTTAAACGAGGGAAATCTAATGTCATAGTTTTGGATTGTTCATTATTGAAGTATAACTAAAATTCAAAACAATATTATTACAGTTAAATGTGAAGAAGTGAATTTCTTTTGGCATTCATGTGATATACCTATGAAATTCATCCCATTCTTCAATTAACCTATCAAAATAGCACCATTATCTGGTTCCTAATATATTGCAGGTATTATCCTATAATAGACACTGCCTCTCAAAATGAAACATTCTAATCCACCACCACCTTATTATCCTTATCCATGAACACTTATGATTTTCTAAACACCCATATTTTATTCATTAAACAATTCATAATTTATATTCTCCACTTAAATCCAAATGCAAAACCCGAAACCCTCAACAAATGGCCAAGTAACCTTTTCAACCTTCATTCCACTTCCCATGCCAGAGAAATAGAATAAATTCTGTTATTGCTATCGAAGTGATTCCTATATTTTCGTATTTCAACTACTTTATACAATGTTAATAATGAGCCAAAGTATTCTGCTCGTAATTATTATGGCAGTTCCTTGAAGTAATGTTTCAACACTTTCCTAGACAAATAACCTCTCTATGCTGTCACTATTGCTGCTCGAATCTATATTAATCTAAAAATATCATTACATCCTATAAAAGACAATCCTGGAATTATCCTAAAAGTGAATTGTATTTGTAATTTAGCAATCCTTCTTCAAATCTTAATTGAGAAGGATTTGTTACAATACTGTACTTTTAATTGAACTCACTCACAGTTTTTCCATATTTATCTTAAAACATAATAATATATATAACATAATCAATAATCATTTTATTATTCATTCAATATATAATCAATATACAATTCCTATCTCAGATTTTATAACTTAATTCTTTCATTTTTCATAGATTTCCAAAATATAAGGGGAATAGTTTCCACTTTTATCAAAACTTCACTAAATAATATTTAATAATAGAATAACTATCTAAGTAATAGAGTATGCTTAAAATCTAATTTAAATAGGATTCATTATTAAACTTATTTGGGCTTATGTTTGAATATATTTAGAATTTTTAAATTAATAAAATGTATAAAAATAATTGAATTCTCATTTTTATAAGATTTTTCGATGAGAATTGAATTGTTCTCTATCTTAAACTTGACTATGCCTTTCAGTAAAAAAATTGTTTCGCTTACTAGCTTAATAGATTATAATATATATATATTACAAACTTCATCCTCTTAAGGTTCTTCATTTAATCCTTATAAGTTTAATTTAAAATCAAACTTTTTCTTAAGTGTTTATTATGCAAATTAAATGTATTTCTTAACAATTTCATCTGTTTTCTATGTTGTTTATTTATTGATATGTTATGATTTTGTTCCCATTTCACTGATTATCTTTTTGGAATTGGATGATTTAGCTTTATTACTTACTAATTTTTGATTTTATTATGAATTATACTATGATGGAATCATATATTTAAATTCAACTTTCTATTTACTATCTACAGTATTCAATCCCTTTATTTAATCATGTATCTTAAGCATAAGATCCTCAGAAATTGGAGGAGGTCTTTTATAAGTTCTATCTGTTAAACAACCTCCCTTGGCAATTTTATCAATTTAATTAGTTGTAATTTTCTTTGGCAAAGGTTAATATACTTTTTTAAGTGCTTCTTGTTTAGTTGATGTACTACTATGCATACTCCCATTATTATTATTATGATCTTATCTAATACTTTTTTATTAACCTTAAAATCCTTAAACAGAAGTACTCATGGGTAACTAATCAGAAGATACAGCACTTCTCAATTATTTCATCTTCTAATATTCCTTAAGCATTCTCTATATCGTTTATGAATCACTCTACATTCTTGTCAATTTAGGTTTAGCATCAAAATCATTGAATTATTCAATCCCTTTTCCCAATTCTAAAGGTACTTCCTCCTTATTAGATTTAATATTCGATGAAATTCTAGATTCACTTTTAGAATTAATACCTATAATAGACATTATTATACCTTTCTTACAGCTTTCTGGTTATTTGAGTTGTTTGATACTCTTAGAATAAGTAGATTACTTCTTATGTTTAGCATATAATTGATTGACTTAGACAATACAATCTTTCAAAGTAATATCAGATTATTCTGATTGATTTAATTGTTAAAGATTTTTAATAATCTGTAATCCTCTTAAATCAAAACCTTATTTACTAGTTACTTAAGTGGCTTCTTCATAAATGTCATGTTCTTGAGTTTCGAAACTGATATTCTCTGTCAATTTTGAATTCAATACTTACCTACTTATTCCTTGTTATTGACTTTATTCACGATCCTTTTAATAAAACAATTTATCATATCTATTGTTTCTTTTATTCATAATCTTATGTGCATCAGTCACACTCAAATTTGGATGGATATGTTTATAATTTTGAGTATAGAATTCTGTAAGAATATCAATACGTGGTTTAATCTCTTCTTTATTGTAGAATCTTGTAATATAACATTACAAACACCACATACCTTTTCAAATATTCCATCTGTTCATCTAAGATTACATAATCCTTAAAATATATTACATGCGAGGCGTGTGGGATCTATGCTATGATTTCGTTGATAGGTTTGGCAAAGTAGAAATTAAATGCTTCAAAGTACTTCTCCTGCAAATATTCTTTCATCATTTTTCTTGATCCATTTTTACATAAATCACAACTCTTCATTTTATTAAATAATTCATATAAAATCAAAACCTTCTGAATTAATTTTTGAAATAAGTCGATACAATATATATATATCATTTTTATAGCAATTACATTTCTAATTTTTTATTATCTTAGGCTATCACTCGAATCTAATAACCTTTAAATATAATAATATACCCTATCCTCCATATCTTTAATCTCTTCTTCATAATCTACATCTTTTATTAACTCTCTTAATTTTGAGTTTTCTTCTTCTAAAAGTTTAATCTATTTAATAATATTAATTCTAATACATTTTCAATTACTTTATCTTTATTATCATTTTGTTAATGTCTTTTACTTACTTTCTCATCATAATTTGCTGTATCATATTTAAATCTATATTAAACTTCTTCATGTTTCAATTTTTAATATGCAATTTAATGTTATTATACTTCTAATTATAATTATTCAATATTTTAATCTATTTTCTATCCTGCTTAAATCTATAAATTTAACTTTTCATTTTAAATTATTAATCCAGTTATTTTATTTTCTAAATCCATTACTAAATTTTCAATTATATTTTCTTGATTCATTTATTGTAATTCATTTAATTTTTAACAATCAAATTACTCAAATTATTTTAATAAATTATCATATTGACTCTCTAATTCTTCTAATTTTTTAGATTAATTATCTTTCTCTTTTCTTAATTATTCAACATTACTAATTTTAATTAGTTGTTAATTATCTTAATTTAATTTTTCGTTTAATTTTGAAAGCATTTATATTTTGTTTTCTAATTCTTTTATAAATTATGTACTATTTCCTCTTTAAATATTAGACTCTAATTAAAATATTTATTATTATAATGCATGATTTTAATTCTTCAAAATTTGAACATCTGACTCTAATTTTTAAGTTGTTGTATGAGACACATTTTAATTAAAAGGTTATTGAGAAACTCCTCTAAATTAAATATTAGGTTTTGTAATTGGAGAATTAGGTTAAAAATGTTTCTAACTATAATTCTTTTACAAAGGTGAAGTAATTTATTATTGCTATTATTATATTTGAAATTAAGTATTTCTGCGAAGTGGAGCAGGACTCATGAAAATTGTATTATTTTCATTAAGTCTACTTGCATTATTAATACTAACTAAATCCATAGTTTGATTCTATTATTTAACTTTGAATTGAACATTATAATTTTGATTATTCTTATAATCACTATTGAGTGTAATAGCAGTTTTGAATTATTTATGTTTAGGTGTTGTACCACCACAATTATCTAAATCTTAATTAAAATCAATTTGAGATAATGGTTGTCTAGTTGCTTTAATTTGTGTATTCATAACTGTTAAATTATATATTTATATAAACAAAATTGTTAGTAGTATATCAACCAAATGATTGATCTAATGCTTCTTTTTTTTTGGTCAATTCTTAAACCTATTATTCTAATTATTGTATTCTTGAAATTAATTGTTTCTTCTCTTCTATAAAGAGTTTCTTCTCTTCATGAAATTATTTCCTCTCTTCCTCATATCTCTTAAAGCGTTCACGTACTTTTTGTTGTATTTACTACAACTATACTTTAAATTGATTTTAAGGACCAAAATCAGAAGTTTAACTTGAAATGGATTAACATAATAAGAATTCCTTATGCTCAGTATTTTATTTGCGTGTAATTGAAATGTCACTTTTCTATGGAGTTACTGACATTCTGGCAATATTATTTATACTTGGCTCATTCAAACTCTTTCGACTTTATATAGTTTTAGTGATAGAGGGAGATTTACTCTACATATATGAATTTAGAAGAGTTTGGAATTATTTGAGTCGATTATCCTAATTATTCAATCTAACACAAGGATTGCTTTATTATTCTCGACATTGAATCTTATTAACAGCACGTTTAATATTCTATGGGGATAAACAATGATAAATAGATCCTGACTTAGGTTACGATTACATTATAAAATATTAATTATCATATTGATAATTCCTACACTCTATTCAACATTTAATATATTATATCAATAATACAATCAATCAACCATAAAATTCCATCATCTTTAATGATACTATAGCAGTTTCCCTAACTATCTAATCAATACTTTTAGCATATTCATTCAAAATCTCCAGTGTAATTTCTTTATTTGAACTAACTGTCTAAAAAGCAGCAATAGCTTCATGACGAGCAATTGCTGGTTAATTTTCATCCTTTATCATATTAATTAAAGCTTCATGTATTTATTTTGGTGCTACTCCAACTTAACCAATTACAAAACAAATCTAAATTATAATATATATATATATAAATTACCTCATGTTTAAACAATGCTCCAAGTTTATTACTTATTAATAATTAATCAATATTATTAAAATATATTTCAGCATTATTTCTTAAATAATAAAGTGCTCTATATTTATTAAATAAACTTGTCTAATCATCCAATATATATTCTACTGGATCCTTATCTAATTTTTCAAATGGAGCAGCAGGTTCTCTAGTACCAAGATATTTTTATCCATATAAATGTCCAAGTTCATGAATTGTCTTTGCCTTCTCTAAACCAATTATACATGTATCTTATAAGATATTAAGATTATCATTAACATTCTTTTTAGAATATTTATCAAATATATCCAATGCCTCTTTTTAATTAATATTTGCTAATGCCTCAGCAGCTTCATGTCTTACAACATCAAATTATTAATCATCACTTATTATTTAAATTAGAAATTAAGTAATTATAGATTCCAAACTTAAATCTGCTTATCCTAAAGCATAAGCAATCTCATGTAATAATAAACATGATTTATTCTCAACTTTATTAAGATGATAAAAACCCTATTTCAAGAGTTCTATTGCTTCCTTATTATTAATGGTTCTCAATTCAAAAATTGCTGTGTATATCTAATCTACTGTAGAAGTAGCATTGATGATAATTTCATAAAATTTTTGTGGTGATTTTTCCATTGTTTATTAATAAAAATTATTATCAATAATTATATCTTCTCAAATTCAATAAACTTCTTGATTTTGTATCCTATAGTTCATCTTTTAGAGATCTTAACAATAATATTCTTTATGAAAATTATTATTCTTCAATCCTAATCACTCTTTCTAATTCCTATGAAATCTATATACATATTATTTAAATATCATTACATCTTCTTTTTAATTTTTAATCTATTCACTTTATAATTATGATTATTCTAAACTTCTACTTAACATATCAGCTTCAATTAATGACTCTTAATGTGCTTTCTTAACATGATCTAAATCTTATTTTAATTTTGATATTGTTCTATTTAGTTATTAATTTTGAGTCAACAATTATTGATTAGTCTATGTTAATTCATTTATAGCTGAATTATTTTGGAATGGAGCATTTGGTTATTATTAACTGATATAATTCAAAGCTTCTTAATATTGTCTTCTTGTATGTTTTAATTCTTAATTTTTTTATACTAATTCCTCTTTAATCTTATTTATTTCAAAATATCATTACTTAAGTAAATTAACTTTTGTTTATGTCATTTTGTTTACTTAAAGACTAGAAATCTTTACAAATGTTATCATACTCTTGTTTTATTCTAAACTAATATACATTTCATACTATTTGATTGTCTCTTTTAATCCCTTTACTTCTTCATCCAATAATGTTTTCTCACTATTTAATTTATTAATCACAAGATTTTCATCTGCAATTATTTTGTTTGGCTACTTCTATTATTCTTCATTCTCTACTAATTCATCCTCCAATTCCTAAACTTATTATTTCAAATTTTCTATCTCCTTCTATTATATTTTCACCATTTTTTAATATTATTCAATCTATGTTTTCAACTATTACTCACTTGCAGATTTTTAATCTTTCAAATGATTATATCTTTTATCATAAAATTACAAAAATACCTTCCTTCTAATTGACTCAGATGTTAAGATAGCTCTTTGAATCTAATTTCCCTTTCTTTACATTCCTAAACCTCTAACTTTAATTACTTGATCTCTTCATCCTTATCTATGACTTATTGATCGGTACCTTAATTCATTTTAATATATTATTATTAGTTTATTTTTAAATTTTCACAAATTATTTATTATTTATTAATTAAAGTTTTCAATAGAAGGGGGGCCTCATTTGCTATTTATTCATGATATCCTTACTTTCATAGATATCCCTATCACTTAAGCATATTATTATCAATAGAATGAATTAAAGTTTAATTCCCTTTTTAAGAACTGCTAAAGCTTTGTCATATCTATGAAAATAACATTAGGATTGCTTATAGAATTGATATACTTTTAATATATTAATAAAAAATATGATCTCTATATATATGATATCTCATATATATAGATTAAGCTATATAATATATATTTGTTAAGATTTACTTATGAAGATGTTTAAATTGAAGTATTAGTTTATTTAATTGTGTTGGACATTTAAGGTAATAGTATTTAAATTAACTGAATTTAATTTATTATTTTATTTTTTAATAGGAGAATGATTTGAAATAATCAAAATTTAATCTTGAGAAATGTCCTCTTGTAGCTTGATATTAACATTATTTGGATGTTTGATTCTTTTTATTAACACATTTTTCAGTTTTTCTTAAAATTGATAATAGCAGCATAAATTTTTATGGACATAATTATCTCATTATCTGGAATTAAGATGATTAGTTTTTAATAACTTGTATGAATTTTATATGATTTAACAATTTATTAGGCAATTAAAGAGAATCATATAAAATAGTTTATTTTATCATTTAAGTTAAAGAAAAAAAAATGAAATTAACTTAACTTAAACTAATAAAGAAAAGTTAAAATGATATCTGAGAATTAATACTTTTTATAAATAATAAAGAAAATTTTTTAGAGTAAAATAATTTCTAATCAATATGTTAGGTATATTATCAACATTCTTTTTATTAATCATTTTGTTAAAATATATAACTATAATATGAATATACCTTTTTGCATTAATAGTCTAATTAGCAAAATTATTACTAATTAATTAATTTAAATCATTATGTCAACATTATGATAGACTTTTGTAAATGAACTTATTAATTAGAAATCTTTAAATCTCTATTTTATGATAAATCAAATATCTCATAATAAACAAAAGATAATATCATGCATTAGATTATTAGATTAATTAGTAAAAAATTAAAATAATTCATTGTGAAATTAATAAATTTTATAATAATTAAATTACATTATACAATTTATAAATATGGTTTTTGTTATCATTCAATTATAAATAAGAGATAATATATTCAAAACCTTTATTAGGTCTTTAATGATTTTGAATACCTTAGACAAAATAAATTATTATTATAAATCTAAATAATTTGAAAATCCAAATCAAATTTATACTAAAATAATCGAATATCAACATTGATATTCTATTTGAACAAATCAAACAATCTATTATTTATTATAATAATGAAGATGAAATATATATCTTTTATATTTTTAATAGTTTTGGGGCTGACTTATTAAGTGAGTAATTCAAATAGATGTACAGATTGTAGTCAATTTAAATCAGAAAGAGATTGTGAATAGTAAAATCGAATTTGCGAATGGATAATTACTTCAGAAAATAAACAAGGAAAATGTGAAGAAGCAAATTATAAGCCTATCTAGAATTATACCCCTTATTGTGAGCTAGTTGATTAGCCAGAAATAAATTGTGCTCAAACTTTAGGATGTGCTTATATTAACTCAAAATGCACACATTTTACTGGATGTCAAGCATATGTTAAAACAACAACTGCAGATTGCTTGGCAATATCTTATTTTTGCGTCAGTGATGGAACTGCTTGTATTTAAGCTAAAGAATGCAAGTAATACACTAAAGAACTTTGTGAATCTATTTCAAGTGTCTTATCAGGAATTCTAAAATGTAAATGGAAAACAAGTACTGGAATTTGTATAAATTAATCCTGTTCAGAAGCTGATCTTAGCTTAAATACAGATGAAAAATGTTCAAGTTGGTTAGCTGGTTGTGTGACAAAAGGTTAAGGTTGTGTTGATTCTCCAAGACCTGCTTGTGCCACATATACAGGAGATGATGCTGATTGTTAATCTTTTATTGGATCAGATGGATATTGTGAATTAGCAACAGGTAAAACAAATTGCAAAGCTAAAGAATGTTAGAATGCTTCATCATCATTTACAACTGATGATAATTGTAAAGCCTATTAAAGAGGATGTATCTCAACAGGAAAAGGTTGTGTTTTTGCAAAAACAAAGCCTTTATGTAAATACTATTCAGGAGATAACACTACTTGTGTTGGATATATTGGATCAGATGGAGTTTGTGAAGGTGATGTTGGAGGTTCTAAATGTAGAGCAAGAAAATGCGAAAATGCAATATTTAGTTCTGATGCGCTTTGTGAATATTACTAAAGTAGTTGTAAAACTAATGGCAAAACATGTGTTTCATAGTTAACAGCTTGTAATACATATAAAGGAACTGCCACTACTTGTGCTGTATACATTGGTACTGATGGAATTTGTAAAGGAACCAGTACAATAGAAGCTTCTTGTTTACCAAAAGTTTGTGAAGAAGCTCCAGAAAGCACTTAAACTGATGCAAAATGTAATAGATATTAAGTTGGATGTGTTACTACAGGAAAAGGCTGTGTTACAAAGAATAATTTGAAATCTTGTACTACTTATGATGGAGATGATACTAGTTGTTATTCAAGAATTGGATCTGAAGGTAAATGTATATGGAAGAGTGGAACCAAATGTGTTGCTAGAGATTGTACTGAAGCTAAGAGTAATTTATATACTAATCCTCTTTGTGCTAGTTATTTCACTAATTGTGTTACAACTGGATCTGGATGTGTTTCATAAACTACTTGTGATTTGACAGTTAAATAATAAAGTTGTGAAGGTACTAACAATTGTTAATGGTAACCTATTTGTACTAGTAATGCCACTTGTAGTGAATTTAAAAAGAAATCTATATGTTTAGCCAACCAGGCTAGAGTAAAAACTTTAGATAAAATTGATGATAAAGGAAATCCAATATATATTTATTTAACTAAAAAATGTGGTTGGTTTAATAATGCATGTAAGGAATTGGCATGCTCAGATTTAACAGGTCCTTTATATAATAATGATTCAAATTGTTCAGCTGAACTGTCAACTTGTATTAGTAATCAAGTTGATGCCTGCATAACTAAATATGAATGTAATAAACTTACTGGAACATAATCCACTTGTTCAAGTTATCTAGGATATTGCACTAATACATTAACAGCTACAGATGCGACTCCTTGTATACTAAGAAAATGCTCTGATAATATAAATGCTACAGATAATGCTGCTTGTACTAACTACTTACCTGAATGCATTCATATTGAAAAAGGTTGTGTTCATTATACAACACCATGCACATCAATTAAAGGAACTTAAGAAACATGTAATAAAATATTTGCTTATAAGAGTGGATCTATTGAGAATTTTATAACAAATCAATGTTATAATATAATATCTGCAACTGAAAATATTTACTGTCAAGTGAAAACATGCAAATTGGCTGAAAACTAAAATGATGATACATGTGGGTTATTTTTAGAAGGATGTGTCTATAATGGAAATGGAGGTTGTGTTGATCCAAAAGCAGATGACACAACTTGTGCAAGTTATACAGGTACAGAAATATTTTGTGAATCTGCTATTGTTGGTAATAATACTACAAAATATTGTTTTGGAACATCTACAACAACCAAATGCACTCTTAGAGTTTGTACAGATAATACAATAGCTACAAATGATGAGGATTGCGAGGATTTCATGTCAGGATGTATAGCTAAATCTGAAGGAGGATGTATAAGTAAATAATCAAGATCTTGTTCTTAATAAACAGGATCAGTTACTACATGTCCTAATTATAGTGGTGGATTATATGTTTTCTCAGATTTACCATTTTTGACTAAGGTTGGATGTACAAAATACGATGCTTGCTAAGATAGATTATGTTCTGATATTACTAACCCTTCATCTGCTTAGGAATGTCTTAATTACAAATCTACTTGTAGATTCTTAACGACTAGAGCTGCATGCATTGATTAAGCAGCATGTAGTAGTTATAACCTTCCTGATACAGCAACAACTGATGAATAAAAGTTTGATTATTGCACAAATATCCAAGATAATAATGGATTATTATGTGGTTATACAATGGGAGCAAGTAATTGTTCAATAAGAAGTTGTGATTAATTCTTAAGTAAATATACCATATTATCATGCATTACTTACTTATAAAAGAACATCTCAACTTAAACTGAAGATAAATGTGAATTAGCAGGAACCATTTGTTATTTACCCATACCAGATTGTGCATATAATTATACTACAACTGATATTACTGATACACTTAAGTTAAATCAATGTAAAAAGTTTGTGAATGATAAAGGAATTATTTGTACATTTAAAACAGGTGATACTAAATGTAGTATATAGGATACTTGTGAAAAGTTAATTAATTAAAAAGATGAGAGAACTTGTAATGATTAAAATCTATTTTTATCTTCAGGAAAATGTTAATAAGTAAGAGGTTCAACTTGTCTAACATTATCAACTGCTTGTACAGACTATTAAATTGATTCTACATTGAGTTTTCATATAAAATAAAATTTATGTTGGGGATTGAAGGTGATTGATGATTAAAGTAAAATTACTTCAGGATCAGCAGTGTATATGAAATGTATCTATAAGACAGGTAGTACATGTGATGCCATTTCTGCTTGCTCAGATATTTATTCATCTTCAAGTTAAACAGAATGTGAGACTTATAAACCTGGATGCTTATATTATGGAGGTAAGTGTTATGCTAATGTTACTTCTGGTTTTTGCCCTACAACATTCCCAAATGAAATTAAAACAGATTCTTAAAAATCTCTTTATTGTAGAAGTATCAAAGAAGCTTCTGATTATTGTAGCTTAGCAAGTGATAAAACTAAATGTGTATTAGCCACTAATGTAAATTGCACTGATATAATAATACCTACATTAATAAGTTGGGATGGCTAAAATTATCTAATTTCAGATGCATTTAAATCTGCATATTGTTTAGTCCAGTCATACAAAGATAGAACTAAATCCTGTAAATATACACCTGAAAATTCAACTACAGTTTGTAGTGATGCAACATGTTCAGATATCCCTTCTCCTACTAGTTAAGGAGATTGTGATAATTACATATATGGATGTATTTACTATAATAATAAATGTTACCCACCAACATTAGGTGTGACTGCTGATGATGATTGTACTGATAATGCTAAAGTGCCTATAGATTCTAAGTTGACAGCAGCATAAAAAGTAGCATATTGTTAATCATTTTCTGCATCTGATAAATCAATATATTGCACATACAATTAATATTCAGGATAACTTCAAATTTAATGTACAGTTGGTGGTCCTTGTGATTCTTATATAGATTTGCCAGCTTCTCATGATACTGATAAATAAACATATTGTTTAAGTAAAATTAACAAGACTGGTAAAAGATGTGCATTCACAGAAACAGATACTAAATGTAGAGATTTTGATTGCTATGATATATAATATCCTACATCTTAAATTCATTGCGATTTAGGAGCACCAGGAAAGCCATGTATTTACCTCTTAGGCACTTGTTATAATAGGGATACAGTATGTACATCAATCACAGCTTAAAGTGGAAATGAGAAGCTTTATTGCAATTAAGTCACTGTTGCTGCAACCATTTGTACTTACATTTCAGGAACAAAGTGTTCTGTTAAATAAGATTGTCATCTTTATAGAGTAACCTCAAATTAGGCTACTGTATGTGCTACATTGACTGATAATAGTGGAAATAGGTGTACATATCTTGGAGAGAATAATTGTGTTAAATTGGATGTTTGTAGTACATATGATGGAACGACTTTAGGAAATTTAGGACCTACAATCGGTAAAGAAGATGAATAATGTAAATAAGTTAAATCAGCCAATAATTATCCATGTATTAGAGATAGTGTTAAAAAATGTAGAGCATAAGTATGTACTGATAATGATGCCAGTGCTACAGATTGTGTGAATAATGCTGAAGGCTGTCTATATTATTTCAACAAATGCATAATAACAGATATTTGTTCAAATTATACAGCATAGGGTGATGATGATAGTGCAAAATAAACATGGTGTGAAGGAGTTTAAAATTCATTGGGAGATTTTTGTGCTTGGGACCCAGTAAATATAAAATGTAGGGATAGATTATGTAGTGATATAATATTCTATACAGATTTAGATTGTTAAAGTTATTTAAAAACTTGTAAGACAAATGGGAGAATTTGTGTTTCATCATATAGTCCATGTTCTTCAAACAACGGTTCATCAGATTTTTGTAATTCCTTATTAGATTCAACAGGAGAAGATAGATGCAAACTAATAGCAACTGCTTCTACCGTATTTTAAGCATGTAAAAATAAAACATGTTATGATAATGTTACAGCAAAAACTGATTCCGAATGTGATAATTATTTAAGTGGATGTGTCACTCGTGGTACAGGATGTATTCCAAATACAGAACCATGCACATCATACAGAGGAACTAAATAATAATGTGAATTATTTAAAAAATATACTGGACTTGTTACTGATAAAAAACCCTCTTTTGAATATTGTTCTGGAGAAGTTGAAAATACTGCCACTAGTAAATGTAAAGTAAGAACTTGCTCTGATAACACTACATCTAAAACAGATGTTGAATGTGCTACTTATCAGAAAGGCTGTATAACCAAGGGTATTGGATGTATTGATGCGACATCATCATGCACTGCATTTAAGGGAGATTAAGCAATTTGTGCTAAATTCATGGGAAATTCAAATAAAATTTAGTGTTGGAATACACCAGATGCATCAGCTTAATCTGATTGTAATTAGAAGAAGTGCAGCGATATTTCAGGTAAAAACAATAAAGAATGTAATGATGGTATGCCGCCTAAAAAAGCGTCAGATGATCCTTTCTGTGTCTTTGACGGAACTTAATGTATTGATTATGGAAAACTTTGTAAATCTTTCTAAGGAACTGAAAAGACATGCCCCACATTTTTGGCTAAAGATGGTCCGTGCAAAGCTACAACAGTTGGAATTGTCAAAGGAGCATGTGCTAAAAGAGTATGCACAGAAGCACCAAATAGTCTTATAACTGATGCTGATTGTTAGAAATATCATAAAGATTGTTATACAACTGGTTATGGATGCACATCTGTTAATTAGTGTAATAGTATAATCAGTAGATAGTTATGTTAAGGAAAATCTGAATGCACATGGGCAAAATATTGTACTGATTAGATAACAAAATGTGAAACTTATAATAATACTAGTTACTCATAATGTGCTAATTCTAAATTAAATGGAAAGTTCTGTTTTTGGGATGAACATTATTCAATTTGTAAATCTCAAACTTGTGAAAATCAGCCAGTAACACTTGATTCTCATACTTAATGTTAAAATTTTGCTGATAATTGTACTACAACAGGGGCTGGTTGTATTACCATTTCTGATTGCGCTTTATATATTAATAAATCTATTTGTAATGCTGCTTCATCAAGTAGGGATGGTTTAAAAAGATGCATCTGGGACAACATACTTAAGTCTTGCAGAAATAAAATCTGTAGTGATATATCTGCTTAAATAAATGCTGAATGTGAGGCCTTCGAGTTAGGATGTAAATTAAATGGATAAAAATGTGTTAATGGACTTTCATGCACAGAATTCACCAACAAGTTATTCTGTCTTAAATCGAAAACTGGACCATGTCTTTGGGTTAATGGATAATGTTATGATTATGGCAAATGCGAAGATGCAGTCAAAAAAACACATCCCGAATGCTAAGCATTTTCACCATTATGTACAACCAATGGAGATAGATGCATCCCTATTACAACTTGTGAAAATACATCATCAAAGGTATCTTGTATTGTTGGAACTAATGGAGCTTGTGGATGGTTGCCTAAGGGAAAATGTTATAAATTTGGATAATGCACTGATGCCATTGCTGCTACAAATGATGAATGTCTCTCTTATGGATCTACATGTATTACTGATGGAACTGTATGTATTGCTAAATCAACTTGTAGTAATTACATAACATAAATTGCATGTGCTAACAAAGGAACAGATGGTATATGCTATTGGAATGTCACATCAAATAATTGCAAATTGAAAGAGTGTACAGATGAGTAAAAGGGCACAAATGACTTATGCAAGCTTATCTCTGTAACAAGTGGATTATGCACGACTGATGGAACCAAATGCATTCCATAATCAACTTGCTCAAGCTATGTTGAAGCTGGATGTTTCAATGGAACTGATGGAGAATGTATATACGCATTACCAGTTGGAGCTACTACGGGAAATAAAATCTGCAGATTAAAATATTGTGAAGATATTTCTGGTGGAACATCAAATGCTAACTGTATGGGAGTAATTACTGGATTATCTTGTGTATCAAATGGAACAAATTGTATCTCTAAGGCTGCTTGCTCATCTTATAAGATTATTACTGCTTGCAATGGAGGTGGCTTTGAAAATAATATATCAACTGTTTGTGCATTCATTCCTATTAGATACAATTCATTTTAAGGAATTTGCAAGACATTCTCAGCATGTTCTGATGCTAACTAAGATGAACTTGCTTGCTTATCTAATCCATCATGCAAATGGTCTGAAAATGAAATAGGATTCTCATGTGAAAGTCATACTTGCGAGACTTATGCCATAGAGACTGAATGTCGTCCAATTCCAAGTTTTGATGGCAATTATTCAACAATATGTCTAATGTAAAATGGAAAATGTGTTTCTGCTGATCCAATCACAATTACTGATCCTAGATTATGCTACATAAAATCAGCCTATACACACAGTTGGAATATCTTAACTAGTAAATGTGAAAGTTGTATTCCTATCAAAAAATAAACGTCTGATAATCCTATTAACTCTTAAGATCCAAATACTTTAAACTCTAAATTTTTCTTATCACTTTGTCTCTGGGGTTTATTAAGCTCATTTTAATTATGAACATTTATAATAATATATTTCAATTAGTGATTTGTAAACTTTTTGTAACTATATCTCATTATTTCAACTTTTTAATTAATTGTGTTATTATTAAAAAATATAAATTGTTCAAAATAAATATTACAATCAAGAATATTATACCGCATTCTTGACTTAGCTAGATTTATTTGATTGAAGTTATTAAATTATCTATCAGAATAAAGTTAAAGATATTTAAACAAGATCTTAGGTCCTCCTAATCTTTTTATTTAATAAGGGGTATTTTTAAATATGCATTTTTATCAAATAATTTAAATTTTTTATATAAGTTATTAATATATAATTAATTCGTATTAGAACTCTTCTAATCAATTATAGACTGAAAGTATTTCTCTGTAATCTTACAAAGAATATCAACAACTCTTTCATAAGTTTATTGTTTTTTAACTTAATGAATTCAATCTTATTTATTAGAGGGAACTTTACATTTAATTTGATTGAAATTCTATCTTTACTTCCATTATTATTCAAGATTCATAAAATTGATTCTTTCTTTGAAATTTTAAGGACTGTATAAATTTAGACTAGGTTTAGTCTATTTTTGGAAGATAATTATGAACATCATTTAAAGAATATAATATTCATCTTTGAATTTTCCTATTTTTCTTCATTTAATAAAATATTTTCTTGATCTATTCAGGTGATGAAAGAAATTATTTAATATTATTATTAAATATTTTTTATTCAGTTTAAAATAACAATAATTATGTAATTTATGTATATTTATNAAATAGGATTCTCATGTGAAAGTCATACTTGCGAGACTTATGCCATAGAGACTGAATGTCGTCCAATTCCAAGTTTTGATGGCAATTATTCAACAATATGTCTAATGTAAAATGGAAAATGTGTTTCTGCTGATCCAATCACAATTACTGATCCTAGATTATGCTACATAAAATCAGCCTATACACACAGTTGGAATATCTTAACTAGTAAATGTGAAAGTTGTATTCCTATCAAAAAATAAACGTCTGATAATCCTATTAACTCTTAAGATCCAAATACTTTAAACTCTAAATTTTTCTTATCACTTTGTCTCTGGGGTTTATTAAGCTCATTTTAATTATGAACATTTATAATAATATATTTCAATTAGTGATTTGTAAACTTTTTGTAACTATATCTCATTATTTCAACTTTTTAATTAATTGTGTTATTATTAAAAAATATAAATTGTTCAAAATAAATATTACAATCAAGAATATTATACCGCATTCTTGACTTAGCTAGATTTATTTGATTGAAGTTATTAAATTATCTATCAGAATAAAGTTAAAGATATTTAAACAAGATCTTAGGTCCTCCTAATCTTTTTATTTAATAAGGGGTATTTTTAAATATGCATTTTTATCAAATAATTTAAATTTTTTATATAAGTTATTAATATATAATTAATTCGTATTAGAACTCTTCTAATCAATTATAGACTGAAAGTATTTCTCTGTAATCTTACAAAGAATATCAACAACTCTTTCATAAGTTTATTGTTTTTTAACTTAATGAATTCAATCTTATTTATTAGAGGGAACTTTACATTTAATTTGATTGAAATTCTATCTTTACTTCCATTATTATTCAAGATTCATAAAATTGATTCTTTCTTTGAAATTTTAAGGACTGTATAAATTTAGACTAGGTTTAGTCTATTTTTGGAAGATAATTATGAACATCATTTAAAGAATATAATATTCATCTTTGAATTTTCCTATTTTTCTTCATTTAATAAAATATTTTCTTGATCTATTCAGGTGATGAAAGAAATTATTTAATATTATTATTAAATATTTTTTATTCAGTTTAAAATAACAATAATTATGTAATTTATGTATATTTATAAATAATAATAATGTAAAAATGAAATTTCACTTGATTTCATCTAATTAATTTTTGCTTTTAAAGTATTCAATATCTTTATCAGATAATTAAATTAACCTTCCAAAATTATCTACAAGATGATTTCCATCTTGATTCATCACATATCCATTTTCATCTACTTAATAAATGATTTCATCTTCTTCATTCTCATTTTCATGAATGATTGACATTTTATCTATAATTAAATTAATTTTTTACATCTATCCATATCCTCTTTGGTGAATATAATTTGTTATTCTTCTTAATTCAATAATTTAACTGGTGACTCTTTTTCTTTGATTAAATTACTATTATCAGATTCAATAGTATCATTATATTAATTATCTGGTAATTTTCTATTTAATAAATAATCATTGACTTATTTATTAAATTATTCATATTTTTTTATATATGTGTCATATGTGTCTAATGTAATTTACTATTAAGGTTATTATTATTAAGTGCTTTGTAATTTAAGTTAGTTATCAAAATATGCTTGTAATTCTATTATTATATCTTATTTAATTCCTGAATAAAGGGCAAGATCATTATTTTATTTTATCTATTCTTTTTATAATTCATCAATTTGATTTTTAAATTTGATTGCTTATTCTTATTCTTATACTAATTACTAATTTAATGATTCTATTTAAGTAATAAATGTTTTATTCATTTTTTTTTGTTCAAGTAAATCTTGCTTAGTTTATTCTAATTCTGTTTTTAGTAATTCAAAATCTTTTCGAGAAAATTCAAACATTTTGAGCATTTCTTCTTTTAATTATTTAATTTGGGTATCATTTGAAGATTGAGATGGAAAAGCTCCAACTGGTATTTATTATAGAGATCTTTATGAATGTTATGGAGTATCATATTGACTTAATAGTCTGCCCGATTAAAATGCTTTTGGATTTAAATTTTCTTTTTCTCTTTCTCTAGATTAATGATGTTATTATTAAACAGGTCTCAATTCTTCAGTTTTAAGAACTATTGGTTATTAACAATATTGTGGTTGTTAAGGAACTACATATTATGGTTGAAGAAACTGCATGCGATTAGATTACTATTCTATAAGCAAATAAATGATGGATATTACAAATTCTGGGACATGGACTAGATGGAGCTGGAGATAAACGTCGCTGTTAGTGCATTTTAAAAATAAAAAAAATTAAAAATATAATGAAGACTCAATAAGCATATCTATCATTAGAATAGATGACATTAAGTTGCTTAACGAGTCAGAGAGAGTATAAATTGGTAAATTAAAAGAGAAATTCACTTTTAATATCATTAGTTTAGCCAAAAAGGCTAAGAAATACATCTTAAATTGCTGAATTAGATGATATACCAAAGAAATAAAGAAGAAAAAGCTTCTAAGAAGGTAAGAGTGGATAGAAATTACTTAGATTAAATTGTCTATATCCATAATCTATTTGTTTATAGCATATTAGTCAAAAGCCAAAAATAGATAATAAGATTGTATTACGTAAAGCTGTAAAGAGGGCTTCAGTAATATTATCGACTGTGAAATATTGGAAAGATCGTTCTCAACTAAAAATAGAAGTTCCTACTATGTTTAAATCAATGCATTAGAGAAATAGTTATGCAAGTGATAGGAATGCAATTACTACTCGTAGTATAAAGAGAAGTGATTAAAATCCTGTATTGTTGAATCAATTTAGAATTAGAAATAATGAAAGACTGATCTAGTATGGACTTGATAAGACAGCCTAAAAAGCAAAGTCTGCAAGTCACCATTTACCAAATTATAACTTACAAAGTTATTCTACACGATATAGCATATAAAATGTACATATCAGAATAAAACAATGATGATAAATTGAATTTATATAAATTTAGACTTATTTTTTAATTTGTATTTTTACAATTCAAAAGAGTAATGATGAAATTTTAATATTCATAATTCTACTTTAAGTCTAGAAGATTAAGTGGTTTTAAATAATGAATTCGAATTGTTGACTATAGGAAATGATTCTTTCTTTATATTGGATAATTTCAATCTTCGTTTGATATAATTATTGATAACTTTATGTTCCAAAAATCCACAATAAATTGAAGTCTTTGTTGTACCTGGAGTGATTGGATCATATTTGATTGGTTCATTATCATAGATTTCTGTTCTTATTAATCTTTTATGTTTTTTTGGAATCATTTTTACTTTTTCTGTTTCATTTTCATAAAGTTTAGTAAAACAATAACTACATAATGATATAGTTTAATTTATGAATACTGTATTATTACGAAATTCTTAATATTCTTCTAAAGTCATTCTTGGATACATAATCTTGATTACTCTTGGTATTAATTGAGTTGGATCTATTTTTATTAATTAAGCATTCATTCTATAAGATTTTGGAGATTAAATTTAAGATCTATGATCAGACCCAGATTCCCAATAATGGATTAATTCTTTTAATTTAACTTTTGAAAATTCTATTTAATTCTTTTCTTCATCACAAACTATACATTTTGAATTATCTGATAAGGTGATTGCTTTAGGATAATTTAAAAGTTCTTTAGTAACTTTTTTGGTTATCTAAAAATCCGCTTAAATCAGTTAAATGTATACGTAATGCAAATTTACTAGGAATATTTGATGTTGATAAATTGGAACATAAAATTAAATAGATTTGTCCCTTTTTTGATAATTTAAATATCAATTCCATCAATGTGATTTCTTTTTAGTTTTAAGTAACATTTATAACATGAGACATGATTAATCCACATAATAATTCTAATCTTTGACAAAATTATGTTCCCTTTAAACTGAAAATCTTAAAAATTATATATTATACGTTGATTATTCAACAGGTCCATTTGGTGTTTCAAATGTAACTGCTCTTTAATATATATCTGCTTTCTACATCATTATTGGATATTTATTTGTGAACACTTCAAAATAACACAAATTGTTTCCCCATGTACATTTTATCACTTCATTCTTTTCAGCTATATGAATATTCATATTAATCTACATTTTGGATAAATGAATTTCTATAAATAACCCTTTGTTTCATAATTCATTTGAGATATTAATTAGCATAGAAGATATTGAGATAGAAATTCGAATTCTGTTTAATTATCTTTCTTAGTTATCCAAACTGCACATATCTCATGATTATCATTTTTATCCTTGACAAAATCATTTAAAATAGACTCTAAATTCAGTTTTGTTTTGCTCTTCCTCATTATTTATGAATCCACACTATAATACCAAAAATGAGGCTATCCTTAAAGTATTTATATTGTGTCAGGAACATCTAAGCGTATATTGTTTTTGAAAATTGGATCTTAAAGCCATAACAAATGAATAAGATTGAAATTGAATCCACATCCTTCTAGCTAAAACTTATTAAAACTCATTATATTTAGTATTGCAAAAATTAATAATCAATATCCTTATACAGAAATTAAGCCAAACTTTATATTAATAATCAATTATTTAATCCATATTTGAAATCATTTCATCTTGTTATCTATATCAAATATAATTTTGTTAATAATAGCTTAAAAAATATATCAACTCACTTTATAAATTATAATTAACAAAATTTTATTTAATGAATTGTAAATTATTCATTACTCAAATTTTGAATTCATGTGTTTTAAACGCCTATAAAGTTAAAAAATTAATATCCTAATTAATGGATTAGATATTTTTATTATAAAAATAATGCTTTACTGAAAACACTCTTTTTAGTAATTAATATTATTGATGTTTATTAATTTCAAAAATAAATAAATCTCTTTTGATATCACTCTCAATCATCATCACTTGAACTTAAATCTTCATCATTCTTTCTTTTTTCATGTTCAGTCATTGTTGGTGGAATCTACAATAATGGAGACTTTTGCAAGGGAGATTTACTAAATTAATCCTTTAATTATAATTATTATCTTCTTTATTCATCTAATAGCCTTACTAAATGTTTAAAATATTATATTACATCCTTCTTTAACTGATCTCACTTCATTTTAAAATTCAATATTTGTATTGAATGTTCTTTATTATGGCTATTATGGTTATATTAGTTATTTAGTACTTTGAACTCTATTAGGTTAGATTTAAACTTCATTAACTTTAGGCAAACACTTTTCAATAAATCTATAAATATTATTTATTTATATAATTACCTCTCTAAATCCTAATTAAATAATTTGGATTCTTAGATTCCTAAATAATATTCATTAAAATCTAATTTGAAATGTAGGAATTTTAATCTATCTTCCTTTTTAAGTTTTTCAAGTAATTCAAACATTTAATCTCTATATTATTTCCTCAATTCCAATAAAGACTTTATAATATCTTAATTTTTATTTTGATTTAATCTACTTATATTTTATTGTTTATTTAATAAATTCTTCAATTATAATTGCTAATTATCTGTTTAAGAAATTTAATCTTTGGCATAACTTAAAAGTAATTCTTGACAACTCTTAAATCTGAATATATAATCAAATAATTTGAATAACAACTTTTATGTTGATTCTCCTTTAGTATTTAAGAATGATCTATCTAATATATCAGAAATGAATAATTCATGTATTTTTATTAAACCATCTAAATCTTATATTTTATCACATTCATCAATAAACTTTTTCCAAGAACTTTCTATTGCTTCTAACATTAGATAACTATAGAAATTTTTAATAAAATGTTGCATTTCATTCATCATTTAATAACTTAATTAAATTGCTTTTTTTATAGTTTAAAATTAATTAGGAATTGCCATAAATTTCTAATGCATTTTCCAACATTAAGTCAATGTAAATTCAACTCTTTTTATTCTCCATAAAAAATTGAATATTCTATAATATGATAACATAATTTTCTAATTAAAAATTGTATTCAAAGGTTCATCTATAGTATAATCTAAACAGAATATTTCCCATCCAGTATCATTTTAGGAAGGTTCAAGAAGTTTAACATTTAATCTAACCTCTTATGATATATTTTTGAATGCTGATTCTAAAATACTTAATAAAGTATGTCTATAACATTATTATGCTGGTTTATTTAATTCTGTTTATAATAATTCCATTAAAGTATGTATAAATTCTCCTTAACCTAATAATAAGAATCTTTTAATTGCATTAAGAGTAATTTTAAAGTTTGGTTTAATCAATTAAATTAATTATTTGTTATATTCCTTATTGACTTAATCAACAAAAAGAGAAAATTATTCTGTTCCAAGTAGATCAATAGTTATTAAATCATAATTTTAATTGAATTATGTAAATTTCTTCTATTTTCTAAGCCAATTAATGACTCTACCTGTATCAAATATTTTATAAGAATCATTCAAAGATATCATATAAGGTATTTTATCTTGATTAACTTTAAATTCATTCTTCCACAATTCTCCACTATCTCTTATTTATATTTTATTAGAATCATTTCTTTCTATAAAGAATTCTTATGCTTAATCACTTAAAGATCCATCAAAAATCCATTAATTTATAAATCTAACAATTGGAATAGTTGTTTAATGTAATATTCTAGAAAATAATTAAGATGTTTATGGACAACCATGTTTTGAATATCTACAGAGAATAGAAATCACTAATGAAGATGTAGTTCCTAATTAAACATTAGTCAAAATTTAGGATAAAACTAAATTAATTTAAACTAAATGATGCATTGGCTATTTCAACCACATATACATTTTTCTTAATGTTAAGGTAGATTCTGCTAGAAGATTTTCAAAATATGCAATCAATCTGTAATATTCATTTAATTCTTCTTTAATGGAATTCTATAATGCTTACAATACTAAACTATTATAATTTGATTATGTGAATGTTTATATTTTTTTGAATAACCAACCACATTCACACATAACATTAAGTAATTTTCTACTCGCAGAACTAATTGCTATATCTTTTTTCACTTAAAATGAATCATTAATTGGATCATAACATATGAATTAACTTTCTATACCTTATATACTAAATATTAAATCTTTAATCAAATCTTTTTCTGTAATAGATAGAGTTACATTTCCTTTATCAGTAATTTATTGAATAATATTCAATTAATCATTATTTTTAGGACTCTCTTCTATAATTTTCTTAGGTATAGTTTAGGAATAATTTATTTAAGAGATCTCTTATGATTTAAATAAAGTGTCTAAAGTTTAATTTGTATAACTATTATTTTAGCCTAGTTGACTTGTACGAAAGAGGAAATGAATTAGTTCATTCTTTTTTCTTAATCTCGTTTTGCTCAATCGATTCAAACAATCTTGTAATCTATATGCTTATGATTTCTTTTGTTTAGATATGATATTACATTAGTCATTTTAGTCATCTCTGCCTGGAGTTCAGATTCATCCATCAATTAAATACCTGTTCGTACATTTAGAATTCTCAAAAAATAGGTTTTATAGTTATTTAATGTACTATCCTCAATTGAATCTGGAAATGCTTGCTTTACTAATTGATGTAATAGTGTTTATGTCTCCATTAAATATTTGAATTGAAATTTTTGGTGGAGTTTATAAAATAATTTATAATATAATCATTTTTGATCATTATTATTATATATTAAATAGATCTTAGATATCAATTATTTAATTATTCCCACTTCACACATTTATTGTTTAACCATTATCCTATAGTCATGATTCCATTCTCTATTAATTTCGATTCTCCTTACAATTTTCCATCTACCCAATTACTTTAAAACCTACATCCATCTGGCCATTTGAATAAACCTTCACCATTTTTGATATCATTTTTGTATTACTTTTAATTCATGATATTTTTACACATTCAAATATATTTCCATTCTCAAATACAATCTAAGCACTGCCTTCTTTTCTATTATCAATCCACTTACCAAACTTAATTATAACATTATTGTACCAATTAATTTCATTCCATTTGGATATATGTATACTCCTTCTCCTGAAAAACTATCCTTTTAAAATTATCCTTCATAAGATGATCCATCTGGAAATGTTATTTTTCCTTTACCATGTTTCTTCCCTTCTAAAAATGTTCCTTCATACTCTGTTTTATCAGCAAATACCTCTCTACCAATTCCATGCTAAAATCCATTATGCCACTTTCAATAAAATATTTTATTATTACCCAACCTATATATTTGTCCCCATTCTTTCTAGTATATATACCCCAACCCTCTGCAAATCCATTCTCCATCTCTCCTTCATAAGTATCTCCTTCTGTAAATTCTACATTCTCATATTGTTAAATGTTTTCAGCTGTACAATTTCCCATTTTATTATAATTATTATTTTTAAATCAATATTTGTTCAATTTATTATCAATCTAATTAAATGAATTTTGTCTTTAGAATATCTTTCATAATCTATAAAATAATATTTAAAAAAATACTAATTTAAAATTATCTCCAAGATTTACAAAACATAATTTTAATTTTTTCAATCAAAATTCTATTTTTAGTTATTATAAATTTTAAAGAATCAATACCTTAATTCTTATATAAATTTTAGAAATCTAATTATATATTCAAATTTAAATTTTATTTATCTTTATTAACAACTGCTGGTTTTACAATCAATAAATTTATTATTATAAACATATTTATGTACTTATGATTTTATAAAAAATAAAAATTAATTTTCCATTTATATTATATAAAACCTTTATAATTATTAATTAATTAATATAATATAATGAAATTTGATTAATGTTTTGAATGAATAAATTCTTTTCTAAACTTGTTTTGACAATTAATGGAAGTATTTATAAATCTCTTTTGATATAATATTCATAATAATATATTTCTAAATAAAGAATTTGATAATTATTTACAATAAAAATATATAGATTTGATTGAGACAATAATAATGTATTAATATATAAATTTTATCCCTTATGTTAATTAATGTATTGAAAATTTAATAATGTTATAAGGTTTATATTAAAGTTCAATATTATTTGCCTTTTTCATTTTCATCATCTGAGAATCCTAAATCATTCATAAGTTCTGTTACACTTTTTTCAATGTCATCAATACGCTTTCCTAATAAAATTGATCATTTTTAATTAATTACCCATATCATCAATTCTAGAAACAATTGTACCTTGCATTTCATCAAATCTATCTTACATTTGTTTGAGGAGTGTTTACACAAAGTTATTTAGCTCTTTTGTAGAGGGATCTTCTGCCATTTATTAGGTTCTATCGTTCATTTGAATTTATAAAATATATATTATTAACTATAATTTAATATGAGAACATATATATATAGTTTTATTAATATTTGTTTGAATATTTTGATAATTGATATTTAAGATGAATGATATTAATTAAAGAATGAATGTTATTTGTAATATGTAAATTTGTTTGTAATGGATTGTTGAAAAGATATAACAATTAGATTCAAATAATACTGAAATTTTATCTTGACATAAAATAAATTTAAGATTTTCTTATTTAAGATATTATTGTTGTATATTTGATTATGATATGCAATTTAAAAGATTGAGAGCATTTAAGATATGAAAGATTATGGTGTTTTCTAAAGAAAAATAATTGATAAATAATCTATCATTTAATGAAAACAAAGTTTTGGAGCGCTTATAAAGAAGATGTGAAAATTGGAGAGCTTTTGATAAAGTCAGAATTTTAGAAGAAAGGAAAGGTTCGATATTTAGGTGGGAGTGAGACAATGCTAATAATATACGAGGTTTCAATGAGAGTTTAAACATAAGGACCCCCAATTCAAAAAGCCTAAGAAGTACACTATGATAGACTTTGATCTAAAATTTGAGATGATACGAACAGCCCCTAAGATGAAACCTGGTTGTTAGGTAATAAAGCTATCAGGAAGTGCTCGAGCTGATTAAGTGAAGAGCGAGAATATAGAGAAACTTGGAGAGGCTATTGCGTTGTGGCTATTTCGAGATGAGGAACATAGATATGAGTTATGTGCTCATTCTTTGATTCTAACACAATGGAGATGGTTTTTGGGGAAGAGGATTAATTAATATGGGTTTCATCACTTGTTTAAGGTTTTTAAGAAGATTGGAAAGGGAAACTTTGCATCAGTTTATTTGGCTGAGAGAGTAGAGGATGGATAATAGATGGCTATTAAGGCATTTTCAAAGAGTGTGGCATATGCAGAAGAGAATGGAAAGGAAGGTTTAATGAATGAAATAAAGTTGATGCGGTAATTAGATCATCCAAACATAATTAAATTACATGAAGTTCATGAGACAACAAATTCATTATATGTTTGTTTAGAATTATTGGAAGGTGGACAATTATATGAGTAATTAAAGAAGAAGGTCATATTTTCAAATAAAGAGATCTTAACTATTATAAAAGGATTATTAGAAGGTATTTCTGAAATATATATTAGGTCTCAAACATATTCACTCCAAGGATATCATGCATAGAGATATCAAATTAGAAAATATCTTATTCAAAAAGCCTAATCAAATAGAGTCTGTATGTCTGGCAGATTTTGGATTGGCTACTTATGTTCATGAGGAAGTGTATTTGTATTGTAGATGTGGCACTCCAGGGTATATGGTTGAATATATATAATAGATTTGTGGCTCCTGAAGTTATCAATATCAAAGATCTCACAACAAAATATGATAAAGTTTGTGATATTTATTCTTTAGGGTTGGTATTCCATTTGTTATTGACTGGGAAGCCAGCTTTTACTGGTCGTAGTTATACAACAATAGTGAATCAAAATAAGGAAGCTAAAATATAATGGAAATCATCAGCATTTGATATAATTCCAAAAGCAGCATTAAATCTTTTAAAAAGAATGTTAGAAACAGATCCAAAATAAAGAATTACAGCAGAAGAAGCATTAAAACATAATTATTTTAATCCTTATCATATTCCAAATATAGCTTAATTTGAAGATGAAAATATTGATATTGATGATAGTTGTTAATTAGATTAAAGATTATAAAAGATTAATGATCTTAATAATAAATTTGATATGATGCGTATTAATCAACTAACTAATTCACCAATTAAATCTCCAAATATTAGAGCTACATAAACTTAGGCTATGAAAGAATAGATGAAAGAAAGTGTTTAATTACAAGAATAGATGATTATGCATACTCCAATTATTACAGGTAGAATAGAAAGTATTGATGGTAAATATATTATATAATTTAATTTTATATAGATTCCCCATTAGAAGGATCAAAATAATAACAAAAAATGAAAGAAGGCTTATCTAAACATAAGAGACAAGAATCTTTGAATTTCCTTTAAAAATATAAATAATAATAATAATAACCAATTAATGATGAAGATTCATTACATTAATAAGATGATTGTAGAGAACCTGCCATTTAATAGGTAAAATAGAGTTTAAGCAAAAATTTGTGATTTATGCTAAAACAGCTTATAATATATCTATTCTAAATATTAAATAATTGGATAATTAAAAAAAAAAATATTCTTTTCTCCTTTTAATTATAATATAATAAATATTTAAATGGATAACTAATTTGAACTTGAATAAGTCAATAGGTAATTAGATATAATAAATAAATAGTAAATCTGAAATTATTCTTGAAAAATGTCTTACAATGATGCGACCTGAAGGATTAGAATAGTTTCATTTTCGAATTGAAGAACAATTTTATAAAGTCAAAGTAAACAGTTATAGTTTATTTAAATTGTAGTAAAATAAAGTACTTTTGATTCATGAAAAAGAGGGAGATGATTTATAGACAATGATTGCATATTGGATTCAAGAACATTAATAAAGAAATGTAAGCATTATTTAAGAATAAAGAGAGATTTAATTATCCCATATTTTGTTGAGCATGAGAACTAAAATCATTATTATGCTATATATTACATTTTAACTAAATTACGAGTATTTATAATGAATATATAGGCTGTTTTTAATATTACATAAAAAGTTGAATTAGAGAGTGAGAAATTAAAATAATATTTTGAATATTGGTTGAATTTATGTTCAAGAGAACTTGGTAATCAATTATACAGTGATTGTAAAGTAGCATACAAACGAGTATATTATATAGTATTATTGAGGGTCATTATTGTAATTCAAGGCATAGATAAATATTATAGTGGTGGTGAAGTTCGTGTATCATCTTGGTTACCTAAAATATTACCTGATAATATTAAACTTATTGCATCTGCTAGATTTGGTAGTAAAGCTTATGAATATTATTAATCTATTGGAAATCCCATCATTCCTATGTAAATATTAAATATATTATTCAAGTGAAAATGAAAGTACTGAAATTTGGAATCTTATAAAGAATAATTTACCTATAAATAATGCTATAATGCATATTCCTGAATAATTACGTTCCCAATTACATTTTCTCAAAATATTTTATAATATCCTCAGTAATCCACTTGATGAATATTCATAATTAATTTTGGATGTTTTATCATAAGCAGAAAGTATTAATTAAATAATTAATAGAATTTCAAACTGAAGTTGAATTCTTTATTATTCTTGTGAATTAGTTTTGCATCCATGATTAAATTGCTTCTTCTATTTTTTGTGTTCTTTCATATGTTAATAAAGGTATCTCAATAGATGAAATGACAGCTAGTTGTTCATGCACTCAAGAATAATTCATTAAAGTTTATGATTTTTTCAAGGTAAATGAATGAAACATAATTATATAGATCTGTTTCCTAGAGAAGAATCAAGTCTATTCTATATATATACTTACTATGAAATAAGCAATCTAATAAATCTAATTTAATAAAAACCTTTATGAATAATACTTATTAATTATTGAACATTCAACTAATTCTACTAGAAAATTAGAAGAACTTATTTAATAATATACTAAAAATAAAAAGTACTTTAAACTCAAAGAAATAATTATTAATATTGAACATTTCCTTATTCTTTGGAATCCTTATAATAAATTTGAATTATGTTAATTATGGGATATGCTTGAATAAAATGGATATGATTTAGTTATGGAATATAATAAAGCAGTAGAGAATTTCTAAGCCATTTATAAACCATCAGCAGAAGGATTATTTTTTATTATGTTATAAATATGCATATTTCTAAGAGAATTCTCCAATTTTGAGAAGTAATATTAATTTCACTATTTAATAGAGAAGGCACTCCTGCTTATAAACATCCATTATTAAGAGGTTAATCTATAGAATTTGAAGAAGTAGGATTATATGGTGAGTTAAGTTAATTGAAAATGTTAGCTAAGAAAAAACCAAAGTAATAATTGAATGAAGATTATTTTCCAACTATAATGAGTACTGTCTAATTAGAGAATCTTAATTTAGATATTAAAAATAATAGAGATAGTTTTATTGCTTATTATCAATCATAATTTGATTCAAACATTTTACAAGAATATTTATAAACTAAATAAGATTTTTTAAGAGAGAAATTATTATCTACTTCTAAAGTTCCAAATCCTTATTATTATAAGAGATGGTTATGGGTGTAATTTCCATGGCTAGCATTAACATAAAAAAACAATTTCTCTAAACTTATGTAATTTTATGGAAAAGATTCTACTTAATATATGTCCATTTAAGAAGAAATATAAATTAATTAAAAGGCTATTCGATTAGTTATTAATGCTAAGAGTTCTAAGGATAAATCCATTAATAAATTACCAGAAATTAGACAAAGATATTATAGTCCTATGGTAAATAAGGATGAACCTATGAGGAGATTAAATTAGTCTTTAGAAAAAAGTATTGATAGAGCACCTTCAACAAGTAGAAGAGAATTGCCTGAGAATAAAAAGAAAGTGTTATTTATTAAGAAATATAATTAATTATAGTATTAGAAGTAAGAATATTAATTAAGATTTTAGTTAATAATTAAAGAATAAATTAAAGGAATTATAAACAATTAAATAGAATTTATATCCTTAAGAAGCTACGATTGAAGCTTATCGATTAAATGACTTAACTAAGACATAGGGAGATGATTTAAAGAAATAAATGGACAATTTATAAGGAGTTTAAAATGAAATGAAAAGAATGTAAACAGTGTTAAAATTATGTTAATTTAATTAAGATTAAAATGAAGAGAGAGTATAGTAATTATTTAGACATTGTAAAAATTTGGATAGGATAATTAATGAATATAAATAAATAATAAAAGAATTAAGTGAGAAATTAAGCGTATATAAATAAAAGAGTAAAATAGAACCTATTAAATAATAAAAATAACCTATTTAAAAATAATTAATGACTATGAAAGATTTGAGTTTAGTTAGTTAAAGAAATATGACTACAAATGGAAATATTAATTTCAACTTTAATACTGATTATAAGGTTAAGGTAACATTTGATACATAAGATAATAATAGTAAGAATTTAAGACATCAATATTCAATTAATAATAATTTATAATAATAAGATAAATTACGTGAAACATAGACAAGACTTATGTTGGAATAAATGCCATCTAATAGAATGATTACTCCTGGATATAGATTATCATTAAAACCAAAAGGAGATGTAAGTGATTAAATAGATTCACATATTTTAGAATAGATTAGATAACTTAATTTTTTAGGAATTGCTAATACTTATAATAATCCAAAATTTGATGATTTTTTAAATCATTTAACAAAATGTAATGAATTAAATTTAGAAGTATAAGAATGTTCAATTAAATTAAATGAAGTTAAAATTAAGAAATAAGAAAAATAAACATTTTTGAAAGTATGAAATAAATACTTATATTAATAGATATTATAAAAAAATGAGAAACCATAAGATGTAAAAGCTGAATAATTCATATCATCTGATGATGTAGATAAATTAAGAAGAGCAAATGATGCTAAAACAATTACTTTAAAGAAATTAAAATAAAATAAGGCAGTGTATGACTTTTTCCGTAATAATCTATATAAAGATGTTAATGCTTTCATTCCAATCAAAGATAACTTAACAATAACCTAAATGTTTAGTGTGATTTTAACTAATTAATTTTCATTATAATCATGATTCGAAAAGTAACATAAATGGTGCCAAACATTCTAATGTATATTTGTAGAGTAATAACTCTTTTGCTCTTCTTTCCAAAAATCTACCTAATATTATACGTTAAGATGGTTAATGTAATTTATGCATTCTATAAAAGAGATCTCTTTCAGATGCATCATAATTATGACTTCTAATAAGCATTAATTTTAATTCTATTTCTCTTACTTTCCATAGATCTTAATCCTTAAAATATTAAGCATCATTTTTAGCTAAATATTCATCTAATCCTTATAATAATTGAAGTTCTTCACATATTACAGCAAATCTTTAAAATGACATGTATTATATAGAAGATTATTCAATATCACATTCAGAATGAAATATATTTATATAGTATTATTCTTCTTTCTTACTTTCAAGTTCAAGCATGAGTAATCTAAATTAATTCTAAGTTAATCTTTCACCTTCTTCTGCAAATATTTACAATATCATAGAATATTTAAGTAATAATTCTTAAATTTTGATATCTTACATAGGTCCTAAATGATGAGAGATCTCTTAATCATAATCAATATATTGAGGCGATTTCTATAAACTTTTTATATGATCAGCTAATTAAGATTGTAGAACTGAGATTCCAGTATCTTAGAAGTTGATGTTTTATATGTTGCTCAAGATTTATAAGTAAATCAGGAAACTTAACTAATTAGTGTATAGATAAGATTAAGTACATCTCCGACCAACATTGCATGAAATAGTCTGGCTGAATCATTCTTTCTTTTATAATAGATTACTGATTTAATCACTCTTGCTACTTTACCTAACCAAACATTCTATGGTTATGATTAATTCTCACTAGAAAAATATTCATATAATTAGACATGCATAGGATAATTGAATTTATTAAATTTTAAACACCAAGATACAAAATTAGATAATGTTTTTATTAATGTACCTTAAGTTACAATATTTTCTATTTTATCTCTTCTAAATTATTGAATCTCTTATAATAATGTTTAAGTTGCAATTTAAGTATTTTTACTTGGACATCTACTAACAAACAATTTCTTTTCTATTGAAAGTAGATTCTTCACAGGATTCAAACATTCAGATAAATCTACTTCTTCAGAAGAAGAACTAGATGAATCTTCGAATTTATTATCAGGAAAGACTTTTAGATAATATAAATTAGATACAATTTAATGTTATTTGTGGTTTTTGAGGTGAAAGCATTTCAGGAACTTCTGGTGAATCATAACTCAATTCAACCAAAGAATTACGTTATGGGAGACTATTATCTTATTAGGGTTCCAGAGGTGTCATTGGAGGAAAGAATCCAAATGAATGTTTAGGATTTGTAGATAACAATAAATTTGGACTAGTACTTTAATGTTAAGGAGGTAAAAGAGAAGTGGAACTATTAATAAATACCTATTATTGTGGAGGATTCAAATTGCTCAAATTATTAATACTTGCAATCATAGGATTTGGAGTTGGAGAATATGCTTTAGGAAATTCTAAATGAATTTTATGTTTATTTGCCTTACGACGTATTTAATCTTAATGATATTAAGGAATGAATCTGGAAATTTATTTAAATTGCTTTTCAATAAAATTATAATTCTTAACTTACTATTAGTATTTATTACTCAATATATCTAATCTCTTTTAAATTTGATTCTTTTATCTTATAGCTTATTTACAATCGATTTAAGTTTCAAATATTTAGATTTTACGAGCAATCAATTCATCCTTTAATTTATGAATGATATCTTGAAAGTGATGAGTTAAAAATACAAATACTGAATAAGAACTCTATACATATTTATCTACTTCAATGAAATCATCTGAATAGAATTCTTCTTTCATTTTCATAATATTAAATAATTGAGATGATCTAAATTTAAGTTGATCGAGAACACTTTCAAATATATCAGGAAATGTCTTCTTTTCAATTTCTACTCTCTCTATATATAATTGATAGTAATCATCAATAAATGCTTTAATTGGATATCTTGACATTTCTAAATATGTTTATTCATCATGATTTCTTGGTATACATTCTCTTTTGATAAGTGCATAATTGGCTTCACAAGCTTAATTAGTAGTTTAAGGTGGTAATGTTTGAGTTCCTTATTCATAATATTTTTTCTTTTAATAAATAGTTTAAACTGAACAATCTTAAGTTTAGATTAAACTATATATATTTATATATATATATATACTCTGTTGTATGTGATTATGAATCTATAAATTTTATATGATTACCAACACATTTATCTTTAAAAAGTATCTCTTCATATTATTCCATTAAATTTTCATCTTTTTAAGCTTTATCATCATTTCCTCTTTCTAATTCTAACATTTTATTATGATATGCTTCTTCAAATTTACGAGTCTATTCTTCAAATACTAATTTAAAATCATCAAATATTTCTTTCTTTGCTTTATATAATTCTTCTTCATAATCAGCTGTTACATTTTCTGTAGAATGTCTTACTTATTAAAATAATTTAAGTGTTTGATTTTCTTTATTTAAATCTTATAATTGCAATTTCAACAATTCAATATCATTATTAAGACTTGTAATTTATGTTTGAAATGTTATAGTTTTCTTACGTAAATATTTATTCTCTTTATTCAATTTTTCTACATATTCTATATTACGTTTCAATTATTTTTCTGCTTCTTATAATCTTTATACCTTCTCTGTCATTGAGTTCTAATACCTCTCATGAACCTTAATTGTATTAGCCAAACTCTCTTTTTCCAATTTACGATTTGTTTTAGATTATTTATCTATAATCTCTTTCACAGTGCTTGTAAATTGTGTCCATATCTTATCAATCAATTAAGAATAGTCATTGCATTTCACAGACAACTATTAACAAAGCTATCCTATTGAACCAGAATAAATCAACTCTATTTTATCATAGAATTCAGTTATATTATAGAAATGTTGCTTTTGAATCTGTTACACCATTGACTTAATAATTATGTAAATTACATACATCAATCCATTATTATAATAATTACAAATCCTTTCTTTCACTCTACTCATTTGATATCTTTGATAAAGTTCTAAAAGTCTTATTACTTGTACCAAGGTTTGCTCTACTCATTAATTGATTCATTGCAAATATCTATTATACCTTAATTATTTATACAGTTCCATCTTCTCCTTATATTGTCTTATTGATCTATTACACAGATGGTAATTTTACAGGAGATGTATGTTCATCACTCATAGTTTAAACCCTTATTTGTTTCTCTCTTCTCATTATTGTTAAATATTTTATGTAATTACTAAATAATTTTAGACTTTTATTCAACACTTGCAATGTATCTTATAAATTTATTTAAATTTCTACACTTTCCATTAATAATTAAGTCTTAAGGTAATAATCTCAACACTTAACACTTGTTAATAATTATTTTAGTATATTAAAATAATAGGAATTTAGATTAATAATAAGTTTCCATTTATCAATTGCACTTCTCATAATAAAAGAATTTCTTTTATTAATATTCTTATTCAATATAAATGTTTGATAATTATTGTAGATAAATTATGCAGCCTAAAAGAGCTATATTTAATCGATCAGATTTAGAATGTGGTTATCCTAGACATGATTTCAAATTATAAGGTCTTTAATGTTCTCTATACAAATCCAATAAAACTACATAAATATGTGTCTTGTATTTACATGGATATAATGGGTCCAGATTAGAAGCTGTACCTTATGCTACTGCTATCTTATAATCATAAATGGATTTATGCACTTTTGATTTCCAAGCAGCTGGACAATCAGATGGAGACTTTGTAACTTTTGGGTATATTTATTTTATCTATCAAAAAAAGATTAAACGAATAACTCAATGTAGTATTTCTAGTTGATTATTTGTAAGATAAATACTAAAACATAATATTATGGGGAAGATCAATGGGAGCTACAACTGCATTGATGTATGCTTTAAAACATTAAAATATTCATTGTTTGATTTTAGATAGTCCTTTTATTGCTCTTGAAGAAGTAATTCTCAATCTCATTAAAGATAAATTAGGTACACCTGATTTGATTAATAAGGGATTATTTGAAATAATTAAAAGTATTGCATTACTATTAATAAAATAATTAGGATAGATTTTACAATTATACAAATTTTCCATTTCTTCAGTCAAACTACCATAATGTTTGAATATTAATTGTCCTATGTTATTATTGGGATCTAAATTTGATAGTCTTATTCCATATCATCATTTTACAAAAATTCTCGATTCATATCAAGGACAAAAACAAATCATTCATCTCTATACTAATCATAATGAATTAAGATCAAAAGATATCATTAATACAATAATAGGATTCATTTAATCAACTATCTTATTGATTAAAAATAATCCTAAAAATCGTTTTATTGTAGATATACAATCAAAATAATACATTGCTACTGGAATCAAAATTAAATAAAAAATAATGAGAAATTAATCTAATGTTAATTATAATTAAAATTCAGCCATTTTATAAAAACATAAGGCATTGCTTCAATTATCTAATATAGATTGATATGATTATTTATTGTTTATTACTTATACATTTAAATTTGTTAGACTAATTAACAATTATCTAATCATAATCTTTTTTTCTGTAAATAAAAATATATTATTTATTATAGCTCAAAGGGTATTAGTTATACCTAATTATGCTATGAATAAATATCAATATATATATATTAAAGATTAATTAAAAATATAGAGAAATGATTTTTGCAATATAATAAATCTCTTGAAATTATATACATTATTTTTACTCATCTATTGATATTCTTAAGTGATCTTTCAATTTTTTATGACATTTAAAATAGCTCATTTACATAGCCTCTTGATAATTATTTTATCTCATCTGGTTTTGAACAATCTAATAGTCTTGATATCTCTAATAACTCAGATAATGGAATGGCTAAATCAAGTCTTTTTGAAAATGAATGAGTTATGGTTTATCTATTATCTTTTACAGTAGATTATGTAGAAGGGGATTAAAATTACCAACTTCCCAAATTTCCAAGAGATTAGTTTTTTCTTCTAAATGCTGATAACATATCATTATTTTAAGTGTGAAATCTACTTGGGTTATTTCTTATAATCAATTAAATTAATTACCCATCTTAATTTTCAAAGATTTTACTGGGTGATGCCAAATTGGAATTATGATCTTCCTTGCTTTTATTCAAGATTATGTGATGATACCTATTATCTGATTTATTGTCTATCTATTCTACCCATTCTGTTGGATATCTTATTAATTAAAAATTATAAGTTACCTTCTTAATTCTTTTTTATCATCATTATCTTTAATTGCAGAACTATTACGACTAGTTATCGTAAATGCTTATGATTAATTTAAAAATGTGCTTCTCTTAATAATTGATGATTGTTGAACACTTGAATGCATAGAAATAAAATTTATTTCTTAATAAAAATCTACTATTACTATTATTTATTTCTGAATAACAATAATTTCAATTAAAATTCTTAAAATTTCATATAAATTTCATGATGTTTTATTCAAAATGATATGTTTTGATTAATATTTCTAATTATTATTTTATCCCAATTTGTCTTTATAACTACTTATTTTATTATGATTATATCAGTATAAGAATTAATTATTAAATATATAAGTAATTATCTGTTATAAACTAAAAATAATAATAAAGTTTTACTGAAATAGATATACTAAATATATAGTTTATTTTTTAATTATAATATTATATGTTTATTTAAATATCATAGATATAATTATGGTTTAAATAATTAACAAAAATGAACAAAATATTCATTTTATCAAATCTACTTTTTTTCTAATATTTTCTATATTAGTTTTTATTTCCAATATCTATCTTGGATTATGGGATCTGGTACTTTATGTGCAAAAGAACTAAAATAAGGGAATAATTAATACTTCTTAAATGTTGTTTTAAATTAACCATCATAAGATCCATTACTTTAAATGTGGCTACTATTTTATTTTCTTAAAGGTAAATCTTCAAAGGTATAACCAGGATAATGTATTTTAGATAAGGCTTCCTTAAATATCATAGAACTACTCTATGCAAAGGGTCCACTATTTAAAATTTAAATAAAAGTTTACAGAGATTTCTTCTTTGCAGACTCAGTTGGTTCACAATTAGCAGCACGAAAGCTTTCTTGATAAGATGTTTTACCAATAAATGGTAAGGCTCCTGTACTTTGACCTCTTTATGGTCCAACTCTTTCAGTTTATGCTGGTTTCCAGTTAAAATAATCTTATTTATAACTTGTTAGTGTCATCATCTCTGATGGATCTCTGTAATATGAAGGTTTATAATTTTCTTATTATTGGGGTTTAGGAGTACGATAAGACGTCTTTGGAATATAAGAATAGAAATATACCTCATATTAAGTTGATAATTAAAGAGACTGAGCTAATGGGATTTAATCATACATTTTGATATTGAAATTTGATTGATCTAAGGGTTGGAGTCTTTTGAAAACTGAATCATAGGTAGAAAGTTTTTTGTTTGGTAATGAAAGTTTCAATTCTTGGATTCTATTTTATTATCTTTCTTGCATATATAATCCAAGTAAATTAACAAAGTACTCTTGATTTTCATTAATTAATTTTTCAAGATTAAAGTTTTGATCTTATTAGAGTTCAATAGGAATCAATTCTAACCAAATGGGATCATCGATAGGAAGCAAATCAAAGACTGATGTAGTTTAGGTTTTGATAGTTTCGGATGGTGTAGGAGTGGTAGTTCGAGACTTATTGGTTTTGCTTTGTTATGAATATTGAGTGTTTTGCAATCTAAGTGATTTTTCAGGAGGGTCAACAATTTCACCTTTGTTATTTTTATAGAGTATCCTCTTTTTGCCTTTGCTTTCATATCTAGAATAGCTCTTAAGAGATCCCTCAGTTGGAGAACGAACTAGAAGAGTTTGTTGAGATGGCTGCAATAAACCTTGCATTATAATTAATGAAGATTGTCTGTTTTTTTAATATATATATATATATATATCAACACACACTTATCATTATTATTTGCATTCAGGTTTTTCTGTCTTTTTATTTTCATTCTTATCACCTTTACTACTACTAGACTTCTTTCTTTTCTAATGATATATAATATTAAATAGAATACAGATTTTTTTTTATCATCTTCATCATCATCATCATCCTCATCATCTTCATCATCATTTTCATCATCATCATCTATTTCAGCCATTTCTGGTTGTAATCCTAAGAATAATTCTATTGAACATGGTATAATAGAATCAAGGAATTCTGTTGCAATATCAAAATGTTCATTCATTAAATCATCTTATTTTTCAACTTCTTCTTCATCAAGATCTTTTTTATTTGTAAGATCAAAATCTTTAAAAAATCCAAAGAAACTAGGTGCATCAACAACTTTATCAACAGTTCTAGCTGCACCTGTTTTTTTATTCTTTTATTTTTTTGATACTTTCTTTTGAGTAACATTCTTTCCTTCTTTCCATTCAATATGAGTAGATTCACTTTTAATTGGAGTATCTTCTGCTTTTTCAAATATAAATTTCTTTGTGAGAACAGTATTAGTAAAATAATCATTAGGTGCAAAAGTGAGTTTGATAGTGAAATTATGACTATTTTCTTCAAGATCTAATTCTACTTTTTAGAGTGATTTCAATACATCCCAATCTTTTTCATTATCTTAACATACATCAGCTAAAATATAATTAAAATATTTATTACCAATAACAACTGAATTTTTAAGTACTTTGAACCAATAATCATCTATTGGTTCAGCTATATTATTCTCAGCTACAATAGCTTTTTCTGCATCACTTAAAAATTTATCAGAATTGGAGAGTTCAATATCTGTGGCTGCTCTTTATCCAAGAATTAATTCATTTTACTATAATAAGAAATAGAATTTATATTCTTACTTTCTAATATAGAGGGAGATTCAAGTGATCATATTCAATTGTGAGTTTTTAAACTTGTTCTTCTAACTCTACTTCATATTGTTATTTGCGTTTTAAGTGATAAAAGAGTGCTACTGCTTTCACTCTTTCAGCTACAGGTAGGGTTTTTATCTTAGTAATGACTTCTTCAATATTTGAGTTTTCGTGATCACTCATTAAAATTTATAATGAATTAACAAATACATTTCAAATTCATACTGCAATATCTAGAGTTCAGCTCTAAATTTGATCAATAATAATATGAATTATCAATCATGTTAAAGAGAGGAACACTAGCTGCATAAACTATTATAAGTAAAATGTAAATAAGAAATCCTGAACGAACTTCTAATATGTGTAGATTACCAATTGATCAAATTGCAGAGTTTCAATAAAAAATGGTCAATAAAGATGGAGTCTATATTGATTATAATGTAATATTCAATCATTCTAATTTAGATTAAATTTTTGTTTTATATGGGAGGCAACCAACTTGGAGATTGTCTAATCAATTTGGCATACTTTCTTAATGGTGAAATAGATTAAGATCAAAAAGTCAAAAAGCCATTAACATCTACAACTGACAAACGAGCTGCCTTATTATTTAGAGTCATAAGACAACCTTTGCAGTCTTAATTTGAATCTTAAGAATATCCTTAAGTTAATGTACCAATGCCAGTACCTACACATACTCCAATATCTCAGTAGGTTCCATAGACTGCTAGAAATTCTAGTAGTCGTAAAATGGAATTTCCAAATAGAACAACTAGAGCAAGGAGTTAATCTCCTCCTAAAGAATTTAAGAGTACTGTATTAGTAACTAAAACAGAAGAATAAACTACATCAATTAAATAACCATCTGATAATCTCACTTAAAAATTCTTGTAACTTGGTGAGAAGTTTTCATAAGAAAAATTATAATAGGTTGTTCCTCCTAATGAAGATAATGATAATTTCAAAGAAATAACTGAAATGCTTACTCAATAAGAAGAAGAATTGTAGAAATAGATTGAACAATTAGATAATCATATTAAAATTGATTCTAAATTGAGAAAAACAAACAATTTTGATTATAATAATAACACAGCTAATTTTGCAAATGTCAATAATAATAATAATCAAGAACTATAATTATTAAAATAAAAATATCAAGAATTAGATGAAAAATACAATAAAGCTTAGGATGAACACTAACATTTAAAAAGAATCATTAGATAAAGTGGAGAATAATTAAAGAAATAAAATTAACTTACATAATCAGGATATAAATAATTATCTGATAATGCTTTAAATTAATCTACAGTTTCTAATTAAGAATAATTTGAAAGAACTATTGAAAAGAAAAATCAGATAATAAAAGATTTATCAAATTAAATATTAGAATTAGAAAAAAACACTAAGGCTACTGTTATTGAACAATTACGAAATCAAATTACTAGATTAGAACAATAAACATAAGAAAAATAAGATTAATGGTAGATTTAAGAAAAAATATATAAAGAAAAGATTTTTTAATTGTTATAAAATACAGAATGAATCTATTAACCAAATAACTTTATTTATTTATTTTGAATAATTGTTTAACAACTAAAGATATATTGAAATAATTCAATTAGAAATACAATTAGAAATAGATCTATAATAATAAAAGATTATTCATTATTAAACAAGAATTCTTACTTTGAATTTTATTTGATTTTGAAAATCATTTCTTTTTATTTTTAATTATCTTTTAAAATTGTACAAAATTTCAATTCATAATATTCTTCCTTCATTTATTACAATATATATACGTCATAAAATTCATCATTCATATAAATTATATATAACTCAAAAATATTAATAATATATTTTCAATTATGAACATTCATGTCATATTGATCTCATGAAAATGAAATAAATAGAGAGTTTTTATTTTTAATTTATTTTATGCCTCCCATTAAAAATCATTTAATTAAACATTGTAAACATATATTATAATATTATATTAAATGTAATATATGATGTCATAAATTTGTTAAATATAAATGAGAATAAAATCAGAACTCACTATTGTAAGCACAACTTAAATAAGAATATGGATCTTGATAATAAGTTGGTGCATACTCATCAGTGGGAACTTCACAACTTGAGTATTCTTCTTTAATAGACTCCTCTTTTACTTCATCTTTTTTTGAGAGACTTAAGAATTTATCATAAGGTTATTCCTTATGTAGCTATTCTTTAAGTTATTCAATGGCTTAGATGTACATCTATTTAGTAATCTGATCTTTAATTTTGTTATTGATAAGCACACAAATTTCAGCTTATGTTCCTAAGAATTCTATCCATTTGTGTTATGTTTCTAATTAAATAATCTTTGTTCTAGGATTTATTGCTCCAAATAGTTTTTTCAGGTCTCCTAATTCAAATTTTTATTGCTTTGAAGTCTTTTTCTTATGAATAGCTCTCAAATAGCCATCAACTTATTTATATCCCATTTCTTCAGCCCAATGCATGAATTGATTCATAAAGAATGGCACAATTCTACGTTAGAAATTATGTTATTTCTTAATTGAGTATGGTACTTCAGTCTATTATGATTGAGGTTTAATAGTAAGATGAGCATTGATGATGTCTAATAAATGTTCATCAATCTACATAATTACTTTACCATTGCATTTCTTAAGAATCTAAGAATATATAGAGAGAATACTTAATATGTGTATGTGTCTTACATTTAATTTGTAATAATGATTTACAAATTTTGATAATTACAATTCATATTAGTGTAATCATACAAATTTCAACAAAAATAGTGGAATATTCATTATTAATGATATTAATTATTAGTTTGTATTAATTAAACTAAATAACTATGCTAAAAATCTACATACAATACATATAGATATACAATGAATCAATTAAAATATTCACAACTTACCTATTTAAAATGTATTAATAAGTCTTAATGTCATAAATGAATATGAATGTTCATTAAATTACTAATATTTATCTGTTTTGAATCCAATTAAATCAATTTTTTATGATTGTTTAAGGTTTGTGACTTTAAGTAATAAATTTAAGAATAAATATTAAATCATATAATTCTAATCATTTTTCATTAGAATTATATGATAAAATTAATTATTTTATTATTTATTCTAAATTATTGATTTAATTAGTCTAGAATTGATAAATAATTATTGGTAGAATATATGATTGATGTTTACATTCTTAAATATTATTAATATTTCAATGATTACAAATTAAAACATTATTTATAGTGATTATTATTTTTAGTGTTGTAAAGTAGTTCTTGCTAAATGAATGTTGTTGTTATTATTATTACTTAACTTCCAAAAGTAAAAAGGTATATATATATTTAGATTATATGACATTTATATAAAATAATTTATTAGAGAAAACACTTATTGATCAAATAATTAATATATCTAAACAACAGAATTAAAATAATGGATTCTAATTTGAACTAAGTTAGGTATATTATTCTTATAATTATTAGAGATAAAATATATGTTATTGGAAGTATAAAAAATAAGGAAGGAAAAATAATTGAAATTAATTTTGAAAGAGGTAAAATAGTGAGTACCACTTAATTTGGAGATTTCTATTAATTTATTAATGTTGAATCAAAAGAGGTTTTAATTGCAAAGATTATAAGAAAGAATAAAATAGATAAGATTAAATTTAGATAATAAGTAATGAAGATTAAAGTATTTTAGGTGTTATAAGAGATTAGAATTTATTAGTAGATAGAGCATAAAAACTTTCTCAAATTTTATGGTACTTTTGAAGATGAAAATTTTATTTATATTATCCTAGAAGAATATATAAATGTAATTATGTGATTAGATTATAGACTCTAAATGATTATTTATAAGAGAAAGGATAGTTTAGTGAAAGTGAAACTAAATAATTTATTATTTAAATAGTAGATGCATTGAATTATTTACATGAAAATAACATACTACATAGAGAGTATTAATAAAAATTTATAAAGTTTAAAGCTAAGCAATATATATATTAGTAAGGATTATTAGTTAAAAATTGGTGGATTCAATTATGCTATTAGATTAGAATAGAAATAAGAGAGAAGAAAGTCGATATGTGGTACTTCTAAATATTTGGCACCTGATATATTAGATAACAAAAATGGATATTCTTTTGAAGTAGATTTATGGTATTTAGGAATCATATTTTATACATTATTATTTGGTGTACATCCATTTGAAGCATCTGATATTAAAATTGCTTATTAGAATATAAAAGCTAATAAATTAGTTTATAAAGAAGATGTGAAAATATCTGAGAACATATAAAAATTAATAGATGAATTACTTAATTCAGATGCTAATAAAAGAGTTACACTTGATATGGTTATTTAAATATTAAAATGATATTATGTTAATTAAACTTATATAAATCATTATTATTTTTAGTAGTGATAAAGCTCAATAACAAGTCTTGAATTTTCTCCTATTAAATCTTCAATAGTTAATTCTTATTCTTTAATTTTATTACATTTATTCTAATATTATTATTTAATGATAGAAAATTCATTAAATAATTCATTATATTATTATTAAAATTATTAGTAGTCTTTATTTGAATTAATCCTATCATTTAATGATTAATATCCTTATTGTAATTTTGAATTGTCTTCTAATTATAATTCTAATTATTTCTAATTTTAATAAGTATATATATTATACTTCATATTCTGCAAGTTTTAAATCCTTTTCATCTAATTCTTGATTATATTTATTATGAATATCTTCAAATTATTGTTCTTATTCTTCTATTGTATATTTTAATTCTTATGTTGATTTTTCATATGATTATATTGCTAATTGTTATTCTTTTATTTATTATTTGAGTTCAACAATTAATTAATCATATTTCTATGATTCTTATCTCTTTTAAACATCAATCTCTAATTATTTGATATAATTAGTTTATTCATCTAATTAGTCATTTTGAAATTTGATTTCATTTTCTTTTTTTTCTAATAATGATTAAAGAATTTGAATTTCTTGTTTCAATTTAGATTATTCTTCAGATAGACGATGTTAAGTATCTTCTAACTTTTATGATGCAAGTAACTAGATTTAGAGAATAATATACTTCATTTTGTTTAACCTTTTCTTGTAATACAGTGATTTGTTTCATTTATTATTAGATCTATTCACACATAGTCTTGTAGATAGTTTATTATCTATTGAAATCAAGAGTCGAGAAGACTTCCCATGTAGGTGGGAGATTGGCTGTCTTCATTTGAATGGACTTCTATTGTGCTTAGATACTAGATCCACTCATTATAAATAATTATCATGATTGTTATTGTTATATCTCAACATACGTGACAATCTGCTTTCAAGAAGTTTGTTCAATTATTGTGATTGTTCACTTACACTTAATCTAAATCTTTAATTATTTTATTTAAGACATTCAACATTCTTATTGAATCTCCTTCTCCCTTATACATATTCACTCTTCTCTTTATATTCTTGAGTATATATTTTCTATTTAAATTGAAGTGACTTGTTTTTTTGTTATTTGACAATCAATTCCAATGTAGAATTAGGCATAAATCTAGTCTTATTCTTTAAGGGAGCCAATTCAATAGTATTAAGTTGTGTCTTTGGTTTCTTTATACTAACTACAGTAAATGGAGCCTCTTAAGTAGAAATTGAACGACGATGTGTATAATCGATAGTATGATAATGTTATTTGTTGATCTCTCTAATAACTGATTTCTTTAATTATTCTATGGTACTAATAGGATTACGTACACCTTCCACAATTTCCTTTAATAATTACATTTATTAATTAACGAATAAATATATGTACGTTTCATAATCCAAAGTATTAGAATGTAAGTTCAAACCTATTATTATTATTAGAATGTCTAATTGATATATCTAAATAAGTCTTGGGAGAGTAAATGGATAGAGAAAATAGAGTAGCTATTCTTAATCGAATAAAAGAAATAACTCTAGAGACATTCCAAAGACATTATTCAGAAGAGATACTTCTACTTTAACAAGAATTACGTTAACAATCACAAACTATTGATAGAATCAAAAGAGAATATTAGGATAGAGAATAATAATTAATAATAGATATTGAACATAGATTGCATGAATAGTAGATCCTACAATTATAGGAGATAAAAAGACTATAATAAATATATGATGAATAAATTGATATAAATAATAAGCAATTTATAACTATTGAGAAATTCAATAAATAAATCAAGGAATCCAATTTGACAAACTAATAATTAAGTTTAGAATTACAATAATTTAAGGATAATTAATAGTCTATTAATCTTTAATCAAGATATAATTCTTTAGAAGGATAAGAATATAAATAAAAGTCAGAATAATTATAATCTGCTTATAATATTCTTGAATAGTAGTTTAAGACATTAAAATTGGAATCTGACAGATAATTGAAGGAGTATTAAAGAAAATTATAAACAATTACAGATTAATAAATATTTTAAGAGAGTGAGTTATCTAATAATAGATTGGAAATTGAATAACTTAAAATTAAAAAATAATAAGAAGCATAAAAATAAAAGGAAATTTTAGAATAATTAAAAGAAAAAAGTGAAATAAAAATAAAAGAATATAAATAGAAATTGAAAGATTTATAAAATAAGGATTAACATATATCTGAATTAAAAGAATAAATTAAAGAATATGAATAATAAATTGAATTCTAATCAACTTAACATAGATAAGCAATCAAAATGTTAGAATAATAATATAAGAAATAATATTCAAGATTAGAAGAAAATTTAGAATAAGAAAAGATAGAATTATAATAANATAGGATTACGTACACCTTCCACAATTTCCTTTAATAATTACATTTATTAATTAACGAATAAATATATGTACGTTTCATAATCCAAAGTATTAGAATGTAAGTTCAAACCTATTATTATTATTAGAATGTCTAATTGATATATCTAAATAAGTCTTGGGAGAGTAAATGGATAGAGAAAATAGAGTAGCTATTCTTAATCGAATAAAAGAAATAACTCTAGAGACATTCCAAAGACATTATTCAGAAGAGATACTTCTACTTTAACAAGAATTACGTTAACAATCACAAACTATTGATAGAATCAAAAGAGAATATTAGGATAGAGAATAATAATTAATAATAGATATTGAACATAGATTGCATGAATAGTAGATCCTACAATTATAGGAGATAAAAAGACTATAATAAATATATGATGAATAAATTGATATAAATAATAAGCAATTTATAACTATTGAGAAATTCAATAAATAAATCAAGGAATCCAATTTGACAAACTAATAATTAAGTTTAGAATTACAATAATTTAAGGATAATTAATAGTCTATTAATCTTTAATCAAGATATAATTCTTTAGAAGGATAAGAATATAAATAAAAGTCAGAATAATTATAATCTGCTTATAATATTCTTGAATAGTAGTTTAAGACATTAAAATTGGAATCTGACAGATAATTGAAGGAGTATTAAAGAAAATTATAAACAATTACAGATTAATAAATATTTTAAGAGAGTGAGTTATCTAATAATAGATTGGAAATTGAATAACTTAAAATTAAAAAATAATAAGAAGCATAAAAATAAAAGGAAATTTTAGAATAATTAAAAGAAAAAAGTGAAATAAAAATAAAAGAATATAAATAGAAATTGAAAGATTTATAAAATAAGGATTAACATATATCTGAATTAAAAGAATAAATTAAAGAATATGAATAATAAATTGAATTCTAATCAACTTAACATAGATAAGCAATCAAAATGTTAGAATAATAATATAAGAAATAATATTCAAGATTAGAAGAAAATTTAGAATAAGAAAAGATAGAATTATAATAACATTTAACATAAAATTTAGAATGTATTATTACTGAAAAAGATAAAGAAATATTAGGATTAAGTTAAGATTTAAAATAATTAAAAATATAAATATAGAATGAATTAGAATAAAAATAAAAAAGTAACTAAAAATTTGAAGAACTTATTATAACATATAAGAACTAATTAGAAGAATTATAAAATTAAATTTCAGATTTAATTTAAAAAAATAATATAATTGAATAAGAAATTAATAAAAAAGATTAAAATCTAAAATTATTATTAGCTGATGTTGATGATTTGAAATAATTTTCAGAATAAACATTAAATACTTTGAAAGAGAATCAAGATTATATGAGTGAAATTGAAAGAGAAAAATAATAATAATAAGAAATTATTCTATCTATTTAACATTAATTAGAAATAGAAATTTAAGGATCATTTTCATATAAAAGATTAGGATAAGAATTGGAAAAAAGATGTAAATTATATAAAGAAGAACATAATTAATTATTAGATAATTAATTAAAATAATAAACATAATATTAATATGAAATTTAATAAAAAGAATTAAGATTTAAATAAGAAATAGAAAATCTGATTAAAGAAAATCAATTAATTGTTGAAAACTTTGAAAATTAATTAAAGAAACTTAAATTAGAAAATAAATTACTTGATGAAGAATAAATAAGAGCTTATAATTAAATCTAAAAAGAGTTACTCTAAAAAAGTTAAAAAGTTGAACAAATGGAAAAGTAAAACAATAATTTAGTATAAGAATTAGAATCCTATATATTTTAATATACTAATACATTATAATAATTAGAAGAACAAAAAGTTATAGAAAAGAATTTAAATGAAATTTCAATTAAAAATTAAAATTTATTGAATTCAGAGAAACAATAATTAATTAACTAAATTGATGAATTAAAATTTAAATATAGATCTATTAAATAAAAGATATAAAGATTATTTATTAAATAAAAAGAATAATTACATTTATAACTTTTTGAAATGAAATCTATCATTTTGAATAAATTAAAAAACTATGATTATGAAAATAAACAATTAATATAAAGTTCAGTTAAGAAATTCAATTATGTATATATTATGTAATAATAATTTAGTTAATTGATTAAAGTGTGTAATAAGAAAAAAGAGATAATGAATTTATAGTTATTGAATTATAAAAAGATATGGAAAAGAAGATTGAACAATTAAAACGATAATACAAATAAAATGAATAATTAATACATGAAGAAGCTCAAATTAAATTTAAATAAAAAATATAATAAATTCAATAACAGGATCAATCTGTTGATGATCTAAAAAATTAATTGAATTATTATATTTAAGAGAATGATAATCTAAATCAAAAACTTTAATTTTAGGATTAACTTAATATAGAATTATAGAAAAAAACAGAATATGAATAAAGATAATTACAATAAACAATTAAAGAATTAGAAAATGAATTGTAAATAATTTATTTATTAATATTAGAATTTAAATTCAATAATCTGCTGATTACACTTTAAAAGAGAGATAATACCTTGAATAAAGATATAATGATCTAAAAGATAAATCAGAAAAGAAAATGGATTCAATCTAAAGAGATTATCAATAATAAATATAACAACTCGAAACTATTATCTAACCAGTTTAATAAAGACCTTAATCTCCTCCTTTGCATTAACATTCCTTATCATCAAGCACTGGTTTTCATCGTTCTCCAATAGTGTAATAAAATCTATCATCTACTAAAAGTATTTTATGATAAATATATTTATAGAACCATATTCCAAACCTCCATAATATAGTAGTCCATCGATTAGAACACCTCATAAATCTCCTTCAATTGATAGAACTGATAAAACTATTGAAGAATTGAGAGCTGAGATTTAATAATAAAAAGAGAAACTTTCAAAAATAAAACTCAATTTTACAGAATCTCAAAAAAAATCTAAAACATTTTCAAAGTTTTGATAAACTATATTATATTTATATTTTTATAAAAATAGTAATATCTTATAATAACATTACATAAATAAGTTTTGTATATAATAAAATTTGATCTACTTATGATATTATTTTCACCAACAAAAATGGTCTTATATATATGATATATTATGGACTATAAAAAAGAAAATAAAATATCTTATTTCATTAATATTTATTTTACGATACAATATTATGTTTGAAATGTATAAAATTTTTGTTTATTGTTAGTACACCAACAATAAAATAGATTGCCGAAACTATTTGCTACTTAACAATAAATATTGTATTATTATCATTTTATGCATCTAAACCTTTAATTGCTTAACCAAATTATGATAATTATTAAGGTCTTTCAATAGCTGGCAATGTTTTTATGATGATTGGATATTTATTAATAATAGCACTACATTTCAAATACATTTATTATGCAGCTTTAGGAATTATTGCAACAATGAATTTTGGAATGTTTTTATTATTAATTGGTATGGGTATTGGAGCATAAGATTTTGATGTATAACTAATATAATTATTTATAGTATTTGAAATATAATATTGCAATTGCTATTTGGTTCATTCAATTAGCAATAGATATTTTAGGAATGTAAATGGTATTAAAAATCCATAAATTTAATTAAGGAGAACAAGATGTTAAAGATCCATAATAAAAAAATGCTGCAAATAATGCATCTTAACCTTAAGTTTAATTATGAAAATTTGAAAAATAATTCAAGTTTATTAAATTAAATTTTTATAATAAAAAAAGAATTGATCATAAGTATTAATCAAGTAACAATATTTCAATGGTATCTCTTTAAAACACCTTTAATGATAAAACTATTTCTTCTTCTAGGTGAATTCTTTTTTAAAGGAGTAAATGATCTATTGAGTTTCTTTTATTTTTAATTACTAACATTTTATTTAGCATTCTCAATCGATGGTAATCTAAATTAAGTTCTAGGTACAAATTAAGGCATTTCAAAATATTCCTATTCGAATGAAATCTTCATCCATTCATGATTAAGAATATCATAAAGTTTAATTCTTTTATGAGGATCAATTAAGAAAATTCTCGATAATAAATCAATTAGATAAGGAGATACATTTTTTTTGGAAAATGTGTAATTACTTGTAATAATATTTTGAATGATGTCAAAATTAGATTCTCCATCAAAAGGATACTTACCAAAGATAAGATGAAAGAGTATAACTCCCATAGCCCAAACGTCAATATGTGGACCAATCTTTTGATTGTTTCCTTATAGAGTTTCAGGTGCCATATATCTAATTGTTCCTATATTTAATTTATCCATATTGCTATTGACAGCCATACCAGCAATTCCAAAATCAACAACTTTAATTAATGTGTCATTTTTATTAGCAAACATAAGATTTTCAAGTTTGAGATCTCTATGAATTAGTTTACGATTATGACAATACATCATGGCATCACAAATTTATCTAAAATACATACGTGCTTCCTCTTCACATAATTGACCCTTAGCTTAATTAAATAATTTAAATACCTTAAGTGTATTTAGAGAGATCCCCTCCTTCTAAATATTCCATTACAACAATAACTTACATATTTGAGAGTGGATAACAATTATAAAATTTGACTATATTTTTATGATTAAGTGATTTCAGTAAATAGGCTTCACGAAAAACTAATTCAATGTCATTAGCATCTCTATTTCTAGTATTGACATATTTAATAGCAACTAAATTAAGAGTTTCTTTGTGTCTTCCCAATAACACTTTTCCAAATCCTCCTTTACCTAATTATTCTAAAATTTCATATTCTTAATGTATTATATTTGCATCAAAGTCTTCACCTTTTGTAATATACAATTTAGAATTATCTTTTAGATAAATTAAATCTTCATTAAACAGTTCTACTCCATCTTAAGTAAATACTCGAAAGTGTTTAAGACTTATTTAATGTTTCTATTCACATAATGATCTCAATTCTTTAAGTGAAGTATCTCCATAAATAGATACTTAAAATTTACGATCACTACCTAATAAAGTGATATTAAGTGTTTTGGTGTTAGAAAGTTAATCATAATCATTAAACATTTATAAGTGAAGTATATTTTTAATTTAATTATGTCTTATATTATCAACCAAATACTTATTTGTATTAATTATTTAGTAGTCAATTACTCAATAATAATTAACTTTTAGCTCTTCCTGATCTTTACTTTAATACTATTTTGATAGGCTTAGCAGTTACATTTCCAATATTTGTTTGGGATTCTTCTTTTTGTATAGAAGTCTTTCTACAACTTTATTGTATATTTGATTTTGGTTTTTTGGTTGTTACTTTAAGAGGAGTGGAAACCTATAACATTTTTAATAAACTTAATGCAGGAATAACATGACTTTCACTCAACCATCGATGATTTAAAATTCCTTAGATTGTTATTCTGTTACGATATTGGAATATTTATTTGAATAAATCTAATAAATCATTACTCACCTTCTAAGGAATAGTATATTTAAATATACTAATTGCTTAAATAATTTCTTCTCTTGTAGATCCTCTAAATGGTAATTTCCCAAAAACCATTGCATATAATATAACTCCAATAGCCCAAACATCAGATAATTAAGATGCTGGTTATCCAGATATCAATTCAGGTGACATATATGGTAATGTACCCATTCTTATTCTATCTTTTCCACAACATGCAATTCCAAAATCTACAATTTTTATCTATCTATAATGCTTAGTGTAATTACTTAATTGCTATTTGGAGAAACTAGTAATATATTTTCTAATTTCAAATCTCGATGTATTAGATTTTTTTTATGACAATAATCTATTCCCTCTAATATCTATTTCATGTATATTCTAGCCTCAATTTCATCAAGATGTCCTTTTCTTCTTACTAAATCTAATAATGATCCTCCTTATAAATGTTCCATTACTAATATGCATTCATGATTTAACATAATATTTTGAATTAAATGAACAATGTTTCTATGACTCAATTATTTTAGTATTTATGATTCTCTAAACAATAGATCTATTTCATCTGCATTAAATCCATCTCCTTTTATTATCTTAATTGCTACATATACTTTTGTCTCTTTATGTTATCCTAACATTACAACACCTTATCCTCCTTGTCCAATTTAATCTAGAATTGTGTATTCTTGAAAGATAATATTTTAATCAAGTTCCTATCCATTCAATGTTGCCCATAATTTTGATTATTTAGGTTAAAATCTTAAATCTTCTTAAAATATTTCAATTCCACTTGCATTAAATAATCGTAACTCTTTTGGACTTATTCTCCATGCTAAACGAATCTATCTTGATATTTCTTTTATTGTCGAATATTCATTTATCATAACCTAAAATGGTTGATAGTTTGGATGACAAATTGTAATTGTTTTATATTGTTTCGAGATGTGATCAACCATTTAATAATAATAAAAAAATAATAAATGGATTAATCTTAAGCTTAACATATTTGGAAGATGTTAGATGATATGGCTACATCTGATCCATAGGCTTATAAACAATTTGTTGAAAAAAACATTAAAGAAGGAATGCAAGAAATGAAAATTGAAAAACAATAAAAAATAGAAGAATTATCTATTGTACCATAATTTGCTTATTCTATGAAAATATGGGGTAATCTACTTAAATAATCAATCAATGAATTAGAAAGCAAACTATTATTAAAATAAAATGAACTTAAATAAGAAAATTTTCAATTTGATAAATTAGAAAAAAGAATAAAATTTTATATCAATCTTTTACATCATGAAAGAGTATTGGGAGCATTTGATAAAAATGATAATCCAACAGATAATCCATCATAATATAATTTAATACCACTTTCTATATCTGATGTTTAAATTGGTAAATCAACTTCATTTAATACAAATGTTTATTATTATGATATTGTTATTAATACAGATGTTTTTAAGAAAGTATTAATATATATTAAATATTATATTAGATAAATCGATAAATTTTATAATCAATAATTATTGATACATTATAAAAAAGAATAGAATTAGATAAAAATCCTATTAAATTTGTATACTTTAAAGCATTCTATAAATTTGAAATTCCCTCTCTTAAAATTATTAATAAATAATATAAATATTGTGGATCTAAGAAACCACTTAAAATACTTTTAGAGCCTTAAGCAGATAAAGAAGGAAGAAGAACTCCTTAAGTTTAAAATCCAATTGAAAATATATAATAAAATATAAGTTTCACTAGATAAAATGATTCATTTAATGATTTAATAATAAATAATCAAAATTAAAATTAGAAAAAAGTACCAAACAAAGTTTTAATTGAAGAAATTGATACTAAAAATGAAATAGAAAAATATTAAATTGTTCATGAGAAAGATAAAATAATAATAACTATAAATGTTAATGTAGAAAGTTTTTAAGATATTGATCTTAATATTTCAAGTTAAGGATTGAAATTAACAACTGTTATGGATGAAAAGATAGAATTAGATTTTGGATGTTAAGTAGATGATGAACATCCTTCAGCTAAATGGAATAAAAAATAGAAATAATTGAAAATAGTTGTAAATAAATTATTATGAATTATAAATCATAATCATCCTGCAATTACTTAAGAACACAATTATAAATTAACTTCTTGTTTTTGAGTAGTACATTTAATATCTCCTATGACATCTAATGGATTTGGGACCATTGATTCACACATCAAAATCTAGGATTGTCTAAATATTAGATTTACAATTTTTTAATTGCTATATTTTTCCAAATCTGATTTAATATTAGCTATTGTTGTTGTACCTGGTAATCTTAATTGCAAAATACGAGTTTAATCATCAATTTTTGTATTTTTTTCATTTGCCAATTCTTATAATGCTTTAAGAAATTGCTATCTATCTTATTGAGCTGTTGAATTGTAAATTTAGAGATTTACTATAATGTCCTCTCCTCTCACTAATTAAAATATAGAAGAATACATGTATTTTTAAGTAAAGCTTCTTGATATTAATGCATTTTTTAAATAATAATAGATTTATAGTTCACTTTTTTTTAATTTTTCTGGATTCTCTTTTCAAACACTTCTAAAGATCATTGATCAAATATTTGATTTACTATTGAATAGTATCATCATCACTTTCTTAAGGTTTACACTTTTTCTTATTTTTATCACAATTGTAATGTCTCTTAATATTAAAGATAGAATCGGGGTATGTAGGTATATCCATAATATATAAAAATCAGATAATAATTTAAATAGTTTAAAAATAATGGACGAGAAGAATACAGCAGAGAGGTTATATATTATTAATTAATATAGTTCTGAGTAGGTAGTGATCTTTGAAGAAAAAATCACTAAAGTAAATGGAGAAGTGGGAATTAAAAGATATTAAAGAGGCAAGTTTTTAGGAAAGGGTGGTTTTGCTAAGTGTTATGAAGCAACAAATTTAGAGACCAAGAAAGTTTTAGCAGCCAAGATAATTGCTAAAAGTAGTTTAACTAAGAATAGAGCTCGTTAAAAGGTAATAATAAGATGGAATCAATTAGCTTATTTCAGAAATAAAAATACATAAAAGTTTGCAAAATACAAATATAGTCTAATTTGAACATGTCTTTGAAGATCATGAAAATGTATATATTCTATTAGAATTATGTTCTAATCAAGTAATTATCATACATTTAAATTTAGACTTTAAATGAATTAATAAAACGACGTAAAAGACTTACAGAAATAGAAGTATAATGCTATGTTGCATAAATAATCAACTCATTAAAATACTTACATGCTAGTAATGTAATACATAGAGAGTATATCCATTTATAATTTAAGTCTCAAATTAGGAAATCTATTTTTAAATAAATCAATGGAATTGAAACTGGGAGATTTTGGTTTAGCAACTAAATTAGAATTTGAAGGAGAAAAGAAAAGAACTATTTGTGGAACACCTAATTATATTGCTCCTGAAGTTTTGGATGGAAAAGTTGGTCACTCTTTTGAAGTTGATGTATGGTCATTGGGAGTTATGATATATGCTATGTTAATTGGAAAACCACCTTTTGAAACACCAGATGTCAAAACTACATATCGAAAAATCAGATTGAATTCATATACTTTTCCAGAACATGTTCTTATATCTGATTCAGCCAAAAATCTCATTACTAGAATTCTTAATTTAGATCCAGTTAAAAGACCTACATTAGATGAAATCATGTCTCATCCATTTATGAATACAGGTGGTTCTATTCCAAAAACACTACCTTTATCTACACTTGCTTGTCCTCCTTCAGCATCTTATAATAAATAATTCTAACCATCCACAAATTAAAGTAGTCTCAAAATGTCAGTAAATGCCATGCCATAAAGATTAACTGAAACTACTCCAAATAATTAGAAAAATCAATAGAGACCTGGCAATGGTTCATCTGATCGTTTTCCATGTATTTATTTATTATTTATCATCTAAGTATAAAAACCTAGTTCAAGTGGAAATATTTTAGAAGATAACTTTGGATCCAGTGGTTTAAATAATGCATAAAATGTAGGTTATGGAGGATCCTAAAGACCTTAATCCTAAAAACCAAATGACATTAGAAATAGTCAAAGTTAAAAGACCCTTACTACTCCTTTTGGTGGTACTGGAATGCAAGGTACTCATTCAGTTAATAATCTTGGATAAAGATAAATATAATAAAAATAAGAAATCTATGTTAAAAAATGGGTTGATTATTCCAGCAAATATGGATTGGGATATCTATTAAGTAATGGTGCAACAGGAGTCTTTTTCAATGATTCTACCAAAATTATATTAGATACAAAATCATTAATATTTGAATACATGGAAAGAAAAGGAACTGATAGATAAGATATTTGTGAATCCCATAATTTAAATGATCATCATCCTAGAGAACTCTAAAAGAAAGTCTTTTTACTTGAACATTTCAGAAATTATCTTGAAGGTGAGTAAAATAATTAGGATATGGTAGTGGAAGAATATGACAATAAATAAGTAGTATATGTTAAAAAATGGATGAAAACAAGACATGCTATTATGTTTAGATTATCCAATAAAATTGTCTAAGTAAATTATTATTAACATACTTAGGTTAATTTCACAGATAAAACTGAAATTATTTTATCATCAGAACATAAGATGGTCACTTATGTAAACAAAGCAGGAGAAAGAAGTCATTATCCTTTAGCGACTGCTCTTGATAGTTAAAATACAGAAATGGCCAAAAGACTTAAGGTAATAATATTAATTTTCATCCTTTAAGTATACTAAAGAAATCCTAACTCATATGCTCAATGGTGGTCATGCTGGAGAACAATAACCTAACTAAATGACAGGAACAAATTGGTAAAACTAAGGGCCTTGAAAAGATTATTTACAAATCAATAAATAAGTGCATTTAAAAAAAAAAAAATTTTCCATCATAAGAAATTTTTAATTATTAAATAATTTTTACATTATTTTAATAATTTTAGATATACAAATAACTATAATAATTTATTTTGAGATTGTTAGAAATAATTCATTTATATCTAACAATTTGAGATAATTCTATCAATCCATAATCTTATATATATAGATTATATTAATATAAAGCTGATTATTTAAATAAAAAGTATTCTCTATATAATAATTTTTCATATAATTATAAATTATTACAATCTTAATTAAATAATTTAATTTTACAATGAAAACTTAAAGCATTTTTAAATAGAACTTAATTTTTATAATACATAAATTTAAACTGGATTAGATATTGAATCATAACTTTATCATGGAGATATAAATGAAACTATTACTCTATTTGAATTAGTTTTTATTAATTATTGTAATCTTTAATAATGAAAAAATCTATAATAAGTCCAAGTCATCAAATAAGTTCTCCTTCGATTTCTCATTATAGATCATAGACTTGTGGTTCTGGTTTGATTGATCAATCAAGGATTTTAGAGGAAACTAGTGAACGATTTTAGAGAACTTGGAATATATTGGAGAGTGTGGAAGAATTAAAGAGTGTGCGTTAGATAGTAAAGTAAGTGACAACAGAGCCATGTATTTAATGTGAATGTTAATTGGGAGGAACAATAATATCAGGCAAAGTTTATAAGGTAGCTCCAATGGAATTTTATTATTGTAATATTGGGACTAGAGGATAGAAATCACCTTTGAATTGTACTATGTTTTGTGATGGTGAATTTTAGATAATGATTTCATTTAATTCACCTTTTCCAACTAAATTCAATTGTGATTAAGTTATTAGAAGTAGATAATGGGCAGTAAGACATAATGGAGAAGATAAATTACATTTAGCAGTAGTTGCAAGAAAATAAACAGAGATTAAATTTTTGGTTCATTTTGGATAGGCAGATTCTTTTCGAAAATTGGTTCGTATGACTAGTAATCATGAAAGAATTCCTATGAGTGATGAGATACCAAAGACACCTTAATTCATAGTTAATTCAAATAAAGTATTAGCATTTAAAAAGGTGAATAAATTTGAGATGGAAGTTACTCGATCAGATCGTTTTTTGTAAGTACTTAAAACAAGAAATTTGCAAAAGAAATCAGTATAGGAAGCAAATTAAATGAAGAACCTTGAATTTAAGGCTAAAGAATGGGCACATGATGAATATAAATTGATTACATAAGCATTAAGAAACAGAGACAAAAGAAGAGAATAAAAATATTTGTGGTTTGAATTACTTTACTACATTAAACTTGTAGACACACTCTAAACAATATTATAGCAAAGAAGAAAATAATTGATGAAAAATAAAATGATGGTTATAGGTTTATAGTTAAGAATCAAAACATTCAGAGAGAATAGATAGAAATAGAGAGGAGATATTCAACATAGAGTAATAGGAGATACTGTAATGTCTTTAATGATGTATTGTAAATAGTCAAGAAGGAGATTAATTCATAATTGTTTGGTTTCTGTATTACCATTATTAAAGTAGAGAGCATTATTATTTATGTTCAAAAAGAAAGCTATGATTACAAGTGGAAAATTATAATTAATAAAAGTAAATCTTCATCAATTTGTAAGAAATGTTAGAGATTATAAGGCTAAGATGATTTAAAAATGGGATTAATATACTTTGAAGATACATTCTATTCCATCATTATAAAAAATGGATAAGAGATTTATTACTTGGATCAAATATTTATATGAAAAAGGATATCAAGCTTATTTTTAGAATTAATTTATTACTTTATTAATGAGGGATCGTTATAGATCTCATATTAGAGAATAGAGAGAAATAAAGAAATTTAGATTAGAATTGAAAAATGTTAAATTATAATTAAGATATGCAAGAGATTCTGTAGATATTGTTAATTTTAGATAGAGAATTTTCAAATTGAATAATGATATATTTGCTATGTAAGTAAAAAACTAATTCTTTATTCATTCTGATGTTGAAAGATTTGTAAATTCAATTTTAGAGTAGAGCTCATTTATCTTTTTAGATGAGGATACTAATCAATTAAATTAAGAAAAATAATCTCGTATTAGAGTGAGTTTGAAAAGATAGAAAACAATGAGAATCTCAAAGAATCTTTGAATTGTTTATGTTAATTTGTTATTATTTATAATGTCATAAGTGATATTTCAATAAAATGAGATTGCCTATTTAAGATTAATGGATGAATTTAACACTGCCTATCAATAATATTCACTTACATAATCTAAAGTGAGTACTTTGGAGAAGTTGAAATCTAAATTACAATAAGCAGAATAAAAAGTATGGATGGATATCTATGTTTTAAGTTAAAATTTATGTAAATTGAATTCAAATCATGTGAATCAACATTGAAGGCTGAATTAACACCAAAAATGAAGTAGCATTAAATGAATTATGCAAATTCTTAATAGAAATTGAAATCCATTGAATAATCAAAATCTGTTGAATAGACTCAACCATCATTTAATTTAGATACTAGAAAGAGAATAGAAAATAATACAAATCAATTAGAAACATAAACAAATTAATTAGAGAATTACAATAAAACATTAACAAATACAGTTGAATTATAAGATGGAATTATGGTTGATCTTAAAAAATAGAAAGAGAAATTATTGATAGCTTAAGAAGATGTATTATAATATATTAAAATTATTAAGACAAATATAATTAGATCAGATGTAAAAGAGACTGGTAGATATGTTAGAATAATGTAAAATAGAGAGCTCTTTAGTAAAGTATTGAAATTAGGATTGATTGGAGTGTTGACATTAGGGAATATACTTTTGATATACTATAAAATATGATTAATTAAAATAATGGCTTCTAATATGTTTCAATAGAATGATATAAACTTCAATAAGAAAGTCGATGAATTTAACAATCTCTATAAATAATACTCTATGACTTAGAGTAAACAACTTACATTAGAAAAGATGAAACTTACACATGTTTAAGCTGAATAATAAGTAATCGAAATAATCAATCACTTCTATAGTTCAAATTTATGGAAATTGAATACAGTTCCTTTAATGAGTAAAATAAACAGGAATTTGCATAAAAATTTAGATAAAATAAGATGCTTTACACAGAATGTTAAAAGAAATTGAGAGATCTATAATCAGATATTGATAAACAACCATAATCACATTTTAGCAACGTTATCAAAAAAACATAGCCATCTTAGATTAGTGGATTAAATTCTGATTTACACTCATAAGTTAAGTAATTAAATCATCTTGATTCACGATTACTTGAAGCAGAAGACACTTAAATAAGCATTCTAGATAATCTTCGTAGTTAAAAAGAAAAATTATTAAAAGCTATTGAAGATGTAATATAAGTTACTAATTTAGACTAAAGAGATTTAAAGTGGAGTGAAAATGACTTAGAGACATGCAACTATGATTAAAAATAGGGAATCATACAATAAAGGAATATTAATGACTTTGGTTTGCATATTAACAATTGGAAATATTCTTATTATATACTATAAATTTGTTCATTGAAAATGCATGAATTAAATATTATATTTATGATATAAAGCACAATTTTCATTTTATTTTATAGCATTTCTAATATTTTCAAATAAACTAGAATATTAAATAAAAGATGATATATACTCTACTTTACTATCAGAAATCTTAGACTAACCTAATCCTTAAATGATCATACAATGTAATTCTATATCCAATAACTATTTACTATTGAAATTGTTAAAAAACTATTAACAATCTATAATTCTCTTAGATAAATTTAATTGACATTTTTTGTATTATAAATAAATAAATGATTTAATGGTATGTTTTAGAAACTCTATCACTTTAATTATTATCTACTATAATAAAAAAGAGAAAATCTTAGTAAAGGAAGAACAACTTAAATGATTGACATATTGAAATTGAAGGGAAAATATTGATATATTCATATAACCTGTAATTTTGATTTGATTTGTAGCTATTTTGTTCTGATTTTTATGGTTTATAAATCAATTTGACATTTATATTTTTTAATTGAAATTAAATCAGTACTTTATAAGGTGCATAGTATTTGAAATTCCGTATATGTTCATTATTGATTTTTTGAACTTCCTTGGACTTACATAATTGGAAGCTGGTTATGTTATTGTCTTTTAAGGGGACATCATCTCCAGTTAGCTCCAATTTCTATGTATCTTTTTTGGAAAGAGAGGTTGATCAATTGTAATTGATTTATTAAAGGGGAATAATTTTGTATGCACTTTAGCCTTTGGAGATGGTAAAAGTGGCATATTAACTTTCTTTGATTGGTTGACAAGATCAATTTATTAAACTGTTACTTTTGGTTTAAATGTTGATAATATACGCAGCAAATTTACTTAGTCTTTGAAGCCTAATCATATATTTATTAATATTCTTACACTTTTTTAAAGAAAGAATGCGCTTTGATTGACTTTGTGAATTCCCGTGTTTAAGTCTTAAAAATACAATCCTGGCTAAATTCTAATTCCGATGTTGAGGATTATCAATTTTAACTAACTGCATCCATTCCTTACTGGATCGAAAGTATCCAAATTCATCTCCCTCACAAGATTTTCGACGGGAAATAGTTGTTGGAGGTTCCAAAGGTCCAGATGCAAAAGCTTTGATTGCATTTCTACGAACATAACGTCCTCGGGTGTTAATAAACTTATGAACAAGCAAAGGAATGCCTCTTGGTAGTGATTTAGATCTAAAACCACATCTCTTCAATTATTTTAGCATGAACAGTAAATTCAATAAGAGTTTTATATAAATTATTAATAACATCATTCAACAAACATAATCTTTTATTATTGAATTTATTCCAGATAGGGAATTTAAATATTCTTACTTAATGCTTAATTCTAATTCTAAATCTAAATCTAAATCACTATTCTTTAATAATGTATAAATATTTTAAGAAAATAGAATTTCTATATAAGTCTATGAATAAATAACATCCTCCCTGGGGTTCTTAAATAGGTGTGGCACATGGTGGTGTAATAGGGTATTCAAATAGTGAACCTAATTATGATTTTACAAAACCTCACCTCTATGAGGTTCATTATAAAAAAGAAGAATCTGGATTGAGATGTGATATTTTTATGGGATATAAGTAAAATAAATATATATATATATAGATATTAATGTGTTGAATTTGCAAGAAGGTTTTTTGTTTTGAATTATAAAACCATGTTTACAGATGTATAAAAAGCACCAGATATTTGGGATTTAGAAACTGTTGAAGATTTAACAAAAGAATCTGGTACATTTCCATTTGTTGGATTTAAATAAGGAGGAAATGAGTAAATTTTAGAATTTAAATAATAGACCACCAAAATTTGGTGATTTATTATTGGCTCCATAAAGTGAACATTAACCTTGGGGTCATGTAGCTGTTGTTGTAGGAGTTGGAGATGGATATATTGATTTAGCTGAATAAAACTATGAAGATGCTGGTTGGATTACAGAAACATATGCTAGAAGAGTTAAAGTAGAATGCAAAGATGGCAATTACTTTGTTACTTATATTAGAGTTGGGTATTTATTGCAATTTTAACATTATTCAGATAAGAAGATAAATTTAATGATTCTTGGGACAAGGATGAGATAATTATTGGTTGGAAAAGAATAATATTTAATTGAGTTTATTATCATACGTATTATTAATATCAAATATCGATTTATCAAAACATTTTAAATTTTACAATATAACTACTTCTCGTATTGTTATAAGTAGTGCTGGAAATATTTGATTGTTTATATGTGAATTCTCAGATTTAAAAATTTAATATAATCATTCAATTGATATTTATATAACTATGTTACTCAATTTGCTGATTTTATTCAAGCAAGTGTTTAATATAATGGAATTTCATTTTCTTATTAATCAATATATAATATTCTTGTGTTCTAGGCTTCATTGTTAATGATTTTTGATTCTCAAAGCATTTTTTGAATAAGTGACCAAGATAGATGGAACGATTATTGAAAAGAAAAAAACATCATATGTTTTCAGTAATGTTTCTGATATTCCTCATGATTGGCTCATCGGAACTGATAGTTGGTAATTAATTTATTTAAATTCTTAGTATATGTTATCAGCAAATTCATTACATGAAAGTGTTGATGCTTATAAATTGGATCAATTTCTATTGTTTATGATTGATAAAGCAGCGAAAGAGTTATTAGAAGAAAAATAAATGGTTAGGTATTTTATTTTGTATTTCTAAATGAATTTGATAGAAATATTAAATAATTATGCATTATTATAAATTTTAATATATATTAATTAAAAATAATGACAAAAGTTCCTGGGCTTTTCAAATAAATTATAATCACGAAAAAAAAATTATTATTGATATTATAAATAATATCAATATGAATTAACTTGACATTCTCTATTTTATTCTCAATCGTTTAAGAAAGAAAACTCAGATAATAATTAAGGAGGCATATAGGAGGATAGACATTCTCAATCGTATAAGAAAGAAAATTCAGATGATAATTAAGGAGGCATAAAAGAATTTAAAACAATAATAAAAATTTCAAGGAATATGTTTGCATAATAATAAAAATTCTTTTAGGGATTTTTTAGAGAATTCAATCATTTTTTAGAATTTTTTAAAGGATTCAAATATTGTTTAGGATTTTTTATAGAATTAGGATAGTTTATACTCAAAAAAAGAATCAAATATGAATTAAGATAATAATGATATCTCTTCACCAAATCCAAAATAAAAATAAAGCAAAAATCAATAATAACCAATTCAAATTAAAGGTTTGTTTGAGGATGATGATGAAATTATTAGTATTTAGGATCTTTTCTAGAATCCAAGTTCTTTTTTTGATTTTTTATGGAATTCAAATATTTTTTAGAATTTTTTAGAGAATTCAAATATTTTTTAGGATTTTTTATAATGGAATTAGAATAGATTATACCCAGAAAAAGAATTAAATATGAATAATAAAGGAGTTGAATTTCAGTCAACAGTTCCGCTACTAAACTAAAGCTTGATTGTTGTTGAGAATTAATAAAAAGAATAATCAGGTGAAGAATTTCTGATTTATCTCTTATAAGTATAAAAATTAAAAAATACAAAATTGATCGAATTTGATCACACAATCAAGGTTTTGTAAGTTTTAGATAATTTCTTGAAATAAAAATAATTAAATTAACTAGATTAAGTAATTACCGAAATTTCAAATGTCTAATATATGATTGAAAACTAATAGTATAATGAAAAGGACACTATTAAAATAAAAAAGAACTTTGAATAATTTAAGAAGAAACAGTTTTATGATGTTAATAAATTTAAACCTAAAAGATTCTTATCTAATATTTACAATATAATTGCGAGTTAATTAATTTTGTAAGAAAAAACAATATGCAAATAAAAATTGGAAGAATGCTATTTTTAGTTGTCAAAAAATTGGATTAATCTTCTAGACTTTACAAAAACAGAAACAGAGAACAAAAAAATAAAAAAAGAGAACAAATATTAAAATTAAAAATTATAAAATTTTTTAAATTTACTTAGAAATAATAATAATTCAGAGATTTCAGAAAATGTTAAGTACTTTTAAAATAAACATTATGGAAAATATAGTTTCTTAGAGATTGCTCTAAATTTACTTTAAATACTAAAAATCTAATGGAATGATGATAAAATCAGAGATAATATATTTGAATTATTGAAAGAAGTTGTACTAAAGAAACAAAAAAAATATGAATCTAAAAGAGCAATCAATTTTACTAAATAAGATATTATTGATTTGATGTATAAAAAGGAAAATAATCGTGAGGTTGTTGACGAAGAAGTAATAACGGAAATTCAACAACTTCTTGAGGGACCTATAATTTATCCATAAGAATGAAAAAAAAAATAAAGTTGAATACGATATGATTCTGTTATTATTTATAATTAAATAAATCTTTAATATTATTTCTTGATAGAATAAAGTATCTTTTTATTATTTTGGCATTAATAAAAATAATAAAAGAATGATAAATTAATTAAACATTCATTAATTAATATACCAATTTTTTTATTATAGGAATATTATAAATAATCTTAATATGATAATTTAATAAATATCAATTAAAATAATTATAATCTTCAATAAAATCTTCAACCTCTTCATTATTTTTTTAATCCTAAATAATTTGTTCTTCCTTGTATTCTTAGTTTTATTATATAGGTTAGTCTTATACTATTTGTTCATCTTAATTCTATTATGAAGATTGATTTTTATTATTAGCTTTCATCAAGTTCTTATATTTCATTGAGTGTTTTATTAGATTATTTAGAATTAGTATTTTCTTAAGAAATTGAATGAGCAGTTTTTTTTGTCCACTCATAAGAATAATTTGTTTAAATGATGTATCTCCTGTTTTTGCAATTTAATTGAAAGTTGTGTTATTTGATTTTGACTTGATGATCTAGTTTCTTATGAATGAGTTGAAGTATTTTCTTAAATATAATTCTTTCTTTAAGTAAGTAAACTCATTTAATTATTTTAGATTAATCTTTGTAATTCTTCCACTTTATCTGTAAGTGTTACTATTTGTCTATGTCTATTTTGTATATCATCTTCTAAACTTTTAATTTTAGTTTGTAATTCTTATTCTTTAGACATATTGATAATTATTAATTATGTCTGAATAATCAGAAGAAGAATCCTAATAGTTATAATAAAAAGAAGAAGAACAATAGAATAGTCAAATTATATAATAAGAGGATAAGACTGAGTAATAATTATAGTAAATCCCATATGTTCATATGTTAAATAATAAATATAATGTGAGAGAAGCTGTTCATGCAGGATCCTGGTATTCTAGCAAAAGTAATGAATTAAAAATACAGATTAATTGTTGGTTAGAATAAGCTAAAGCAGAAGTAACTACAGTTGCATAATTGAAAGCATTAGTTGTTCCGTAATATATTTATAATTAAATTAAGTCATGCAGGTTATGCTTATTCTGGTCCAACTGCTGCATTCAGTTACAAATATTTAAAGAAATATCCTCCTTCTGAAAAATTAAAAGTATTTATTCTTGGTCCTTGTCATTATGTTTATATAACTTAATGTTGTTTAACTAGATAAGAAATCTATGAAACTCCATTAGGAAATATTAAAGTAGATCTAGAAAGTAATTAATTAATGATCATATTATTAGCTGTTAAATAATTACATGAATAAGGATAATTTGAATAATCAGACAAAGATGCAGAAGAGGAAGAACATTCAATTGAAATGTAATTGCCATTTTTAGCTCATATTTTGGGTACTGATAATTTTACTATAATTCCAATTATGGTTGGATCAATTGATGCTAAATCTGAAGAGTATTATGGTAAATTGTTAAGTGAATATTTTGATATGGATGATACTTTATTTATTATATCAACTGATTTCTGTCATTGGGGAACTAAATTTGCTTATACTTATTTTAATANTTTGAATTTGATTCTAGATTATAAATTAGATTTACATTAAAATCTCTTTCTTTAGATCTCCATTCCACAACATCACTTTGATTCTTTTCTATTAGTTTAAGATTTTAAGATTCAAGCATTCTCACTTTTTCACCAAGTTCAACTACCTAAACAATATTGATTTTATATATACTTCTGAATTATTTTAGATTGATCTTTGTAATTCTTCCACTTTATCTGTAAGTGCTACTATTTGTCTATGTCTATTTTGTATATCATCTTCTAAACTTTTAATTTTAGTTTGTAATTCTTATTCTTTAGACATATTGATAATTATTAATTATGTCTGAATAATCAGAAGAAGAATCCTAATAGTTATAATAAAAAGAAGAAGAACAATAGAATAGTCAAATTATATAATAAGATGATAAGACTGAACAATAATTATAGTAAATCCCATATGTTCATATGTTAAATAATAAATATAATGTGAGAGAAGCTGTTCATGCAGGATCCTGGTATTCTAGCAAAAGTAATGAATTAAAAATACAGATTAATTGTTGGTTAGAATAAGCTAAAGCAGAAGTAACTACAGTTGCATAATTGAAAGCATTAGTTGTTCCGTAATATATTTATAATTAAATTAAGTCATGCAGGTTATGCTTATTCTGGTCCAACTGCTGCATTCAGTTACAAATATTTAAAGAAATATCCTCCTTCTGAAAAATTAAAAGTATTTATTCTTGGTCCTTGTCATTATGTTTATATAACTTAATGTTGTTTAACTAGATAAGAAATCTATGAAACTCCATTAGGAAATATTAAAGTAGATCTAGAAAGTATGTAATTAATGATCATATTATAAGCTGTTAAATAATTACATGAATAAGGATTATTTGAATAATCAGACAAAGATGCAGAAGAGGAAGAACATTCAATTGAAATGTAATTGCCATTTTTAGCTCATATTTTGGGTACTGATAATTTTACTATAATTCCAATTATGGTTGGATCAATTGATGCTAAATCTGAAGAGTATTATGGTAGATTGTTAAGTGAATATTTTGATATGGATGATACTTTATTTATTATATCAACTGATTTCTGTCATTGGGGAACTAAATTTGCTTATACTTATTTTAATAGTGCAGATGGAGAAATATTTGAATCAATTGAAAAATTAGATTAGAAAGCTATGGAACATATTGAATTACATGATTTGGATAAATTTAATGATTATTTAAGAGAATATGAGAATAATATATGTGGAAAACATTGTATTGCCATATTATTACATGTATTTGTATATAATTTATATTGAAAGTGTATAGCAATGAGTTAAAATACACATATGATGGAAACTAAATTTATTAGATATGCATAATCTTGTTTAGTTAGAGATAAGAAGGATTCTTCAGTTAGTTATGCAGCAGCTATTACATTTTTAGAAGATTGAATAAAAATTAATTTGATTAAATAAAACATATATATAAATATATATTCATTCTATAATAATGGCTGAGTCATGATTTTATCCTATTTTTGATTTGTTTTATTGAAGTTTTTATTATTCTTCCATTCTTGCTTATTATTGTAATTTCATTTGATTTATATAATAATTATTAGCATAGAAATTAGCATAACTATTGCTTCTTAGATGTTGATTAGATGATAACATCATATTATTTATTACATTTTATAAAGTGTTTGAATATGGTGATGTATTAACAGACTCTTTAGTTTTGACTATTTACAATTTATAAAAGATATTATTGGTTTCATTTGATAACATCTCTAAATTAATCATACGATTATTATTTTTAATTGCATAATTAGGTAGATTATCTAAATTTAGTAATTTTTGAATATTTTCATTAACTATTTATCCATTATTGTCGAAAGTGATTTCATTAACTTATATTTCATATTTTTTGATTGTGTTTAAGATTGCATATTGATATGCATCAATTTAAATAGTAAATAGTTTCTTTTTACATATGGGACATCTCCATTTTCTAGGTTACATAGAATACATTGCTGTAATATAGTTTTCCAATCCAAAACATTATATATGTTAACAAAAAGATCCTCTTATAGGTGTATTCATTAAATTAAATGTTATTGCACATGTTAATTAAACAGTAATGCTATCTACTTTGATATCATCAGCTTAAAGTTTATTCATATAAAGAGATATGAAATCTTAGCTTTATTCAATATTCATCCAATTTTCACTTTAATTGAAGATATTATCCAATAATTATTTTGAATTGAATTATTCTATTGAATATACACCTAGAAAATATAAGTGACCTAAAGTTATACGATATTGACCTCTTTAATCAGGAGTAGGTATACATTCTTTAATTTATAAACAATTTTATGGTAATACTTCAGTAGTAAGTATATGATCATCTTTTCTTTTTTTGAGACTATGATTATTAATGAGTGGTTTGAAATCTTAGATTTTCTTTTAATTTAAAAATAATTCTCCAATATCAGGCCAAGTGATTTCTTCACAATTAGTTTTATTCTCTTGTCTTACACATCTGATATTAATTATACTTTTATCACATGCAAAATTGAATGCTTTATGATTTATTTAACCAACTTATTGAAAAGGAGAAGGTGGTACTAAAGAACTCTATATTTTGTTAAAATGATCCATATATTTAAGTACACAAGGAGGACATACAAATTCTAAGTCTTTGTAACATTTATCAAATGATTCTTTAGATTTAGCAATACATGCAAAATGTAAGTAATTCAAACATAATAGACATTAAATTAGATTTTCTTATTCTGTTGGAGGTTTGCCTTGACATACACAATATTCACATTTGGCTTCTTTTTCAGATGGTCCTGTATTTATTCTTCTATACTTTAATTTAACAGAATTTGGTATACAAATTTCATCTTCAATAGTTTGGGATGGTTAAGTTGTTTATTATGTATTAATAGGTTATTATTAGGAACAAGGGATATTAGTTTATTGTGATGGTTATTATAATTGAGGATCATCTTATTATATTGGATCATCTGGATTATTATTGTTATTAATCTATTCTTCATCATCTTCTATTTACATAGGTTCTGGTTCAGATTATGATTTCCTTTCTTATGCAATTATCTTTTAGATCAAAGTAGTTTGAGTCTAGAAGTAGGCATGAATTTGATCATTGATTTCATCTACAATTTATTAGTATTTGACACAATCACAACGTAATAAACTTTGGGAATACAATTCTAGAAATGTGTTTATGGAAGGTTGTTGTTTGTAATACTATTATATCTATTGAGTTTATAAGTCAGATAGATGATGTTTAGATGAAGTCTTATGAATAATATCTAAGATGTGAGTCTGAGTACTAAGTTCTAATTGTTTGAGGAGAGTGCAATTTTTCATTTTAATAAATGTCCATTCTAGAATGAAGCGCGCTATGTTTTTGGTTGATTAAAAAAAGAATGAATTAATTGGTAAAGTGGGGCATCTANAATTTTCACTTTAATTGAAGATATTATCCAATAATTATTTTGAATTGAATTATTCTATTGAATATACACCTAGAAAATATAAGTGACCTAAAGTTATACGATATTGACCTCTTTAATCAGGAGTAGGTATACATTCTTTAATTTATAAACAATTTTATGGTAATACTTCAGTAGTAAGTATATGATCATCTTTTCTTTTTTTGAGACTATGATTATTAATGAGTGGTTTGAAATCTTAGATTTTCTTTTAATTTAAAAATAATTCTCCAATATCAGGCCAAGTGATTTCTTCACAATTAGTTTTATTCTCTTGTCTTACACATCTGATATTAATTATACTTTTATCACATGCAAAATTGAATGCTTTATGATTTATTTAACCAACTTATTGAAAAGGAGAAGGTGGTACTAAAGAACTCTATATTTTGTTAAAATGATCCATATATTTAAGTACACAAGGAGGACATACAAATTCTAAGTCTTTGTAACATTTATCAAATGATTCTTTAGATTTAGCAATACATGCAAAATGTAAGTAATTCAAACATAATAGACATTAAATTAGATTTTCTTATTCTGTTGGAGGTTTGCCTTGACATACACAATATTCACATTTGGCTTCTTTTTCAGATGGTCCTGTATTTATTCTTCTATACTTTAATTTAACAGAATTTGGTATACAAATTTCATCTTCAATAGTTTGGGATGGTTAAGTTGTTTATTATGTATTAATAGGTTATTATTAGGAACAAGGGATATTAGTTTATTGTGATGGTTATTATAATTGAGGATCATCTTATTATATTGGATCATCTGGATTATTATTGTTATTAATCTATTCTTCATCATCTTCTATTTACATAGGTTCTGGTTCAGATTATGATTTCCTTTCTTATGCAATTATCTTTTAGATCAAAGTAGTTTGAGTCTAGAAGTAGGCATGAATTTGATCATTGATTTCATCTACAATTTATTAGTATTTGACACAATCACAACGTAATAAACTTTGGGAATACAATTCTAGAAATGTGTTTATGGAAGGTTGTTGTTTGTAATACTATTATATCTATTGAGTTTATAAGTCAGATAGATGATGTTTAGATGAAGTCTTATGAATAATATCTAAGATGTGAGTCTGAGTACTAAGTTCTAATTGTTTGAGGAGAGTGCAATTTTTCATTTTAATAAATGTCCATTCTAGAATGAAGCGCGCTATGTTTTTGGTTGATTAAAAAAAGAATGAATTAATTGGTAAAGTGGGGCATCTATACTCCCCACTAAAAGATTATATAAATCCTACAACCCCCACTAAGTATAATTAAATTTAGAATCTATTATGCAATTGGCAATTTTATTATTTTAAAATACTTGAGACAACACCTTGTTTCATGTTAGATGATATTTATCCATTATTTGATTTGAACGAACAATTTCCTATCAGAGAATATAAAGAAATATTATCTAAGTATGTTCAAAAAGAAACTGAACCTACTCATGATTTCAATTCAAGGAAGTGTAGTAGTACATTAGAAGAATCTTTAAGTTTTCTACATAATATTCTTAGTTGTCGATGAAGATTATGAAATAATAGGAAAGAGCTAAAACGATAATTCCATATGTCCAATTTTTTATTTAGAAACTGGGCAATACTCAATTATACTCAAATCATCTGTCCATCTATTTTGATATCCATACTCAATGTGCACTTATGTAAAAATAATAGTTAATATCATTAGTTATTTTGCATGAAAAAATCAAATTGGTTAAATTAGTTAAATGTATTCCTGTAGACTACGATCTACTCGACCTCAATATTAAAGCATTTGTAGAGTTTCAAGATTTTCACATCATTGCTCAAAAACCATTCTTACATTTAACTTATTCCACTACACTTAAATAAAAGAAAAATCCATCCATATTAATAGATTATGCTAATCTAAAATAGTATTATGGCAAGCAGATAAACTACATTATACCATTTCTCTAAGGACGCATTCAAGTTCAACTGTATATTATAGATGCTAATTTAATTTAAAAAGGTAAAGATGCTCACACTTATGTATACTATTACAATGCAGAATAATCAACTGTTGGTGATTACTTTTCATTAGAATCTGGTGGAGTGTGCATCTCAATGTAACTAGAAGAAGATATTATTTAACTATCTATTAAATCACTTCAAATAGCACTCCCAACTAAATTAACTCAAATAGGTCCAATTCAAACAAGAATTACTTATTAAATTTTCAACTTGAAGAAACTCCAATAGAAGAATGGACTGAAAATTTTTAGAATCTTGAATAGATTAGAAGTAATGTTGTAAATTTTGTAAAAACTTATCATGGTAGTAGATTGATTTAAAAACATTTCACAACTTGTACTTAAAAGGAATTAGATCAAATTTTATAAGAAATTGAATCTCATCCTCTAGATTTGATGATTGATCCATATGCCAATTACATGTTTGTTAGTCTTAGTCAAAGTTATGCTCCACATTAAAGATTATATATCTTATAAACAGTATATTTATATAATTAGATCGGTAATCGTCTTGTTGATATTGCTTGTGATAAAAAGGAACTAATTCTATTTAGTCTTTAGTTTCATTGATCTCTTATAAATAAGAAGAATAAATGGTTGAGAATAGTATTAAAAATAACATAATTCCACTTACTATTGATAGTTAAGGTACACATCTTATCAAAAAGATAATTGTACGTTTTTCTGAAGATAGACTCAATTATATTTTTCATAAATTGATGAAAAGATTGATTTATGTAATTAATAATTAATTTGGATTATGTTTATTGAAAGATCTCTAAATTCAAAAAAAATTTAGAAAAATCTAATATTATTATTAATAAAATGAAGGATCATTTAGATGAAATTATATTGAAATAAGCACTTTTTCGTAATTTACCTTCCATTTATACTTAAAATATTAGACAAAATTGGATAGACTATTTACTTTATTAAATAGAGTGCTGTAAAAGAGGATAATGTATAAATTGCTTAAATGAGACAATTTATTAAGGAATCTTAATTTAATATATACTAGTTTGATTATTTAATCAAATTAGTATATATATCGTATTTTATTAAATGAAATAGAATCTTTGAGATATATTGAAGAAGATATAAATCATAACAAAATAAATGACAATTAATTAATTTAAACTAAGTTTATAAAATTATTAATATTTATTAATCCACTCGCCTACTGTTTTTTAGAATTTATAAAGTTTAACTCCAGTGATTTCATTAAATTCATAGATATAGAATAAATTACAATAGATAAGTGTATGATTTATAAATTATATGATTCAGTAAAAAGTCATGATGAAAATTAAATATCAATACAGTCTAGATATTGGCCTACTAATTGTGTATTATCCAGGCCCAGGTGATTAGGTGATTCTTACACTGCCTATTCTTGCTCTTGTAAATGAAATTCCTCTCTTACGTAATGTAGTCCCTAAATCATATTAACCTGGTCCTGGATAGTTGTGTTAAACAGACTTAGGTCGAGACTTCATATAATCTAAAAATTCCTTATTCACTTTATAAGGTTTTTCAGGTGGACTTCTAAATACTTTTACTTAAGTAATGTTATAATTTCCAGGTCCTGGAGTATCAGAGTTTCGATTGAACATAATTCGTTAACCTTTAGGAAAAGTGGGTCCGTTAGTTTTTTATATTTTACTAAGTTCGCTGATGATTGAGTTTTCACAGTATAACTCTTATTTAGGGAAACGATCAGCCCTTCCAAAAGTTTGATGTATATTTTTTCTTTTAGACTCTTTCATTTATTTTATTAAAATGCAACTATATACATTTATAGATTGGTTCTTTACAATAGGATCTATTATAATAGCTATTCTATTAGGAATATATGTTAATGGAGCAGCTTGCCTTTTAGGATTGTTCTTCTATTTAATATACCCTTTTATTATTGAATTCTGCTATAATCTTTTAAGTGTAAAATAGGAAATCAGCATAACAAATATGCCTGAGATACCAATCATATATCATGATAATTATAATATTACTGCTTGTGGTATAGAAAAGCAGCATCCATTTGATTCCTGCAAATATCGGAATGTGTATAGATAAATTAGATAAAAAATAAAGGCTTAACATTTTACACCATAAATGCTCTCCAGAGGAACTTTTCTATATTTAGGTATGAGTAAATGGTACTTACTTAAAATTTGTTACAGTGCATATATCTCAACTTTAATTGAATTACATGTATTCTTTTTACCTGGAGTTTTCTTAAGATCATTTCTCTTAGATTCAATGCTTCTTGCAACAAGTGGTAGTGTATATGGTGCAAAACTAGCTCTTGAAAAGGGTTGGGCAATCAATCTAAGTGGAGGTTATCAACATGCCTCTTTAAATAGAGGTGGTGGGTATATATTATATTGTATTACATTATTAGGTTTTGTATTTATCCTGATATAACTTTGGTAGTAAATTACCTTAAGAAATATTGCAATTTAAAGAAAATAACAATAATAGACTTAGATGCTCATCAAGGAAATGGCTATGAAAGAGATTTTCTTAATGATTCTTCAGTTTATATAATAGATTTTTATAACTCTTATATATATCCTAGAGATCGTTAAGCAGAAAAAGCCATCAAATGTTTTAAACACATAGACAAGCGTACTACAGATGAATAATATATTGAAATACTCTAAAGAGATCTTGAAGTAAATCTCAAAGATGATATGCAATTCATTATTTATAATGCAGGTACAGATATTATGGCAGGAGATCCACTTGGTAATTGTTCTATTTCTGCTTCTGGAATTAAAAAAAGAGATGAATTAGTATTTAAGTGTGCAAGACATAAAAAGATTCCAATACTTATGTTACTATCGGGTGGGTATTAAAAAGAAAATACATTTGCAATTGGAGAATCTATTCTATAATTAATTACTTGAATATAATGATTATATTAAGATAATAATTAAATTATAAAATAGTATTATAAATCATTTTAGTTATACTAGAAACAAATCCAAATAATAACAATGATTAACTAAAAAGTATTCCTAAAAAATTAGAAATAAGAAATTACTTAAAAATTCAATTTCTCTATAATCTTGATTTTAATTGATATTAGATTATGATTGTCTCTAAACCTTTTAATTGAAAAACCTAAGGCAGTAAATTTAAATAATGCAAAGTATATATTCAACAAAAAAATTCATAAATCTTTTAACAATTAAATTAACAGTCTTATTTTAAAAAATTAATTGAGATAATTTTTTTATCTTGTTAATAATCTAAATATATATTTTTAATATATCAATGTACTATTCAGATGAATTAATCTTGAATTATGTAATTTTATTCAAGTAAAGCTTAAAATAATTGAATTGAAAAGAGCAAAATTAATCAATCATAAAATACTTTCAAATGAAGTATAATATTTACAAATTATTTATTCATTTAATTCTAATTAGATAAATAAATCAATAATTTTTAATGTAAATTATATTCAAGAGAAATTTCTTGAAGAATTATTGTTAGTTGAAAATCATAGATTAACTAAAATTTAATATATTTAAATTTAAATATCTTTTTAATATTTTAAGCTAAGTTTTTTCACTATAAAGATCATGGTATTTTCTTCATAGCATATTTTGGTAAGGACCCAAATTCATTTCCTTAATCATATCCACCAGGTCCAGGAGTATCATTTTTTGGATTCAAAGGTGGTCGTTTACCAGTACCAAATCCCCAACATGGTCCTCCTAATTTATCTTTAGGTTTGTATTATCCAGGTCCTGGAACCTCTAAAGTAGAATTTAGATCTTGTCTTCTTGATGTACCAATTCTAAAACTTATAGATTATATTACTTAGCTGATTGTGGTCTTTACATAATAGGACGCTCATATTAACCAGGTCCTGGTACCTAATCTTTTTGAGCTTATACAGGATCATATTTATGACCCAATATTTTAACTTATGGACCTTCTACCATTTTTGAAGGTAAATCATAAGTACCAGGCCCAGGAACTCCTTTTACATCATTTAAAGGTCTTCTAGTTGCTGATCCTACTCTAACCATAGCAGATTAAGGACGAATTGTATCAATTTAAGGTTCATATTCTCCTGGTCCTGGATTTGGATTGGCAAACTATAATCCTCTCATTGATTTGCCAATCTTACAGGAAGGAGGTCTTTTAACTGGTTATGGATCATAAGCTCCAGGTCCAGGAACAACAAGTTATTATGTAATTTATTCTTTCCTAGACACTAAAGTAAAACCCTTAGGTTGGACAGACTCAAATTATGATGAATAATTATATTATCCAGCTAATATTATATAATGAATTAATATACGTCCTGGTACTTTTCCAAGTTCATTGTCATAGAGTCCTCTTCTCTGAGCATTGCCAAAACGATATTTGGGAGCTGATTCAGGTCTTTCTTGTTTATAGGCTTGTAATTAATAAAATTATTAATGATACTTCCTGGTCCAGGTACTTTTTCTTAATGAGGATCGTCTCTCTTGGATCGAGGAAATCTAACAAAATAATGAATAGAGAGTTACCTCATGGTAGGAGCATCTAATTATTTACTTAATTAATATTCTCCTGGTCCAGGTTATTAATCATCAGGATGGCTTCCATATTTGCCACCAAAACTATATTAAGGAGTTTGTTTAGTTGGTTTTAAATTATAAGCTCCTGGTCCAGGTTAAAAAGATGTAACAGATTATTGTTTTTTGCCAGCAAAAGAGAACTTAGGTCCTTTGAGTAGGTTCTAAGTTAGATAAATGTCATACATCGGAAGAAGCATATGCTCCTGGTCCTGGAGTGAAACTTGGTTAAAACGTTTATCTTTATGCTTGTGGGATCCTAATATATAAATGTAGATTTGATACTTGAAACTTGGGGGAGTGTATTTTTGTTTCTTGTCTCCAGAGTATTATCCAGGTCCTGGAGTATCAGGTCCTTATTGAACTTCATTGGATCTTTTACCATTTCCAACTGAATATGCTGAAACCATTATATATATATAATTAAATATAATTCAAATATGCTAAAATTATTGTATTGAAGTGATTCTGAGTGATGAAATATATTACAGATAGTAATACTATAGATGTTTAATGGTTTGTTTGTCAACTTCATATTTGGATGGTACTTTGAAATGACTCAATTATTCAAAATTATATTTGATTCTAAGATGAATTTAATAATAGATATATATATACCTTTATTAAAAGATCATTTATTCTTAGTAATCTTTCAAATTTCTTTTGCCTTGAGATGCTTCTCTGATTGCATAATCTAAAATACTCCATTTAACTAAGTCATTCATTTGATCTAAGAGAGTACGTAAATAGGTTGGAAAATTGTTAAGTGGATTACCATTTCTATTTTTAAATTTTCTAGCCATTTCATTTACTTATTGAAATTATAAATTATAGATTTCAACTACTAAATCTCCCAATTCTACAAGTTCATATTCTTATTATTCAATTGAAAATTTTTTGTTATCATTAGTAACTTCTTCATAAAGATTCTATTGAATATATTGAGCATACACAGAATTATTTGTATAATCAGTATAAGATTTTGGATCAAAATGATCAGCACGTTAATAAATTAAACAATATGCATTAGTTTTTGATTTACCATCTCCATAAGAATCACGCAATACTTTTTCTTCACTTACTTAAGTTACATTGATATCATTAAATTTAAACCATTGTTTTAATAATGGATTATAGATATAAGTATAATAATGACCAGATTCTGCTGCACCTTCATGAATTAAAATACTTTAAAGAAAATACTTATATTTTTTCATTATAGCATATAAATCTTCAATCTTCTAATTAATTTAATCCAATTATAATTGAAATTTCTATAAAATTAATTGTATACTTAATCTACATTAATCAATTCTTTATTGCATTATTTCATCATCTGGTTTAACATCTTTTACATATTTAGTAGCTGTATTTAAAATAGTTAACATTGATAATCCTCCATAATTTTAATACTTTTCCATTTGTAATAATAATTCTGCTTATTAAATTTTAAGTTCATTTAATTGTTATTATGTTTCAATAACCTTCTATCTATTTTCTAAAAGAAATCTATCAGCATAGATTTCCTTTTCAAATCTAAATTCATCATTTAATTTTATTAATCCTCTCTCTGGATCATATCCAACTCTTTATATCAAAAATAATAAAGAATCTGGAAATTAAGTAATCCAAATAGTTTTTTCAGCTAATTCAATTACTTCACTTCCATTACGATATCCTTCTATTAAAAATGAATTATTTGCTTCCCAAGCTTAATATAAACTCTTATTTTTAACATTTAAAATAATCTATAAAAATATTTATTCTTGTTCTTCACTTTAATTTCTTTAATTTGGATGTGTAATATATTCTTTAGTTTTTCCAAAGAATAATCTATTAATTATAGTTTAATTTTAAGGTTATGATTGTAATGGTTATTATTCTATTAATTTAGTTTTATTTTCATCCAATAATATCATAGATCTAGTTTGTATAATTCCTGATTTATTATGATACTAATCTGATTCATGTTATTCACCATTTTCATTATACATTTCAGCATCCATTATTTTATTCTCATGATATTTTAATCCTTCATCAATACATGTTATAAATTATAAATTGAACTCTGCCCAATCTTTTTAATCACCCAATTAAAATCTATTACCAAATTCATCAACCACATTTAAGAATACTCTATATGGATCTACATACTTTCTATCTGTATGAACTAAGTAAGCAAATAGTCTAAAATTATTATTTTTCAAACCTCTACAAATGTACAACTAAATCAATTGATGACTTTATTCTCTTTGCTTTTGCTTCATTCTTATTTAATAGATCCTCAAAATTCAATTAAACTGGATATTTAAAGCTCAATATCTCTTTCACAAAAATTGGATTATGAAAATAAGTCTATATCAAAGAATTTAAATAGCAAACTAACATAAATATCACAAAAACCATTAGCTAAATTTTTCAATCCTACAGGTGTTCCCTTTTATCTCAATCGTTAATCTGGAGTCAAAACATCAAATGATAATTCTCTCAAAATCTGTGATTGTGATTATTCTTTTATTGGAGTTTAAATGTTTTTTAAGAGCACATCCAAAATTTCTAGATTTCGATTTTATTTGCAAATCTATTATGCTTTGATTATCTATTATTAAGTGAATCCCATATTCAAATATTACTGCAGCATTTTTATAATATTAATTTATTACAAATTAATTAAATATAAAAAATAAATGACTAATATATGATTATTATTAATGAATAATAATCACAAATCTAAATTTTGATTTGTTAAAATCTTAAATGTTGCCCATTATTCTTCCATTAAATCTTATTGTAAGTAATATTACTTTACATCCTAAAATTTTAATGCATTTTCATCCTTATTACCTTCTTCTTATAATAAATCATAATTAATAAATGTATCTTAATAATAGAAATCATTTTCTTTAGTAAATGCAATAATCAATAATGCATTTTTACGTTGATTTAAAACACTTAAAGAAGATATTACTCTTTATAAACCTTACTTATTTTTCTAATCATTTCTATATTTATTAAATTGTTTAATATCTTAAATAATTATTTTATTTTCAGCCAATTAAACTCCTTAATAACAAAGATACATTTAACAATTTTCAATTAATTATTTTTTCATCTAAAAATTAAATATTAATATGGATTACTTTATCATCTTTAATAATTTCATTTCTTTCTAATGGATTTAATCTAACATTTTGTATAAAAAATTAACTACTAAAAAAATTTGGAAATAAGAGTGAAAGAAAATTGTGATTTTTACTCATATCTTAATAAAAGTATGCTATTTCTTCAGTATTTAAATAATAATTTCTCCAATTTTATAAATGATTTTAAATATTATATTCGATTTGATCAAAGTTCCCTAATAGAATTCGTGTATTTGGAAAATTTTGATATACTTTTGTTAGATTAAATTCAAATTCTTTTTATTTAGTAAGATGTTTATTTAATTCAGATACATCTATACATTAATTTAGTATTTGTTGACATGACTAAAATTAATCTAAATTTAAGATATCTTTTAAGTGAAGTGTTATTTTTTTATGAAAAGTTTAATTACAAGCAAAAATCTTTTATTCAAGTCTAATGAGTTCTTATAATTCACATTCTTCATTATTTAAATGCAATAATTATAATAATGTTTTGTAATCAAATAACTTCTCATTTCCTTATTCTAATTCTAATTATTATCTCCACATACTAATTGTCTATATTGATTAATCTATCTATTAAAATAGGTATGTTTTTAATTAGTTAAGTTCTTTTGCTAATTTTTCAATTTATTTTATTTAATTTTCATATAAATGACTAACTATTTTAAACGAACTCAATTTTTTTTATTTCATAACATACTTAGCCTTACTAATAGATATTGCATTGTTGGGTAGAGTCTATTTAGTTAAACATTCTTTGCAATAAAAGGTAGCTATTTTATTTCCATTTAAAACCATAAATTCAGGAGGATTTTAATGATTGAATTAACAGGGAATTCCAATATCCTATTCAGGCAATATTAAAGACATTTAAGTAATATTTAATAAATTGTTAATAGAATATTGTTAAATATTATTATAAACCTAAAAATGATAACATAATGATTATTAATTAAATATTGTTTTAAAAATTATAATGGAATTAGAAAATAGTTTATTATGTAAACATAACCTTCAAGCTTTGAAAATTATAAATGATTCTAATATCAATACAACATAAAGATTATTATGTCATCAATGTTTAAAAGAACATTAAAATAAATCTCAATTATCTTAATTAATGGATATATCTATAGCCATTTCTTAAGTTAATAAGAGTTAAAGTTATACTTCAAAATATACTAATTAACTTATTTATCAAAGTATTACACATTTAAATGCATTCATCATTAAATTTAAATTGTTACAAACTGAAATCTAAGAGGCTTGTTAATAAATCAATTTAATAGCACTTTAATGGCTATAAGATTTATAATTACAATAAAATAAGTTATTTATTGAGAGATTTGATTAATCATTCAATAACCAGTAAAGTATTAATGATAATGATTTAAATGATGTAAATTATAAATTCTTAAGTATCACTGCTTAATATTTACCTGATTTGAATTCTCTAATTAATCCATTTATTAGTTTTCAACAATTTAATTCTTGTTAATAGATACTACTCTAATTATCAAAAGTTAATATTGAAGATGCTATTTAATAATTATATGTTGAATATCAATGCAAAACTCTAATTGAAAAAAAAGAAATAATTTAATAAAATAGTATTTGTGATTAAGAATTCATCAACATTTAAGATATGATAGTTCATTTTTAAGAATAAAACAAAGGAATATAGTTAGAAATAATAGAGCAATTATAATCCTTAATTGGAGTAAGACAAAAACTATCATAATCTATACATAATTTAGAATTAGAATTAAATCATAATATATTCTAACAATATGGAAATTATTTTTAGATTGTTCAAAATTAGAATTTGTTGATAAATCAAGGTTGTATGGATAAATTTAATGAAATACTAAATAAAACACAAAAAGATTAAATGATTATAATGAAAGAATAGTTTAAAAGTAAACTTAAAAATTGTGTTCAAGATGTATTAACAAATCATTTAAAAGATTTATAAAAATTAATTGTTTAAGAATAAAAACTTAATAATTTCATTTCTCTTAAATAAATTATCTCTTAAATCAAATAAAATTAATATTGTTATGCCATATAATTTAATAAGGATACTACAATCATGATTTCAACAAGTAGTAAATAAATAAAAGTTTGGGAATTTAATAAAGGGTAATTAATATTGAGAAATAATTTATAAAAGCATATTGATGATGTTACATGTCTACTATATAGCAATTATTTAAATTCATTTATATCAGGTTGTGGAAATGATGATGGTTCAATAGTATGTTGGCAAATGGGGAATAATTATGAATGGAAATCATCATAACCATTTTAATAGCATAAATTAGGTCTAAGATGTATGATTATGAATCATGAAGAGAATCAATTAATAACTGGTAGTCTAGATAAAACTATTATTATTTGGAAATTAGATTTTAAACAAAATAACTTAGTTTATCAATACACTTTATAAAAACATCAAAATAAACTATTAAGTTTAAGTATAAATGATTCTGAAACATGTTTTGTATCATGTAGTGAAGATTAATCAATAATAATTTGGATTAAATAGTAAAATATTTGGAAGTTTAAACAAATTTTATAATAATCAATATATGATATTGGTAGATAAATTAAATTCTTAAGTGATACATAATTTATATGGTTATAATAAAATTAAGGAATACTACATTTTTTTGAAGGCTAAAATTTTCAGTTTGAAGAAATAATTGAAAAATAATTAATTTTAAATAATTAAAAGTAAGATTGGAATCTATTTCCAATTATATATAATAAACTAAAAAACATAATAGTTATAAGATATAATTCAACTGTGTTCATTCTACGAATATAATAAAATGGATATCTAAAAATAATGGCTGATCCTATTTAATGTTAATCTGAGTTTATTTATGGTTCTCTCTCTAAAGATGGCTAATATATTGTTCTTTGGGATATGGTTTCAAAACAATATAATATTTATGAAATTCTAGATTGAAACTTTACTATATATGTTAAAATAATAATTATTATCTTAATTAATTATAAATAAAAATGTAAATTATTATATAATAGATATAATATTGAAGAAAATAATTAGGAAGATAAATTATTATAGATTTTTTGTAAATTATTATCAAAATATCTTAATCATTTGTTAATATTTATTATTATTCTAAATTCTATTTATTTTAAAGTACAAATATCATAATATTGTAAGCCTTTTCTGTTTGACAATCATTTAGAGATATTATAATTTTTAATCCATAAATTTAGATTTTGATTATCACTAAGCATATTTGTTATAAATTAATAAATATTATCAAATTAATTTTCACATATATAAAGTGCATTTAAAAGATATTTTTATTTATTTTATCTATAAATAAATTAATTTTATATTTATATATATATATATATATGTATAATCTATAAATTTATATATTATTTCGATATTAATAATCATCAAATTTACATACTCAATTTAACTTCTTCCAAACATTTAAGTGTGTCTTCATTATTTGTATCTATAACCAATGATTAAACAAAACCATAACTTATTTTCTTACACTATTCTCTAATTTGTTAAGCAGGAGATCTCATTAAATTACCAAGGGCAGTTACTAATTTAGCAATTGTTTCTGGATCTCTTTGTTAATATTATAGAAAAGTAACAATAGTTTCAGATAACATCTCACTAGCTTGATCATTTAATCCATTTCTCTAATATATTCCAATAGATAAATTCAGAATGAGATTACTAAGTACTTGTACATTCTAGATGATATAAAATATTATACTTTTTCATCAGTATCTAAAAGACTCAAAATAATGTCTTTAACTATTCTTAAATGGTATAAGATAGCACAAGAATTAGTATTATGTTTTAAGCAATTACACAATGTTTACAAGGCCAATCTTACAAGAACAGTATTAACAGGTTATAAATTGACAATGGTGAAAATATTTAAAAATAAATTCATACCCTTTTCTAAACCAGCAAATATTTATTCACTGCTATGATGAAGACAAAATAATCTAAAGAAATCATAAACTGGTAATAAATATTGAGGATCCCATTTTATTAGTTTCTAGATGAAGATAATACAAACTGAATTCTCAATATTAACAGTTTTATAAACTGATTATTATCCTAAACTTTCAATGCCTTTATTAAAAAACAGAGTTTCCTTTTCTGTTAATTTAAGTTCTTCAGACACTTGAGCATTGAATTCAAATAGTTTCTTACTCAAACCTTATAAATTCATATTTTCATAATAGGTGCATTATGTATAAGGAATATATTAAAAGTCAATCTACTTTTTAGCCTATTATTATTGTAATATTTATTATTAAGCATATTATTCTTTCATAGTTTCTAATTCTGATTTCTTTTATCGTTAAGATTACCCAAAAGATGTATTCTTTTTTAAGAAATTGACTATTTATTAAAGGTAATGTTTAGAGTATCCTTCCCTTAAGCAAAACTTCTCTGCAGAATCATAAAAACTTTCCCCTTCATTATATGGTAAGAGTTTTGTAATTCCATGATCATCTTCAACATCAAAGACATGATCATATTCTCCAGCTTCAAAGTATTTATCTCCAGGAAAGAATTTCCTTGAGCTTGCCCCTTTGCCACCAATCACATCTCCAATCAATTACCAATTACTTGAAGCAACACTCCACATATATGCTTCAGGTTTATTTCCATTTCTAAATAATCTAATCTCCCCTTCTTTCTTTCCTACCATAGTTTTTAATTTATCAATTCCTGGCAATTTCTACACTTCCTCTTCAGACATTCCTCCTTCTTATTTGGCATTTGATAAAGAGGCTTCTTACTCTAATCCTTCTATTTCAGCCTAAGAAGCAAATCTAATTGGATCAGAAGTAAAAACTCTAACTTTTCCATCACTTGTTCCAATTATTATATCATTATAATTATTTATAGCTACAGTCCATACAGTATCTGGCAATTAAATGGTTTATTTTGGAGTACCATCTAAATTCCAGATTATTACTAATCTATCATCTCCTCCACTAATAACTTGATCCATGTGAATTTTCATAGTAAATACAAAGCTCTTGTGTCCTAAAAAGGTTTAAATCAATTCTAGATCTTTTGACCAAAGTTTAATGGTTTCATCATTAGAACAAGTTATATAGCCACCCAAAGGAGATGGTAATATTTCTCTAATGATATCCTTATGAGCTTCTACACTCTTAATTTTAGTTTCCTTTGACCAAGAATGTAGAATACCATCTTAGGATCCAGTAATAAAATTTAAATTTTCATCTCCATATACTGCCACACCATATTTATGTCCATTCAATCTATAGAGTTACTTCATTTAACTAATATCCCATATAATTGCAGTTGCATCCCATGATCCTGAAATAAGTAACTTAATTTTATGATGATTGAATGTACATTTTCTGATATGCTTTTTAAAGAACACACTTATTAATCATGTCCATCTAAAATACCTAGTGGATTCCCTTCATTGTCTAACAAATAGATTTATTTATCATGTCCAACTGCATATCCACCATTTATTCTTGCACATGTAGCATATATATATTTCTCAAAGAAGGATATCAAAGTCACTTAATGATATTAATTATTATTGATTTCATACAACTTTGCAGTCTTATCACTTGAACCTATTAAGATGATTGAATATGTCATTACATGTTAATAATTAATCTCCTTAGGTTGAGATTGATCTAACTATACCATTGTGTGCAGCAATTGTTTGACTCAATTTATATTGTTATGCTTCCATAATTAATGATTTTATATTTATTATTTTAACTAATTAGTGCCTATGTAAAGATTGATTTACTTAAATCAACACAACCTCATTATAATAGACATCTAAGAAATGATCTAATGATCAATAATTTCAAGAATATGCAATATACTGGGATTATTAAAATAGGTGAATAGAATCTTGAATTGTTATTTGATACAGGTTCTTCTATTTTTTGGGTAAATTCTATACATAAATTAAGGTATTTTCAAATACATGTCCTTCACAATCAAAAAAAGCATCTTTTGATTGTTAATCAAGTTCTAATTGTTTGATGACAAAGGAATAATTTAAAGTTTAATATGGTTAAGGGGAGATAGGAGGGAACAAAGCTTTTGATTAATTGTAAATATCCAATTTTACAGTATAAAATTTTCAATTTTTGATTGTGAATTCATAATCTAATTTAGATAATTTGAGAGCAGATGGTATTTGTGGATTGGGTTTACAAGAATATTATGGATTCAATTCTTTAATAAATATTTTATATGATCAACATTTGATAGAGAAAAGAATATTTGCATTCTTTTTAAATTCAATACCTGAACATATTAATAATGCAAGTGCTTTATTTATAGGTGGATATGATACTCACTATATGAGTTCAGATATATAATATGTTAAATTAGATAAAAGTGATTCATGGTCAATAAAATTAAACAATATATAAATGAATAAGAAAGTACTAATTAATGATGTATCAGCATTAATTGATACTGGTACTTCATTGATAGTTGTACCAACTCATTAATTTACATCATTATTATCTATTTTAAGAGATGATTATAAATAATTTTGTCAATATTCTTAATACTAAATAAAATGTTCATGTCCTGATGGAGATATTTCACATTTTCCTTAATTTGAATTTAATTTTGAAGGTGATTTGAGATTATAATTAAATCCTAATGATTATATAGATATAGATGTATCTGTATGTGTATTGTCATTTACAAAGAGTTCAAATAATTATTGGATTTTAGGTGATACATTTATTAGAAAACATATAACAATATTTGATATTGATAATAAATAAATTGGATTTGCTAAATTGACTACATTTGAGAAATAAAGTAAATAAATTTAAATTAATGATTACTTGTATATATTTAAAGTTGTTTGTGCATGTATATGTGTAGCTATAGCATCTATTTGGATAATTAGATAAGTAAGTTGTTTAGGTGAAGCAAGTCATGAAATGAATAAATGATAAGTAAATATAATAATAATATCATTATTTTTTACTAAAGAGAGCATCAGTTAGATTATCAATTGCTTCTTTTAATTTTGAAATTTCAAAACTTGATGTTTCTTTAAAAATGAATTTATTTTTGAATTTCTTTGAATCTAAACCTAATACTTTTATTAGATCATCTTTATTGAATCTATTTTTTTTATCATTCTTATTGAATAAGAATAATATTGGAATTGCACTTTTTTTAATTAAATCATCATTAAGTACTTCTTCAATTAGATGTCTTTATAAATGAAATCTAATCATATAAATTTGAATAATAATACCTATATTCTGTATCACTTGTATCAATTACATATATCATTGCTTATATATCTTAATAAAGAATTCTCCAATTTGATCTATGACGACCATTACCAGACATATCATAAACTAAACAATATTTTCCTATTTTTGGACAAATCACATAATGAATCTCCATAGTTGGTGTTGGGAATATTTCCATTCTTTAACTATTAGAGAGTGTACGTAATAGACTAGTTTTACCTGCATTATCTAATCCAACACAAATAACACTAAATGCAACTTACATTTATTATAATTAATGAGTAATCGAAAAACAAATGATAACAAGTAAACTAGAATTTCATTGGGAGCCATAGATGATATGTTCAATGATGCTGAATTCTGTCAAGCTATTAAAGATACATTTAAGAAATAATCCAATACAGCTCGTAATGATTGGCCAGCCCAAACAACTAATATGTTTTATTAGAAAGCAACAATTTCATAGATTATGAGATTGAGAGCTAAAGGATCACATACAGGAACACGATATCCATCATTAAAGAAAGAAGAACGTAAAACTAGATGGGCTAGTTTAATAGGAGATGGTAGAACAGAACATCATCAAAGGATACCATCTGAAATAGATAATATGCCAATATGTTCTTAATATGAATAGTATAGTTATCTTAATAGACAACATGAATTATTAATATCAAATTTGAGTGAATTGCCAAAATCAATTAAAATGATGTTATACTCTAATATGTATGAAGTATAAAGAGCTAAGATGTGTGAAAATAAAACAATGTTAGATGACAAATTTATATTTACATTATTCAATACTCTTTAATAATTGGATAAATAAATTATTGAACCATTACATTAATAAACTAGACCTGTACTTAATTTCAAAATGCATTTTGTTTAAAATGCTGTAAATTTAGTTTCAGAAACTATAATTTAAAGTATTAGAGAAGCTTTAAGACATGATACTAGATTAGGTATATTTTTAGAAGGTTTTTGCAAATTCTGGATTGTTTTGATTGATATTTAATTGTAATGGATGGGTAAAAGTTGTGCTGATTATATTGAAACTCAAGTTAAAGAATTTAAAGAGTAATTCTAATAAGCTGTGGCTTAAAAGATTAAAGTAGAAGATTAAATGATTTAGATGGATAAAGAATTTAAAATTATGGAAGCTTAATATATTCGTAAACATGAATACTTATAATAACAATTATTATCAGTTTAATAAGAATTTCAAGATTATATTGTAACAGTTCAATAGATGAGTGATCTTAGAATTGCTGAAGAAAGAATGAATTCAGTTGGATTGAAGGCTTTAGAATTAGAGAGTATGTTCAAACAATATGATAAGGTTACATCTTAACATTCATTTGTATTTCAAAAAGATATCAAAGAATTAGGAAATGCTTTAATTAAATAATAGAAATAGAATTAACCTCTTCCAATGAAACATTAAGAAGCATAAATTAAATTAGGATGTCATAAAATATAAGAGGAGAATTACTAATTATATTATTTGAATTCAATTGGTATTTTTATGTAAGTTCATCCTTTTTAAATTCTATTTGAAATAAATAAGGAATTAGAAATGGATTATCCAATGTTATTGAGTAATTTCTTAGATTACTTAACTCAAATTGGAGATTTCTTGTCTCATGTTTGTAGAATCTTTATTGATTGGGTTGGAGATGATGATAAACTTAATGCTATTTTAACTTATTTTAGTGAATGTGATCTCGATTAACCTATTAATTAATTATATGCCATTATATTTGGGATTCGAGAACAAACTTAATTAAGTTCTGTATCTCTAAAGAAATTACTTAAATATTATAAAGAATTGTAAGAATAACATGATTATTAATTAAATGATCATTTTACTATCAAGGATGCATCTCCATATTTTTAATTATTATTTTCAGAAGAATTTAATGAAAAAATTACTAATAGTTAGAAATAATAAATGACTCTTTTAGAATTATTATTGTTATTAGCTTAACATTTCCTAATGATGGAAAACAAATAATGGGCTGGATGGTTATATAAATAAGAAATTTTATCTGAAGATTTAGATATGAATGTGGTATTGTATTATTATTAAAATTATAATCAAGATCAAATAATTTATTGAGTTACGTAACCAATTGAATAGACCACTTGAAGATAGCCTTAAATTAGTTAGACAACTCTCCTTACTACACCCTGACTTATTTTATAAGAGTAAGTAAGCCCCTTAAGAGAGAATGAAAGCATCAGCTCGCAAAGTGTAACGTAAAAACTCCTAACGATCTCCTCTTAAGAGATCAAGTATTACTTTGATTAAAGCTATTAATTTAAAAAAGTGATATATTAATTATAAAAATTTTGAAGAATGATTTCATTGAATATAACATAAGTATAATCAATTTAATCATTCTAAACATTAAATCTAGAGTAATAAAATAGCCATTTTATAAACATTATTCTTTATTAATGAATTCTTTTATATTTTAGATCTTTATATAAATAAAATTGCCTATTCAACTCAAATAACCTTTAAATTATTGACAAGTTATTTATCTATTTCTAAATTAGCTAATCAATTAAAAACATATAGATCTTTATTTCAATAATAGTTTCAATAGTTCAATAGTTAAAATAATTCATACTTAAACAATTCTGAATTATACATTAATATGTTCAGCAAGAAATTGTTGAATTACATATAATTCCATGTTAAATAATGATCTGAATTATAGGATAGCTATAATATAGATTAATTTTAAATGATTTTTAGAATAATAATTTTATGTATTATCTAAATTAAGAGGTTTTGCGGAGTAGATATCACCAATTTACATAATTCAATATTCTCGACCAACTTGAACCTATCTATCAATCTCTTAAGGTAATTAGATATATTTAGTATTAAAAAAGTTCTCTTTAGAGTCCAGAGATAGAAACACTTTCTTTTAGGAAAAAGTGCAACAATAACCAGATTGCTTCTAAGTTAATCCTATTTATGGATTTTCATAATAAGCAAATGAAATATATAGTAGTTATGGACAACCAACTTAAATTTGCTTCTATATGCATCGTCAAAAGAGATATCTAATGATTGGCACTCAATAATCAGTGATTATATGCATTGAAGTTGTAAATGGAAGAGTAGAATCAATCTAAGCTATACTTAATGCAGGTGAACGATAATCAAGATATGGCTCTGTATTAGCAATTTAATGTTGGGAGAAATATATGTTAGTTGGTTTTGAAAGAGGAGACATTCAATTATATGAAGTAGGTAGGAAATGGGAACGTTTACATCATGAATCCAAATTACATTCTGGTAAAGTAATGTAAGTGTTATTCATACCATCTTCTACTATTGAAGCACTCTCTTTAGATGAAAATGGAGTAATTTATAAACATGCATTTACAGTAATGACAGTCATGGATAAATATATTGTTAGTCATTCAAAAGATAAAATCTATAAGAATGGCAAAATCTATCATATTAAAAGAAGCACTTAATAACCAAAATAAAAGTAATCTTCTTGGTGGGATAATGCAAAAAGTATATTTAAAAAAGAAGAGGAAGTTAATGAATATATAGATCCCTCTGTTAAACATTCAAGTGATACAGATGGATAATTAACTAAGTTTGCTTTGGATATTAAATTAATGCCTGAAATTATGACTTAATAACTCAATTAAAATATATAATAAGTAGTAATTGTTGCTGTATTATATTCTAATCGTGTTGAAATACTTAAATTCTATAAAGGTATTATAATATTTATTAATTTAGGTTCATTAAAATGTGAAATAGTATATACTCTTAAAAGAAACACTTTTTCAATTGATCTTCCATAATAAGATAATACAGAAAGTGGAGAATTATCATGGGGTGAAGGATACTTTGAAAAATCTTATTAAAATGCTAAATTATTATGTATAAGATGGGGTGATATATTTCATTTAGTGAAATGTATGAATATAGAAGATGAACTTGAAATTGTTGAGGGGTAATATAATTAAATTATTTATTAAGTGCTGTTTATAAGATGTAAAAAGAGAAAGGTAATATAATAAAGAGTTCATTTTTAACAAATAATATCATTTATGCATTTTCAGATTCAAATTGGGTTGCTTTGATTCATACAACTTAATTTTAATTTGCCAAATAAGATGATGGAATAGTGATATTGGAATCAAAAACTAGAATGTTATCTAAAGAAGAGATAGAGCCATAGGTAGCTGAAATTAGTGTTTCATATGAAGGGCCAAATATACCTTGTTAAGTGTAAATATATGAAAATGGAATTGTATCATTAAGGAAAAATAATATTTTAATAGAAAGATTATAAACTTGGAGTGAATATTTAGAAGATTTGATTGAGAAGAATTAATGGGAAAAAGCTATGCATTAAGGTATGCTTATCTATTAAGGATAAATTAAAATACTTAGTGAAATTGCATCATCTCTATCAGCACGTTAAGAATAAATGAGTCAAATGTTTTAGAAGATTGCTTTTACACATATTATGTTTGCACTTAAACCATTAGATATCCCATTATCTTAATTAGAAAAAGAAAATAAAATAAAAAAAACTATTGAATTTCTCTTAAGAGTAGATAACATGACTTATGCTTTAGTTGTATTAAAAGATTTCTTTAAAGATATATAATAAATGAAATTATATTTCACTTGTTTAGATCCCTTCATAAAAAATAAATAAATTGCTGTCATTCCTGAATCATTCTTTGTAGATTATGTTAATTTTTATTAAAATGACAAAGAAATGATATAATAATTAATATTACAATTAGATTTACATCAATAAGAACCAACTCTACTTATTAAGGTGTGTATGGATTATCATTTATATAAAGCTATGATATATTTATGTACAAAATAGGGAGATTTCATTACTGGATTAATGAAATTAATGGATCTTTGGGAAAATAAATATTAATCAGAATAGAAAGAACAATGTCATATTGAAAAAGAGAAGTTAAGAAAATTCAGAATTAAATTAGGATATAATATTTTGGCATATGTTCGTATGTGTGTAAAAGGTATCAATATATTGGGAGAACGTGTACCACATAATATTTATTTTGATATGTTAAGAGGATTAGTTTCATTCATTTTTAATACAGAAAATCTTAAACTATTCATACTTATTGATATTCGTCTATCACTTTAATTACTTTTGTAATTCATGCAACATCACATTTATACTAATATCAAATTAGTTACACTACCTGAAATTAAATTTCAAATTATTAATCATGTTCCTGAAATATTGAAATTGATGCTTAGTTCCATTGAAAATACTAGGGAAGACATCAAAATTCAAGAACATTATCAACTTATTTATAATGAAAAGACATAACAATATCATTAAATAAACCTTACTGAATAACTTAATTATTTTTTGTTATTCTACTCTGAATTACTAATTCAATTCCCATTGTAATTTACTAAATAGTTTAAAGAGAAATTGTTTCTAGATCTTCTGTCTCCATCCTATTTTGAAACCTTGAAACAATATAATTACAATAATTAAGAAACTGATCCTATCTACTTAGAATCCTATGAAGTCAATAAAAATGCCTATCTAATTCACATGTATGACACTAGTCAAATAAATGATATTTCCCTTGTTTTTAATGGAAGTATTCCTTATCCTGAATTCCATGCTTTTCTTATATATAAACAAAATGATTATATTACTTGCATTTCTAATTACTTTTAAATGCAAAATAGTATGATGAAGAGAAATGTTTTTGAAGTAATTGAAAGACTTTTGATGTATTCTAATTCATAATTATTAATGTAATTATAAGAATTTATAATTGAGAATTGTAATACATTAATGAACATTAGTTAATAGTATACAAATAGAATTTTCAAAGAATATTTTCATGATCTCAAATTATAAATGTAAATCATTCAAAAATTAGAAAAAACACCTGAAAATTAATTGCATTACCTTAAATAATACATAAAAAATGAAAAGGCATCTGATTCTATCAGATTACTCTATCTTGAACTCTTATGTTAAAGATCCCCTAAAGAAGTTTTGAAGAATGTTTAAAATGGAGACTTTCCTTTAGATGATGCTATGGCTATCTGTGAGAAATATAAAGTATATAATGCTGCTGCTTATTTACTTCAAAAGAATGGAGCAATCTAGAAAGCTCTAGATATGTTAACATTACTCTTTATCAATAGATTAAAAGATTGTCATAAATCATTTGCTAGATCAAAAACAATTTCAGAAATTGATTAAGAAGAGATTTTTGAGAAATTGAATTACATAATTGATCTCTGCTCAAAAATTGAAGATGATGGATATTGGTTTTAATTTTTAGACTCATTTTTTAAATAACATAAACTAGAATAATTAACTGATCTTAAAGTTCCTGAATCCTTAAGAAAATTACATGGAGACATTGTATCTGAAGTATTCTTAGCCATGTCTAAATGTATTGAATTAGATAGGCTCTTGAATGTAAAATTTTTATAATATTCTATCTCTAGAAAATGAATTAACATTATGGTTCTATTCCATTAAGAGTTTTTCTTAAGACCAACAAATCCATATAAGAAAAATTTGCTTTTGAATTACCTTCCTACAATATTGCTATGCAACAAACTGATATTACTTACAAAACCTTAAACTAAAAACTCTTCCAATAAATGAATTAAGGAGTTTGTGTTGATAGATTTTGTGGAGAATGCAATGATCGAATCACTAAATGTACAAAAGCTGTTGCATTTTAATGTGGACACAGTTACCATTAAGAATGTTATATTGAACTTCATGGCAATAATTAGAAGAGTTTTAATAGTTTGAAATTGAAAAATTAAAAAGTGTTTTAGGAATGCTTTATATGTTTAGACAATAATGAAAAATACAGTACTTAAATTATATATAATATCATTCTAGTTTCCCATTTGATTGTTTAAGCTAGTTTGAAAAGGTTAAAATTTGATTTTGATAAATATTTACACAAACAAGCTAATGTGGTACCTGAATCAAAATAAGTTATTGTACAATATGATAAAATAGAGTAAAGAGAAAAAGCTATAAAGAAATTGAAATAAGATGACTTTAATAAATTGTATATAAGAGAGGTACTTTTATTAAATTCATATATATATAGTCTTCATTAAATTGGAAGAATTGGTGAAAATAAGGATAAAAATAGTGTAATAACTTTGAATTTATCTTAAATTAATTTATTTAATGGGTTGTTGCAAAAATTCACTAAGATGTTCAGATGACTTACATTTAGAACATAAAGGCTTCTAAATCTCTCCCAAATCCTTAAGTATGGCTCCTGTGTCTAGCAATCTAATAAAGGGAGATACTGATGAAATCATTGAACAGATCTATTGTTTTGATAACACTCGTGAACAAAAAACCTTACTGGAGAATCTCAGATCCAATAAATTCACTAAATCTAACATTCTCAATTTAAAAGAAGATGTTATTATCGATTTACGATAAGCTCAGAGTCCTTCTAAAAAATAAATGTCAAATAAGAACTTAAACAATAAATTCATTAAAATGCTGTGAAGCAAATTCTCATATATTTTGTAGTTATATTAGTATATATATCATAGCTATAAACTCTCTTATTATTGATTTTATTAATTTAAAATCAATTTCTCAAAGCTGTCATTAAATAATGGGCTGTTGTTAGGATAGACCTACTATTATTCTCAAAGGAAACGAGCTAAAACATCCAATTAAAGAGCCATCTATTGTCCTTACTAAAAGAGCTCAAATTTTGGAACCCATCAAAATCTCAATAATGGGAGATATTGATTAAATGGATTTCATAGATGAATTTCCTATACAAATGCCTTCCATTACTTAAATTGATTCTAAATTACCCAATAAATTAATGATTTCTGGTGATTTGAAGGAAACAAAGGATTTTGTAATTGATGTATTTCACTATTTTTAGAAATCTACATTAATATCAGATACAATTATAATCGATATGAGATCTGGCACATTGCTTCAGAGTCCATTAAAATAAATGTCAGAGAGAAATTCTAGCAAAAACTTAAACAAAAAATTCTTAGAAATGCTTTGATAATAATATCTTATCATATGAATATAAATTATAAGTTACTTAAAAAAACTTTCTAGAATATCTATTTTTATGATAAATTACTTCACTGATTACTTATTAAACAATGTAATTTGTTTCAAATAAGCTTTTAAAATCATTTTATAATTTTTACAATCATTTTATTATCTCCTTTTGATAAATATTAGTTTTGAACTGATAAAATGCCTTTTATTTAATTTATAATTAAAATTGCCAAAAACACTTTATGTATAAATTTAATTTTAAACCAAATATTTTTTAAAGAAAATACATCTTAAATTTAAAATTCACTTTACTTAAAATTGAAAACAATATCAATCTATTTTAATAAAATATAACTATGAAAAGATACACGTATTTAAAATAATAATTAAAAAACAATTATAAATCTAATTCACTAATATATTATAATCTATCACCTAAATCATAACATTTAATTTCAATTAAGAAACTAATAATATATTATCGCCACTCAAATTTAATAAAATTGGTAATATTAAATAATTATTTTTTTAATAATATGTTTTATAATTAAATTATTTTTCTTTCAATTTTCACTGATATTACTACTATTATTATTATTAAGATATCTTTTTGGAAAATAAAATGGTGCCTATTATTTTAACAGGGATTCAATTTCATATTATTATTGTAATATCTTTTAATAATCTGTCTATCCTTCATTTTTTATAATGAGTTATTTTCTTTAATCTAAAATTTTAGAAATCTTTTAATAATATAAATTTAAATTACTTCATCTTCATCTTAAATTCCACACTTCTTTCCAATTAATTCTAATGAACTAGTTAATCGAGCCTATAAAACCATAAGTTTCTTAAGTTATAACTCTTGTATCTAAATATTGGTAACTTCCTTTTTCTCTTAAGTTTGCTCTATTGATATAAGATATATACTATACCATCTTTTTTAATTTCCTTTTAATTAATATTAAGAGATGAGTAAGCATTCTCATATGTTTTAGCTTATTCATTTAATTTTGTATTTAAATCCAAAACTTCACTTAATTTTTATCTACACTCTGATAATTTGATTTCATATTCACTTTTTCTTTCTTTTTATGCCATAAAATCTATAAATTCCTTCTTCATATTATAATCATAATTTTTAATATCAAATACTCCTTTAATCTTTTAATATTATTGTTCTAAATTCATAAATTTTTATTTTTATAATTTGATTTCTTTTTCTTAAGATTCTTTATTTTTTTTATTCTTTGTATCATCTTCTTTTTTATTTAATCTTTTTCTCAATTTTTAAACTGAAGCACTAGCTTTTTCAGCAATTTACAAATCACTTATTTAAAATATTCTATCTAAATGTTATTTTTCTTTTAAACTATTTCTAATTTAAAGTAATAATGTCATTTAATGTTATCTCTTTTAACGATAAACTATTAAAAATTCATCAAATTATCGTTTTGCTAATTAAATATTATCTTAATTTTTTTTAATTTCTAATTCTTCAAATTTAATTAATTTAGCAAAATTTCTTGTTAAATAATTTAAATATCTAATATACTCTTCATTTTATTATTTATTATCTCTACATATTTTCAATATCTTTTTAACTCTTATTTTTGTCTTACATGATTTCTTTAATTCTTTTTCTGCTTTCTCTATTTATTATTTAAGATCTTTTAATTATTATTTCATCCCTTCTAAATTATTAATTTCTTTTTTTAAATAACCTTTATTAAAATCCATTATCTTTAACATTTTATATGTTTGAGCCAATTATAAATTCTCATAAATTATTTAATCCAATTTTTATCTCATCATTCTTGCTTGATTTTAAAGTAAGTTTTATTGAGATGCTGAATGTTATTAAATGTTTCCCTTAACAATAGGAAATATTTCAGTAATTTTATAAGAATCATGAGAAACAGAATTTGAAGCAAATTATCTCATCTTATTCTTTTATTTCTTTAGTTAATCAAGTAAATGCAATGTTTATTATCCATCATTAGGTACAACAGATTAAACTAATTTAATTTTCTTTGATTCTTCATTAAGATAATTTGAATCTGTAAAATCTTAAGTAATAAACATCAAATGACTTTTTTAATTATCTTATGATACATCTTCCTATGTCATCACAGCACTCCTATTAGACAATTAAGGTAATATAACAGCAGATGATCTAAGGTATCTTGAACTTGAAATAGTATTAAATTCAATTTATTCTCTTTTTTATTTTTTCAAAACTTCCTCTTATCCCTTTTATTATAACACAGGAATTTAGGGAATAAGTTACAATCTAGTTTCTTATTCCTAATTTTATTCATACATCTCTTTCCTTTTTCTTTTGGCTTCAAATGCAATTTTAAGTGCTGATTCTGTAAATGCATTCTCATCTTCAACACTCATATAATCTGTTGCAGAAGAGAAACATTATTTAATAACAGTAGAGTAATCACAATTCTTATCAATACTCATACAAGCCCAAGGAAATTATATCCAAATCCATCTCTTATAATAATAATCTGTAGATTCTCTTTCATTTGATTACAATTAATCTTAAGATAAATTCTCTTCCTTTTATTATATAACTTTTTTTAATTTATGATTAAGTTCTTCAGCCAATTAATCCACATTTTCAGATGGTTCTTCTTCATTTTCTGTTTACTCAATAGGTTTAGATAATAATGAAAGATAATGTGTTCTGATTAATTATCTATTTTATTGTATTTCTACATTGAGTGATTCCATTTTAGATAATACAGGAGCTGTTTTTGGTTTAGCAACACGTTTTAAATGTTTAGCTGGATCAAACTCTTTTAATTCAGGTGCTTTATCATAATAAAGATCTAATTTGAGTATTTCATATAACAATCCAATATCATACAAATCACTCAATACACCAATTATTGGAGGATGTCTAAAAATTGGTGTGTTTCTTGTTTCAAAATCACCAAATTCTTTAAGAAATCTTGAAATTTATAATATTATTCTAAACATATCTTCAGATGAAGGATGATAATGAATTTAGAAACCTTCTACTGCTTTATTGTATTCCAAAACAGGATCAAAACCATTCTCTTCAAGAGATTACCAATATCTACATAAATCATATTTATTTGAAGGATTAAAAAGAAGTAAAAAATTTTCAATGATACTTATTACTTCTTTTAATGAGAAATAGTTTTTAGCACTATATAATTAGAATGTTTATTCTTCTAATTTTCTTATAGAATTTGGAGTAATCTTATCAATAGTTGTAGCTATATTATCATGCAATTCTAACATTTCTTTAACATCAATATAATATGTATTTATGATTACTTTTTTAAAAATTTCATTATGAATTATCCATAATTCTTTATGTTTCATTATATATACTTTAAAGAAAACTAAAAATAATTTCCATTCCTTATTTGTAATATTACAAACACTTTCAATTTCTGGATAATTCAATCCTTTTTATGTTAAAGCTAAGACTAATAGAACTTTTCTAAATTTAGTAATTTCCATTATATTAGCTTTTGAAAAGTAATCTAATTGAAATGCAAATAAATCTTCAACTACTTTCATAGATTTGAAATGATTCAAATTAAGTGGTTGCAATATTTATTCAACAATACTTTAATCAATTTCATATTCTTCTACAACTCCTTCTGAAGGATATGGAATAAAAACAGAAAAGTAAGATCTAACAAAAACTGGTTGATTTCTCACTTTATAACTTAATTGAATAAATATATCCAATATATTTTAAGGATTCTTATAAATTAATATATAACTACTTAAATAAGTAGATGTTTCCCTAAATGATGATTGACTGTTTATTTCATGACTGTTTTATCAGATACTATAGGTATAACTTAACAATCAGGTTTAAGCAATTTCATTGAAGCTGATTATCTTTCAGCAGTTACAATGACTTTGATATTAGTTGGGAAATATTTTGGTAACCAAAAATTTACATTGGCTTCTCTATGCATATCCAATATCTCTCTAAAATTGTCTATTCCTTCAAATACTAATATAACCTACACTATGAATAAAATATATATACTTTATCATATATGATTTTAGCTCCATTTATTATTTACTATTCCAATTATCTACTACAAATTTCTAACCAATATTAAAAATATCTTCTTAACTTCTCTTCTAGTAATTCCACTTTTTATTTTATATTGAGTGCTTCTCTTAATTTAATTAGAATTCTATAGATGGCATAATAATAATTGCTATTTTTGCCTGATTAAGTGGCAAAATGTGGAATTATGAAATCAGGATATCGCTATTATTCAATATAATCTTACTCCTTTTTTATTCCTTGCATGATATTCCATCCATTTTACTAAAAGAGTTTTCTTTCCTATACCATCATCTGCTTCCAATACTAAGGGTGTATTAGTGTGAAGAGTTTTATCTTCTTCCAACCAAGATTCGATTTCCAAAAAATATCGATCCAATCCACTTGCTTATCTATAGCCATAATAACATTAGGTACTGATTTTTGTAGTATTCCACTATCACATCGTTTGAGCTATAGACTATCTAATTAAGATTACTCAACATAGTTCATATTCTCGTTTCTCATGGTTTCCAATTTGGATTTACGATCTCTATCTGGAGGAGTTGAAGCTTAATGCGAGTAAGCATCATCCATTATAAAAATTAACAAATAATAATTTATAGATTTAATCAACTTTTCATTCAAACTCATTTCTAATTAAATATTCTAAATCAGAATATATATATATTATTTTCATCATTTATTTACTCAAATTACAATAAACACAAAATATATTTCCATTTATCTTTAATATTAATTAGATCCTTTCAAAGAATATTAATTAAAATCTTAAATCATATATATATATATTATAATCATCTAGAATATAATACTCTCATCATTCTTTCATTATCCTACCGAATTACTTATATCTAAAATTACTTTTTTATCATACCTTCTCTAATAAACTATCTAAATCCCCCTAAGTCATTTCAGAATCCTTAATCATTTATTGTAGACGTCTATTCTCATCTTACAACAAATCTAATTTTTCTAAGCAATTTTCTAAAAGATTAGTTTTCACTTCTGCCTTAGAATATTTTTTTTAAGCAATTTCTTCATCTTTTTTTAATTTAACTAACTTTTGCTTTAATTATTCATTCTCCTTCTTCTACTTCAATACTAAACTCATAATGTTTTCACCATTTCTTAATTATAAATTAATTCTATCATTCTCTAAAATTAATGTTTATACCTTATTCTCAAATTCCTAAATTAAATTATTTAACTATGTAGACTCTTCACTTTTTAACTTTTCCTTTAAATCTTCTTACTTTATTCTATAATTCTAAATTTCATTCTTCACTGCAACTAACTAATTATAAGCCATTTTTCTATCATTTTAATATTTTAAAATGAGTTCTCTCAAAACTTATGCATCTTATACATTTATTAATTCACAATTATCTATTTATAGTTTCTTATTCATTTATGATAACATAGTTATCTTATCTTCAAGTTCTTTAATAAAATGAGTGGATTGGCCTCTAAAAGCTTAAGATTCTAATTTTTAGATTTCTTAAGTTATGGTTGTATTTTACAATTATAATGCTTTTAATTCTTCTTGGAGATTGAAAGTATTGGTGAAGTTTATTAGTTTTTAAGAATTCTAATTATTTTAATAAGGTTAAGAAATAGATTATTAAATAAATGTTTGAGAGTAAAATTAGTTTGTTTGGTTTTACTCTCTATTAGGAGATTAAAATTACAATTATTACTATTGATAACATATTTAATTTTATGGAGATTAGAAGATCTAAACATTTTCACGACGTTATTATGGACTCATAGGAACAAAAGGTATTATTTAAGAAATCATAGTATTTGTTTCATCTTATTATTACTATTACTTTACTCCACCTACTTTAAATTAAATTTTATATTCAGAAGCATTTGGAGTTTATGTTAATTATTTTATAGTCTAAATAGGTTTATGGTTAATTTCTTAGTCTGTGGATATATTTTGAATAAAACCTTTGTTTTCAACATTATGAAATGGTGAGCGTACTTAGTATTATTATTATTATTATTATTATTAATTAGGACTTGCTAATTGTTATTATTAATATTTGATATCAATATGTCTTGTTTTTGATACTTAAAATTATTGCATAAGACTAACAGCCAAATTTTTATTAATAAATTTCAATATTTTTACTTATAAATATATTTCATAGATAGATATGATTGAATATATATATATATAATTAGTTTAATGTGATTAATATGATTAAAATCATATTTATCTATTTGTATGACTTAATTTAAATTCTTATGGTATAGTTACTCCAGGTTTCCATTTTGAAGATTTCTTTGGTTCTTCTTTCTTTTTATTTGCTTATTAGACTCTTTCAAAGTAGGTTATGAGTCCTTTTTTATTGAATTCTGATACTTTTACACTTTTTTGTGGTATTTTTTTATTTACTTAAGGTTTAAAGGTGCATAACGTTTGACTTTCATTTTGGACATCTTTTGAATATTAAATAAGTTTTTCTTATTTTTTAGTTTCCCAATATCTATTTCTTTATTCAAAAGGCATAGTAAAATCACAATATTTAGTTTAACTCTTTGAAAGATCAGGTTAAAATGTTGTTTCATTTTCTTTTGATCTTTCCATTTCTATTTGTAATTTCAATGCTTCTTTCTTTGATTTATAAAATTGATCTAATGTATATAACTATTCCCATCTTGGAGCAACACCAGATATTGTTCTTTTTCTTGTTTATGATTAAGATTATTCTTTAATTTCAGGTGTGACTGATCTAGGTTTTGTTAATCTTTCTTTAGCATCACCTAATTTTTCAGCAATTCTTAAAGATTTTCTGGATAACATAGGTCTAAATGAACATTACTCAGTTAATTAATGTTTGATTTGTTTTGGCTTATCAATTTAGATAATGAGATTGAGAGTATCCTTGTTCTATTTTAATGGTTGTTGAAGAATTTAAGAAGTCTTATCTTTACCATTAAGAGAATTCAACTTTGCTAATTCTTTTTCAACCAATAATTCTAATTCATCAAGCATTACGTTAAATTTTAATAAATATCATTATTTAATCTTTTTATGTACTTCTGAATTCTCTTCATGTTCAATTAAATATTTGATACTCTAAAACTTTCTCTTACAAAGCATACAAAACTTAACTTTCAATAATTCCTTCTTAATTTATTCACTCAATTTAATTAATTCATTCACTTTCTCAACATCTTTAGTAGGTTTTTGATCTGAGTTTTATGCTTAATAAACTTGATTAGTAAAATGTCTAGTAACTTTGACTTTACCACTACTTTGTGTTGTCTCTTCTGGATGAAAATTCCTATTCTTTACAGAAAAGCTTCTTTCAATATTATTACTCATATAAATATATATTAATATTGTATAAAACTAATTATTTTTTATATTATGTATAAAAGATATAAATATATATAAATCATGCAGTCTTATAAATAGATATTTAATCAGCCATACTAATTTTTTAATCTGGCTATACTTATTTGGCTCTAATCACACTCATCATTGAACCACTTGAATCTAATGACAAATCTGTTACAATAGTTTCAGGTACATGTTATATATACATAGGTTCTGTTGGAGCATTAATATTATAACATGAAATAGAACCATTAGCATCACCAGTAAGAAATATATTCTAATATTTTGGATGCCAAAATATAGTGTCTACTTGATTCTGATGTAATTTAAATATTTCTGTATCTAATTTTCTAAGATCAAATAATAAAGTTTGTTTATCCTTACCTGTTGTAGCAAAATATGTTCCATTTCTATTCCATCTAACCTTTTTAACACCTAAATTATGTCTTTTTAAATTAAGAATCTCTTCTCTACTAGAAGCATCCCATAAACGTATTGTCTCATCATCAGCTCCACTAATTATCAAACTATTCTCTGGATTCCATTACACTGTATATACTTCCTTACCATGTCCAATAAGAGTTTCTTTCTATTCTGATTAAACATCATATAAATAGATCAATTTATCCTAACTTGAAAAAGCTATTTTATAATGATTAGGTGAGAAAGCTCCCTCTGTAATTTAAGAGATTTTAGTCTCCAATACTGGTCTTTACTCTAATCCTCCTTATCCTTTTTCAATTGTGTAAATCCCACCATTACTTCCAATTCCAAATACTTTATTTAAATATTCTTAATTTAATATTCCTACCATTGCTTCATCATTTGCAAATTTCTTATAAAACAACTTCCAATCATTTAAATCAAATATAGACAAGTGTCCTTATCTCTTTTAATTATTAATCTTATTATAACCCAAAGCAAAACTATTGTTTTTAGCTAACCACTAATATAAATAAATTGAATTTAATACTTTGAGATGAGTAAATTTGAGTATTTTAATGACATCCTTCTAATCTTAATCATTTATACATCCCACAAATTCTGTAGGTATGCTATACTTGATTTAAGTTTAGACAGGCAATTAATTCAAATGATTAGGATATCCATAAAGTCTCTCTTTAACATTTTATGCTGCCTTCTATTGAATATACCATTTGAGATCTGGCTTACCTAAATTCATTATTTATTAATATTAATTCTAAATTAATATAAATTATTATTTTAGCGTAACAAAAAATATCATCATACATCATAAATCATTAATTACCCTATTGTTATAATGCCTTCACTTCTTACTAATACACCTTCTCCCATTCGAAAATAGTTTCATCTAAATTATCCAAACATATTTAAAATGCCCCTTTACCAAATAAATTCAATTAACAATACAATGGTCTTACTATCACCTTAATGAAACCAATTTCATTTTTGGACATTACATGCAACTTTGATATTAAATATTCTAATTTACCTTATCTAAATCCTTCATAAATGGTTATTAAGGATAACCTTTTTTACCTTCTTCAGCATATTAAGCACTATATTCTTAATTGATTTTATCACTCCATAATCTACTTTATGGCCATTTTCTTGCTGTTCCATTAAAATCAGCAGCATGAGTAATCATACCACATAACAAAGATAAATCTTCAGGATCATTACCATATTATTCTATTCTAGATTCAAATTCTTTCAACATTTTGAAGTGTTCCTACATATCAGTTGATAATATATTGGAAATTAGTTATTTTCTAAAAGTTCTGAAATCTTAATCAGAAAAATTACAGAGAATATTAGTTTAACTATCTCTTAAAATTTTAATGGTTGTTGCTGCATGATGTTATTCCAATATCTAATAAAAGAATTAACAAAATAAAAAATACCACTTTGTCATGGTAACGAATTGCCAATTGACTTAATGAATTAGCTTCATATGCATTTGTTTTACCTGTATGAGCAACATCATGACATAAGGCTGATAACAATAAACAAAACTTAGTAATATTATTAAAAAATTATTAATCTATTTTTTTTGTTAAAGATTTCATAAAACAATTAACAGCTTGCATTACTGCTACTCCATGATCAAAATTATGATAAGGATTATTATTCATATTGTATTGAGTTTCCATTTCATTTAAAAAGTTAATTAGTTTATCTTAAGGTAATGCAAAGATTTAATTAAAATTATTTCTTTCTAGTATAGACCATACTATTCTTTATTTCTCAATTGTAGATTTAATCTAAATTATTTTAATATATTACTAAATGTATATTAAAATCTAAAGTATCTAATTGATTATCCTCTTCTTTGATAATCAAATGAGATTCATTAAATTTATTTGGATTTGTTTTCATAAATCTCCTCTCTTCTTCACGTTGTTTAAAAAAGAAACTATTCTTTCCAACAACTTATTCTTTATCAATTTTTCTGAAAACCAAAGTTGGTGTTTTCTAAGTTTATTAAGCTGTTGGATTGAAATCTTATGTTTAAGGCATGTACATTGCAACTACAGAATTTCTAATATCAGGATTAAATTCTTCTAATTTCTTGATATAATCCATGGTTTCTGTTTATAATAATTATTTTCTAATTGTCTTTCCATTTATAGGAGGCTAAGTCTTTTTTCTAACCCATTCATTCTCTAATAAAATTAAAGTGAATCCCTTAAATTATTTCTCTTCCTTTCTAATAAATATTTCATATTATTTATTTTAATCTTCATCCTATTAAGTTAATTTCCATTTTGTATTACTAATGTAATTTTCAATATTTAAAAGCATTTATTGATTAGATGTGAATATCTATTTATAAGTTGAATCAATTTAGATTTTATCAATTTGAAATTATGTTTTAATCTTTTATGATAATGCTCTACTTAAAAAACGTAAGCGACCCTATTTATCAAAATCAATCATAAATAAATTCTTAGATCTCAAGAAGTACTTATAGAATTGCATTCTTTCATAACACTATTTAATGAACTATTGGTATCGTTAATAAATTTGATTTATAGTATTATAAATTAATAAATCTTACTATTTTTTGAGATCTAAATTAGTAGCAAATAGATATTAAGATGAGGAATCCTTAAATTTAAGTGTAACCACATTAGATTGATTCTCAAATATCTCATGGATTTAATATTGTTTATTAATAGTTTAGAGTATATTCTCAATGAGTAAATACTTGGAACATCTTACAATCTCTAGACCAAACTCTAATATAGTATCTCCTATAGATAATATACTAAAGTATTAGACTTTGATTTATTAGGAAGTGTATATTACAAATTGAGCTAACTCTATTAAGGAGTCTACATAATTATATTTATTGGATAAAATAACAAATGACATGAAATTTGGATCTAATTACATAATAAAATATTCGAAATCTGTGATTTTGAGTATAAAATTATTTGAAGTTTGATAATATTATTTGATAGTGTTCAAAGAATGAACTTCAGTTATTTATTATAAGTTGACTAGTTCATCTATGACATCTTTATTGATAGGAAATTCTTCAAATTTATCTTCTTAATGAATCTGAACTTTTTGATCTTTGAGTATGATGAAACTATAAGATTCACATCCAATAAGTTGATTAAGGAATGTGTTTAGAAATGCTTTGATATCTTTAGGTTCAACTTTCTCATCCATCAATTCAAGAAGTGAATTCATGTAACGAGAATACCTTTGCTAAGTGTAACGACAATATTACCTTTATTTATTAATAATTTTATTGGTGTTGTTCAATAAATGAGTAATCAATTTCTTCATCTTAATCTAAGGAATTGAATACAATTCTTAGTTGTTCAATTTTAGACTTAAATTCTTAGGTAATCTAATGAAATAATAAACTAAACAAATTTACATTATGATTTGGATATTGTTGCATACATTTTAATTGTATAATCAATTAATCCATAAGTTAAATGGTTTAAGACTATGTAAAATATGAATATATTTGTATTACTTAAAATTGTTATCCTTGTTTTTTGGATGAACCAAATTCTTGAGTATGTGATTTAGAGCGAGTCATTTGAAGTGAAGATACATAACATAATAATTCTGATTTAATTTAAGTGTCTTCTTATTATTTTGATAAAAGAAGCATTAGTGTTGGTTCTTTTATTGTTAATTTTTATTTGATGAGTCTTTTCTCTTATTATGAGATTAGACCTTCTGATTCCATATCTTTTAAGACTTAAAAGAAGTTTAAATACCCACAAAGACTGGGTGTCTGGGAATCATCTTATTTCATTTATTAATTAATGAAAAGAACAGTTGATATTTACAAAGCAAATGAAAAGAAACCAAAACAGGCGATAGGTAGTAAATCATAGACGTCTTATGGAGCATACTTGAATAGTGATGTTAAAACCATTGCTAAATTGTACTGATTGTTAGCATTTTCATGAGGAAGGAAAACCTTAACAAAATTACAAACAATTACTTTATCAAGAATCTACGTATAGAATAGACACAGAAATCCAGTGCCAAATAGCTTAAGACCAATTTCTCTTAGTTGCGATAACCAAGATCTGCTACAATAGACGCAAAGAACTCTTAAAAAAGTATTATGATTTCTTTTAAAAATAGAAATATCTAGACCCTATGAATCATTATAACCAAAAAGATAAACAGCAGTTGAATCCACTTAGAATCTGATTAAACAATATGCAAATTAAAAGTAGAAAACAAATGTAGAAAAGAGAAATTTATGGCACAATTTTGTAACAGAATCTATATTCATATTTATAGCTTAATAATTCCCTTATTGATTAATAAATTCGTAGAGCTTAAAGTTCAAGTACTCATAATATGCGATCAGAACCTAAAAGTGATCTCAAATATAGATCTGCTTAATCTTTACATTATAATCCTAATTTCTTACAATTCAAATTGTCTTTTAGTATAAGAACAAGATAAGGTCAATTAGCATCAAATCCTAATAAAACTAATTAAGATACTTACATTTGTGAAACTAATATTGTCTCTGATACACATCTATTCTCAGTATGTGATGGTCATGGATAAAATGGACATTTTGTATCATAATATGTTAGAGATCAATTTACAAAAATACTTAAAAGAGATAATTAATTAAAATAACATCCCAGATAAGCTATTGTTAAATCTATATCAGTTTTAGCTAATCTAATTAATTAATAATAATTTGATACTTAATTTAGTGGAACTACTATGAATTCTATTTTAATTTAAGATGGTGGACATTTAATTTGTTCTAATGTTGGAGATAGTAGAGCAATTATAGGAAAATTGGGTAACAATTCTAAATTTAAACCATTTCCTTTATCAATTGATCATAAACCATGTCTTGAAAAAGAAATGAATAGAATACATATGCATGGTGGTAGAGTAGATACTTATTATGATGATTAAGGTATCATTTATTAATCCATTAGGTAATTCGATTGGACCAGCCAGAGTTTGGGTAAGAGATGGAAATTATCCAGGATTAGCTATGAGTCGTAGTCTTGGTGATTAGATTGCATAATCAGTTGGTGTATCTAGTGTTCCAGGTAATTTTATTTAAATTCTATTTTTTTTATAGAGATTTTCGAGTATTAATTGACTCCTTAAGATAAATTCATTATTTTAGGTAGTGATGGAGTTTGGGAATTTATTGATAATTAAAGTGTTGTTGATATTGTAGGCAAGCATTATATTTAAGGTGATTTAGAGGGTGCTTGTAATGAATTAATGTAGATTTCCTATAAAATGTGGACTTTAGTATATTTTTAATATAATTAATATAGGAAGATGATTCAGTAGTAGATGATATTACCTTTATAGTTATATTCATAAGCTGATTATATATTATCATTAATTGTTTTTCAAATTTAATTTTATTATTATGAATTCTAAAATTATAAGATATTTTATATCTAATTGCTTTGCTAAAAATCATCATCTCTCATTGTCTCAATAGGATCCTGAGATCTATCATTTGATTTAAGAAGCATCTAAACATTAATGTATTGATTTTACAGAAAGTCCAACATCTTTGGCTGTATAATAATCACTAGGATCTATGATGTCAACTAAATATGCATCTGGTTATCCAGGAAAGAAAAACAAACCTGGAACTGAAATTTATGATAAAATAGAATAAACATGTTGGGAGAGAGCTTAAAAAGCATTTAATTTAAATAATTTTAATGTGAATGTTCAATTATAAAGCGTTCCCACAGCTAAATTTATTGTGAGCAAGGCTTTAGTTAAACCTGGAGGTACAATATTGAATCGTGGTAATACAGATACAATAGCACTTGAGAAATATTATAATGTAATTAAGAATGAAAATTATGATGGTTAAATTGATTTGATCATTGACTCTAAATTAGATAAATTGGATACTCTTTGGTAAGAATATAAAAATATACCAATTCTTTTGGATATAACAGATAAGGCTCCATATTATGTTACAAATATCCTTGAAGATGAATCTAAATTATTATAAAAGTATTAATTTGTTATAGTTAACACACAAAGGTATTTTGATTAATTAATTATAGTTTACTAGGTCCAAAAGGTTGTATATTATTTTCAGATAAGGTTTATTCTGAAGAAGTTGATGAAGCATGTTATCCTGGTTATTAATCTGGACCTCATTTTCATACTATTACAGGAATAACTGTATCATTAGGAGAAATTTAAAATATTGAATACTAATAATTTTTTAAATAAGTAAAGGGTAATTGTGCTGCATTAAAAAGGCAATTGAAATTAAAAGGTATCTTAAAAGAATTTAATTAGAATTTCCATTAATAGAAACATAAGGAACATGTATTAGTATAGAAGGGAAATAGGAAGATTCAAAAAAATTAGAAATTTCTAACATTTATGCACATTTTAGAGAATCTAGATTAGATTTTAAGTTAGATTTTTAATTAAAATATTAGTTTGATTCCTTTGACTTATAAAGGTGTTAAATAGGATGCGATACCTAAATTAGCAGAGTGTTTAGGACTTGCTTTATATCATTCAAGACATGGTAGATATTTATAAGATGAAAATAACTCTTTATGGAAAAGAGAATTAGAGGGATCAATGAATGAATTTTATTCTATGATCTGAATTAATGAATGTACATATTGATTTTAGCTGGTAATTATTCCAGTTAGTAAATTTAATATTATTCATTAAAGAATTATTGGATTAAGTAATTCTACTTTGGAAGAACCCCAGAGTTTGACACATGGATAGAGTTCTTTCTAAGTGTCAAATTTAAGAGTCTAATAATTATAATATTTATTAATACAAAAGTTTCATTGGGTTATTTTTTAATCCAAGTTATTTACTATAATTGATAATCAATTTCTATTGTAATGATATTTTTATTGTAAAATTTAAATGATTTTGATTTATCATTATTTTCAATATCTACCGTTGAGAATACATCTCCTTAATTATTGATTAGATAAGTGCTTTAGAATATTCATTTTTACAATATACCCATGATCAAGATTTGCTAAATTAGGATCATATTTAGATTCAATTAAAATATCTCTATCACAAACTCCAATATGAATTCTCCAATCACATTTAACTATTCTAAATGCTATGAGAGTTATTCCACTTTTAGAAATTGCCTAATCACATACACAAAATCCGAAACCCTCAGCTGAATTTTCTGGTTATATAACATTAATTGCTCTATTTTTGTATAAATTTGAAAATTAATATTTTCCTTAATTAAGGATAATCTATTATTGTTATTATTACTTCTTTTCATCTTTTGATTTACTAGGTTTAATACAAACAATCTGATGTTTTATTTCTTCTTATTTTGTCATTACTTAATGTTAAATAACTAAATTTTATATTATATTACTTTATAGACCTTTTGAACATTCTTTAACTGCTCTCCTTTATTTTTTAGACTTTTATGGTATTTTTTTATGAGGTTCTTCTCTAATCAATTATTATTCATCTTAAATATATTATTAAATATTATATACTATTTTTATGTATTAATTCTTAAAAGTCTTATTTGATTTTTTATAATGGTATCATTGCTAATTCTAAATTGTTTTTCATAGTTTTCTCCACTTCTTTCACTCTTATTATTTTATTTATGAGATTGTTAATAGCTATAATGGACATATCTTTAAGATTGATCTTTGGGTTGAAACTTAATTAATTTATAATGATGGTAATCAGTTTAGCTATAGATTGTAATTCCTCTGCTAGATTTTACATTTTATTATAAGTATTCAACCCTTCTTACACATAATTATAAAAGTCTGTAAAATCTTAAAGATCATGAAGATGTTCTGAATGCAGATAGCATTTTAGACATTACTAACAATATGGTCTGATTTTTTAGCATTCTGAATTAACACATACACCAATTATTTATTTAGAGTAATGATTTTCTTGTAAACATTAAAGCACTGGGTCTTGCATTATAACGAAATATGCTATGAATTAATTTCAAATAATACTTCAATTTAAACTAGTAGAATTTGATTAATATGTTTTTATTATTCCAATTAATCCAATATAAAATAATGATATACTTCTATCATAATAAATACTATACTATCTACTCAATTCATAATATTACTAAAAACTTTTAAATATATAATAATAAAAAATTAACACATCCATTTTTATTTTATTTTATTGTTAAATATTTCTATCCCTTTATTTAATAATTATGAAACCATTTACAAAAGTTCATGATATATCATAGTAAAATATAAATCTATAGTTTTCACAATATTCAGATAACTAGAATAAATGTATTAAAACTTAAAATGATAATAATAATAATAATGGAAACATAAAAAAAGATGAATCTTAGAAGAAAAATGAATCAAGACTTAAACAATAATAAAATTTATCATAGTAAATTTAAAAGTATACATAAATTGCAAAACCATTAATACCAATATAATAAAAATCTGAACCATATAAATCACCTTTTAATCAAAAAGTGAAAAACACAAATACTTATTCAAATCTAAATGAATCTCAAAAAAATCAAATAAAATCTGAATAATTTAAAATTCTAAAAACAATATAAGAAACCTTAAACTAAGGGACTATAACATATAATAGAATTATTACATTTGAGGATGGATATACTTATGAAGGTGATTATTAGGAATCATAAAATGATTTTATTCTTGAAGGATAAGGAGTATTAAAATATCATGATGAAGTAATTTATAAAGGGTAATTCAGAAATAATAAATTTCATGGAAATGGTATAATAAAATAGGATAATAAATTATATAATTTATTGGATTGGAGAAGAAAAGATTAAAGTGAAATAAAGGGAATATTTGAAAATGGAATATTAATTGGAGAATAGACTATGGATAATTGAATTTAAATTACAATAAAATTTTATTTTGTAAATTAAAATAAATTTTCATACCTTTAAATCATTTCTTTTATTTGATAGATTTAAATAACCTTTTTTAATCTTCTGATAACTAACACATATGAGATACCTATCCAAAATAAAAGTCTGCTTTCACTTATTCATCAATCTCCTTTAAACATGTGATTAATCTATAATAATTCTTGACTTCATATTCCTTAATTAATTTTAAATATATTACTTTATTTCTCATTTATCCAATCAAAGGTTCAAGAACTGAAATGGCTTATTTAAAATCTTATAACTTTATTAAACATTAAGCCTTATTACTTGATAAAACTAATAAAGAATTTCTTTTAGCTTCAATAGCTACAGGATTGTCTTCAAATTTTTTAGGCCATTTTTCTAAAAAGTTTAATCCTCTTTAATATCTCAATAATGCACTTTGATATTATTATTTCTAATAAAATTAATTTCCTTCAATTTTAAATAGTTCCAATTATTTTAAACGACTTTAAATATATTAATATATATTACTTCTCTAAACTTGTTATATCAATAGGAAGTTCAGGTTAAGTAACTTCTAATATATCAATTTTGAAATATTTTTATAAATTTTGTACTGAGATTCCACTTGCAATTTCTTATTCTGTGTACATTTATTCATTAGATAATTTAAACCAAGCAACATCACCTTCTTTCATTGTAAGAAAAGCAGATCTTAATCCTTGAATATATGGAATACTAGAGGCCATTGATATTTTAGTGGCTTAAATATTATTAGTACCCTTATTGGCAAGATTTCCTTCTAAATCTCTTTCTTCACATTTAAGTTTAATTTTTGATTTAACATTTATTTGTTTATTATTTTCAGTTGTTTAACTCTCTGAAACAATATATTTGATTAGATTTGAATTTATTTCTATTTATTTATATTAAGATAGTATAGAATCCATATTTAATTTTTCAGGTAATTTTCTCTCCTTAATAATTGGAGGATTAACTTAAGATGTTTAATGCTCCAATTCTAAATCTTCAATTGAAAACCAACTTGATTAGTTCATTAATAATTATTCAGCAACATTTTAGTCGAATTTATATATTATTTAAAAAATGAACTAAATTCAAAGTCTAAACAATTATTATATATATATATATATAATCAATCTTACAAAAATTATTCAAAAGATATCTTTTATAAACGATTAGTATTTCTCTTTTATTATGTCACTTAATCAAATTTCTTCTTCTCTATTTTTGTATCTTCCTATAATTCTGAAAGTTCTGTAATAATATGATTTAATTGATTATTTTTAGTCTATTGTCTTAATGATAATTATCCAAATGATTAACTTGATTAATGATACTTAATTCCTTTTTATTTATAAATCTCTTAATCTTTATACTTTACTAATTCTCTTTAAATATCATAACTCTTTTGTATTTTCCAATCTCTAATTATTTTTTATCTTAATCTTTTTTCCCCTTCAATAGTTCCCAATTACAATTTGGTTACTAATTCACTTTTATTAGTGTAAGTAGTTTATTTATGTTTATCAATTAAGTTCTTAAATCTTTCCTTATTCTAATTCTAATCCCATTCCCAATGAGCAAATCTTTTCAGAATCCCTTTATCTGTTTACATACTTATATTATAAACATTATTTATACTTAGTTTACTTTAAATATTATCTACATTATTTCTTTGACCAAAGTTCTGTAGTAAGCATTGAACCTTATTTCTAATTTTAATAAATTCCATTCAAAATTGGCCTTAATTATTCATCTTATTCTAATTCCAATTTTTTAAATGTAAACTTTGCAAATGTTAATGGTCTATTTGTAATTGTAGATGACAATTATTCAAACATTTTTTAATGATTCTTTAAAAACTTTTGTTGAATATATAATTATTCATTTGTTGCTTCATCTAAAAGAATATTATTCTATCCCAAAATATCCTTTATTCTTAACTTTAAAAAGTTTCAATGAATCAATACCTTATTACTATTTTTCATAGAGTATTAAATTATATTATTTACAATTATAATAAAACTGAATAATAATTAATTTAAGATATATTTTTATTATATAATGACAAATCAATCAATCAAAAAATTTAAATTTGTATTTATATGCTTAATCTTATTAAATTGCAATAAAATTAATTATACATTATCCATCTTCACTCTCAAATTCAATTTCATCTTTTTACGAATATTCCCCTATCGATCTATTAATTATTAAGTTTTCACTTTACAATATTCTCATTTTACCATGAAATATTACATATAATGAATATTTCTTTGCATATATATATCTTCCTTTAATAACCTTACCTTTCAACTTTATCTTATTTATAAGCTTTTTTTTATCCTTATATAATAATTCAATCTAATAATCATTGAAAGGTTTTCTATATCTCCATATTGATGATTGCAATTTAAAAACTGGTTCTGAATCACATTCATAAATATGTACAAAATGTTAACTAGGTGAAATATCAATAAATAATATCTATTCACCAAATTCTATTTGTCCAAATAAACATTCACCAACAATAGATTAATTATGTATATAAAGATACTTTAATTTAGACAATGTCCCTAAAGCTATAAAAATCTCAGGAACTTTATATGTGATATCCTCTTTATATCTTATTTACTTAAATAATTAATAATTTTAATTGTCTTCATATTCAAAATCTTATGCAATCCATTTGATTACATCTGATTTTAATAAAAACTAGTCCATAAACTATTATTTGTTTAATGTATTCTAAAATTCAATTCTATGATATGAAGAATAATTTGTATAATGTATTTATTAAATTATATATTCTAAATATTATAAACATTTCACTTTTTCATATTTGATTAGATTTTCATTATAAAAACATATATGACATTTATTTAAGTTTAAAATAAGATATTTATTTGATTAACCCATTTCAAATTAGAAAGAATAGTATTATTTCTTTGTTGAATTAAAATGAGTTACATATTCATAATTCATTTCAGGAGTAATCATAATCACAACTATACAACTCCATTCCTAAAAATCAAACACTGTACCACTTATATATTAATCTTGACTTTCAATCTTCAATCCATAATTAGATCTTATAACTAATGTTTAATGTTTCTTATTTGCATTCTATTTTGATATTGTTAAAGTTTCAAAATTTTATTTTATTTCTTTTACATCCATTATTTGATTATCCACATTCACCTTAATATATTCCTCAAAAGTATTTGTAACATCATTAATCTATGACTCATCCAAGTACAATTTATAACCTTAATTAAATTCCCGATACAATAATTGTCCAAGCTTATCTTATTCTTATATATAATATTGATANATGCTTAATCTTATTAAATTGCAATAAAATTAATTATACATTATCCATCTTCACTCTCAAATTCAATTTCATCTTTTTACGAATATTCCCCTATCGATCTATTAATTATTAAGTTTTCACTTTACAATATTCTCATTTTACCATGAAATATTACATATAATGAATATTTCTTTGCATATATATATCTTCCTTTAATAACCTTACCTTTCAACTTTATCTTATTTATAAGCTTTTTTTTATCCTTATATAATAATTCAATCTAATAATCATTGAAAGGTTTTCTATATCTCCATATTGATGATTGCAATTTAAAAACTGGTTCTGAATCACATTCATAAATATGTACAAAATGTTAACTAGGTGAAATATCAATAAATAATATCTATTCACCAAATTCTATTTGTCCAAATAAACATTCACCAACAATAGATTAATTATGTATATAAAGATACTTTAATTTAGACAATGTCCCTAAAGCTATAAAAATCTCAGGAACTTTATATGTGATATCCTCTTTATATCTTATTTACTTAAATAATTAATAATTTTAATTGTCTTCATATTCAAAATCTTATGCAATCCATTTGATTACATCTGATTTTAATAAAAACTAGTCCATAAACTATTATTTGTTTAATGTATTCTAAAATTCAATTCTATGATATGAAGAATAATTTGTATAATGTATTTATTAAATTATATATTCTAAATATTATAAACATTTCACTTTTTCATATTTGATTAGATTTTCATTATAAAAACATATATGACATTTATTTAAGTTTAAAATAAGATATTTATTTGATTAACCCATTTCAAATTAGAAAGAATAGTATTATTTCTTTGTTGAATTAAAATGAGTTACATATTCATAATTCATTTCAGGAGTAATCATAATCACAACTATACAACTCCATTCCTAAAAATCAAACACTGTACCACTTATATATTAATCTTGACTTTCAATCTTCAATCCATAATTAGATCTTATAACTAATGTTTAATGTTTCTTATTTGCATTCTATTTTGATATTGTTAAAGTTTCAAAATTTTATTTTATTTCTTTTACATCCATTATTTGATTATCCACATTCACCTTAATATATTCCTCAAAAGTATTTGTAACATCATTAATCTATGACTCATCCAAGTACAATTTATAACCTTAATTAAATTCCCGATACAATAATTGTCCAAGCTTATCTTATTCTTATATATAATATTGATACATGCATTCAAACATTAATGCGGCAGCTAATATTAATACTTTTCCCTCAGCTGATGAAATTTCAGGGAATACAATAGTAAAATTTGCCTATTAATCGAAATAATATTCACTTTTTGGTTATTTTCTCATCTAAGAAATCACCTAAATTGATATTCTTAAATATTTACTTGATCCTATGAGTCTTTGATATCAAAATAATCTAAATCATATCTATTACTCTTAGGAAATGGGCTATACGTTTTTGATTACCCCAGCAACCTTTTTGTAATTTTATATTTAAAATTATTATTTCCATCAAAAATATAACAACTCTTAGTAATAAAAGTATATGGAACTTCTACATATCCTAAGAGTTTGTTTTAACCCTTTTCTACATAAAATACATTAAGTCTAGGTCTGAAAATGTAATTAATATTCTCTATACCTATTAAAACACAAAAAACTAAATTACCACTTTCTCTCTAATCTTAAAAATAGTCCATTTTGATTGAGAGAGTTGGGCATTTATTAACTATTTGGTTATTCAATTTTCTATACAAATAATAATAATGATTTCAATTAGCCACTTAATATTATTAAAATTATACCTAGATATTGTAGAACTTTAAGGGTTTGATACGCATTAAAATAATGGTATTTGTGATATCAATTGTCCACAAAAGTTTGTTGCATATAGATTGAGGATCCTTGAATTTTGAGAGCCTATGTTTATTTATTTACCTTAATTAATTGTAGAGGAATTGTATTATTCTTACATTTAGATTCCAATTAAAGATTTCATTATATGCAAAGAGCTAGGTTAATTTGAAACTTATTTGTAATCGTTCATCTAGTAAAAATTAGGTTAAGACATATCATTGGAAACAGTTAGAGGGACATACATGACTATGAAATACTTATTTATTATAAATTATGCTATTAAATGTGACATATTAAGCAATAAGATTAAGGATCAAATTATAGTATAAATAATAAAGTATCTTAAGTATTTTTATCTATTCATATATACTATTATTATACTAACATATTTATAGATTACACAACAAAATCTTTTAATTCTTAACATTATAATGTTTTAATTGATGATAACAATGATTCAACATAAAATCCTATTCTATATAATTTTATAAATATAAGAAATATTAATATTAGTAATATAATTTAAAAATAATTTAGAATTAAAATTAATATTTGCTTAATTTATAACTAAAAATATCGTAAAAAATATATAGAATATAATTGGATATATTTAGTCATAAATAAATCTTCAATTTTAATCAATATATAATATATATATAACCAAAATAATAAAAGTAATATTTACAAATATCTACAAAATATCCTTTGAGATTGTGAAGATAAATAGAAATGAATCTTTTTGATGTATTTAATTCTTATGAATTCATTCTTTAATAGTTAAATAGATAATTATAATATTTATCAATAATATTTTAATTTTAATTCTTATTCATTTAGAATCTACTTTAGGTTGTTTATCATCACGCTCAAAAACACCAAATTTTGATTTTTGAGATCCAGAAAATGAATTATAAAATACTAACAAAGATACAGCCAAGCTCACATTTAAGGTTCTCTTTAGGTAATAATTATAAGTATTTTCTAATCTTGCTTGTAATGGAATAGTAGAAGTTCTAAGAGAATTTAGTATTGTGATAGCATCTTAATCCATAACATAGCCCAAGACTATCCCTTGACATTAAACATCCTCCTTAGTTAAATGTAATATAAGTTTGTTTGCATCTAAATCATAAACTAATAAACCTAAATATAGTCATAATTATTTTAACCTGTGTCTGGGTAATAAGTTGTCACTCCTGTCAAGGTTTTTAAAGCATCAAAGGAACCTTCAAATATCATTTTGGTTTAATCTCTTAATATTGTATACTCTTGATTTTAAAGAAGCTTCTTAAGCATTGTATTTGCAGAAGCATTATTAGATTTATTAAGGTTAATGGAAATATGACCCATTCTTTACCCATTCTCTCTAATAGTCATTCTATAGTTTAAGCCAGACCTTATAGAATTGTAATTAAGACTTTAAGTCTTGAGTACTTATAGTGCTTTTTTCATCTTAGCTATTCCTATAATAATATTCAATATATAAATTAATATAATAAATATGTACATATTATTAATTAATGTTCAAATTAATTCAACAAACCTTTCTATATTTTTGTCTTTTATTATGACCTAATATTAATTCAATAACTTATAAATGTATGTGATCTCTAGAATCTTTGATTTTTCATTTCATATTGAATTATTTTTAATAGAAATTAATAAAATTTGTATATCATTTAAGTAAGACAGAATTCTTATTAGAGTCATTACTAATAGAGAATTCTCTACTAATTTAGAGTGTTTAAAATATGAAAATTTTATAAAGTAATTTTATTATAAAAATAATACAATTAAATTATAATATGAATGAAATAGAAGAATAGGAAAAATAGTTATATTATCTTTAAAGATAGAAAATAGCTCAATTAGATAAATAAATATTAATGAAAGATTAATTAATATTGGAATTACAAAGCAAATACAAAAATCTTTATGATGATTATTAGCATAATTTAAGAGTTATTAAAGATAGGGATGATGAATTAGATGAAATAACAGATAAGCTCCTCACTTTGAAATAATAGAATGATAGATAATTGAATGAATATATTGAATTGGAAGCTGAGATACATAGAAAGTAGGAGGAATGGAAATTATAACGGGATAATTTGAAATCTAAGAATGATGAATAAAGGAAAGAAATTAAATATTTAAAGCGAATACATGAAGAAGAGATTAATTAATTCTAGACTAAATACAAATAAACATTAAACTAATTAGAATAATTGAAAAATGAAAAAATATATTTCAAAAATCAATAAGATTAATTAAATGATTAAAAGGAGTAGATTGAATAATTAATACAAAAATTGAATGATTAAAAGAATATTATAATCAAATTAGAATAATCTTCAGAATAGCATATCTAAATTAATAATGAAAATGCACAATTATAATAGAAACTTAATTTATAGAAATAATAATTTAATGAACAAATTGGAGAATTTCAAAATGATAATCAATTATTGAAATTGAAAATCTAATAATAATAATAAATTATAGATTAAATTAAAAGAGATCATGATGATTAATAAGGATAAGATTCTATTAATTAAAATAAACTTTAATCAAAAATTATCTAATTATAATAAGAGAAATAGGAAATGGAATATAAATTATTAGAAATGAAATAAAAAAAGAAAACTAAAGGTAAATTATTGAAAGAATAAACATAACAATAATTAAAATCTATTTAAACTTAATCGGAAGAGAAGATTAGAAAATTAGAATTTTAATTACAATAATATTTAATTGAGAATGAAAAATTATAAATATAAGAAGCAAATCAAAAAGAAAAATGTTAAGAAATTGAATCTAAACTTAATAGATTGATTTTTGATAATGAATAAAGAGTATAATAATTAATTAAAAATAATGAATTAGATAAAAAACAATAAAAAAATGATATGGATTTAAAAATCTATTAAATCAATTAATTAAATGATGAAATTGTAAATTTAAAATCAACTATTAATGAATCAAATAAATTATTAGATAATATGGCAGCTAAAATTTAAGAATTAAAAAATGAAAATAACATTTTAATAGAAGAAGTAGTTAATTTAAGAAAAAATAATAATTAAAATAATACAAATAAAAAACCATAATTATAATAATCTAATCCTTCCAATAAAAAACCATCATAATAATAATAATAATAATAATAACCAAAAATGAAATTCTTAGATGAAGAGGAAGAAGTTGAATCTGTTGAAAAGCTACTCTTTAGTGGTGATGAAGGACCTGTCTCTAGTTTACTTTAAAGAGGTTCTATGTAATAATAAATTAAATAATCAAAACAATCTTTATCTAAACATCATAGAAGTTTGGAATAAGAAAATACTCAATTAAAATTATTTGTTAAAGATATGCATTAAACAATGGAAAATACAAAGGATTAATTATTATTAAAAGTTTAGGAATTAAATATTCAAAAATAAGAATGTTATTAAGCAAAAGAAAAAATATAATCACTTTAATAAGAAATCTTGAAATATAAAGAATAAATCTTAATTCTATAAGCATAATCAAAAAATAATGAGGATTTAGAAAGTGTAACAAATGAATTAAAACAATAAATTGAGAATCTTAGTAAAAAACTATAGAATTCAAAAGAAATTATTCTAAAATTGAAATAAGAAAGAGAGAAATTATTGGATATAACAAATGAATTGAATTAAAAATTAAAAGATTCTGATAATCATGAAGAATTATTATAGATGCAAACTGAAATTAAATACTTATAAAATTAAATTAAGTAGTTGTAATTATAAAATGAAATTCCAATAAATTAAAAATCACAACTACCAAATCTTAGTGAGATTCAAAATTAATTGTTTGTGAAATGATAAAAGTTTATTCCCAAAATTTATATAAATAAATCTAAAATTTCTTAATCTAATGATGAAATTTATTTATTATATAAAATAAATTCTATTCCTCCAATAATCTTATTTTTATATTTTATAGGAGTGGCTATAATTGGTAATTAAGTATTAATATCTACATTAGGTTAAAAATTTTCATGATTATAGCAATTATTAATAAAAAGTGTCTAATTGTTATGAATAGCTTCCCATATAATACTCTTTTAAAGTTCATTATCTTATTGAAGTAATATTATTTTACATTCACTACTGTTCATAATTTCACAAAGTCTTTATTAAGAGAAATGTAATTTAGTATCTAAATCATCGATTGATTATAATAATAATAAACTTTTTAGAGCATGTTAATATTTTTAAAGTTGAATTTCAATTTTATTATTAGATATTTAATTGTTTAGTATATATTGAGCCTGTCTACAAATGTATTAAATCAAAATTTCATCTTCATTACTAAAATTGATTGATTTATCTTAACAAACAATAACACCTAAACATCTATTATTGTCTAAAATTGGCGCTGCTAATAATTGATTGAAATTTTCATTTTTAAATCGTTCATCAAATTTAGCATTTTTCAAATTAAGGATTTATTTGTTATTATAGACATGTTATATATATGATTTATTTGTCTCATCATTATTAATAATAATCTATGCATTTTTACATTCAAGGATATTCTTACATTATTAACTCAACTGATTTAGTGCTTCTAATTGTAATTTAATATTTTATAGATTAAAAGAGTTATCTATAATTTACTTGAACTTTAATATCATTTCAAACATCTATTCATGTTCATTTATCAATTTCTTAATTTTATCATACATAATTGAAACTTATTAAGGAGGATATGTTGTAATAATATCAATAAATGAATCCTCATCTTTTAGTATTTCTTTGACTAATTATATACTACTGTCATCATGATATAATTATTTTGCTTATGTATTAGTTGCTTCTAGAATTGAGCTTAACTTAAAACATTCATTGTTAGTCATTTATAGTTTATTAGAGACTACCATTTTACGAGGTGGTGGTTTCATAGCCTATAATACATTCTTTATTGTTGATCTTCTAGCATTTCTAGCATTGGGTAATGGTTGTGGTAAATCTGCATGTATTTATAATTTAGTAGAGTTTGTACGTAACGTTCTCTCTTAATAAAGTATGGAACATTAATGTTATGTAAGTACTTGGAGATTCTTATTCTGATGTTCCAATCTATCAATTTCTTTCTGTTACATTCTTAATAGATTTTAGAGTATTGTAGGGTCTTCTTTGATTGGTGATGTTTTATTAGAACAACTACTTTTAACATAAAAGCTAGTAAGTGAGTTTCGTAATTTATTTATAGACGATGTAGGTGATTACATTATTTTAATAAATCAATCAATCATATACAGGAATGTAATCTAAATATAAATTGGCTTTGCATTCTACAATATTTGGATTTAATGATAATTCATCTACATTTAACATTTCCAAATCCTAAACAACTCTTTTTTGGCTTCTTTTAACTTTCTTTTACGTTTCATATTATATAAGTTTCAACTAAGGAGATGGAGATTTCGAGGTTTATTTTTCATTCTTATCTCTATTTTATTTTGATTCTCTTTTCTTATCTCTTTTTTTCTCTCTTTATTCACTATTCAATTTTCTAGTTTCCCTTTATTCACTATTTTATTTACTATTAAAATTTTTTTATATATCCTTAATTTCATCAAATATATCTAAATGATTGATTGTTTTTTTGTCATTATCTTTTTTCTCTTTTCTTTATTTCTTTTCATTTCTATCTTTCTTCTCATCATTTTTCTATTTCTTTTTTTCTTGTTCTTTCTTTTCTTTTAAATGATTATTATTATTATTATTATTATTATTATTATTATTATTATTATTATTATTATTATTATTATTAGATTATTATTCATTTTGATCTATCTTTTATTTTTGATCATAAAATAATTCATTAATTTTATTTTTTATATCTTTTTCACTATCACTATCATCATCATCATTCATTCCAAATGTAAAAAACATAGTTTTCTATTTATCTTATTTCTTTTCAGATTTTGGTATAGCTGTTTAAGGTAATGCAATATCATTAGGATTATATTTATTATTTAGCTATATAGATTCTCTATCCTTATTACTGACACTATCTCTACCATCAGAATTTGATCTTAATGTTGAGAGATGATTATTAGCAATCCTTTTTCTTTATTTTGGAAATTTTGGTAATCTTATTTTTGGTTCTTTTTATATTTTTGATTCAATAGGTTCTTTATACTCTTTATTAAATTCCTTATAATCAATAGTTTCTCTAAATTCTTTTGTTATTTTTTTATTATCTTTTTATTCTTTTGATTAATCTTTTTATTCCTTTGATTATTATTTCCTTTCCTTACTTTAAGTTTTTTTCTTTTATGATTTTCTTTCATTATCATTATCATTTTCATCCTCTTCGTCATCTTCTTATCTCCTTTTTCTACCTTTAGGGAAATCTATAGGTGGAGGTTTGTCTCCAAATACATCATCAAAATTTTCATCATATTTAGCCAAGAAATCAGCCTAACCCATTTTAGATTATGGCTTTTTTCGAGAATTGTAACTTGATAATTGTTGTATACTTTATTTCTTAAATTATGGAATCTCTTGATGTTCTGGAATTTCATCTTGATCTTCATCAGAACCAGAAACATCCTCAATCTAAAAAGAGCCTCTATTAAGTGAACTTGCAAATATTTTGTTTAAGAAATTCATGAAATATATTTAAGCTGAAGTGGACTATAATATATTGATAAAATTATGGAGGCTTTTTAATTAAAATTATAACGAATGAAAAATTACAAATAACAACTTTAATACTTATTGTAAAAACCTATTGCAAGTCCTCAGTTCAGATAGCTATTTCTTGAATGTGATCAATATCAGATGATAGTTTAAGTACTTATAGAAGCCAAATCAGATAAAATTAGTGTAGTCAAAGAACAATTAAAATTATTTGGATTATTAGCTGAATGTGTCAATGAAAACTTGAGTCCTCAATTACCTATGATATTTACTCATTTATTGAAGAGAATCAAAGATTTCGAATCAATGAGTTGTGTGTGTACTCAAGTGGCTGAAATTATAGGAAAAATAGTGAAACTTTGTTGTTATGATGGAGAAGTATTAAATAGCATTTTAAAACCACTCATGAATCATTTGAATTAGAATGCATAACATTCTTTATGTTTGACAAGAGTAGTCTAATTTTTATCATTCGAAATCCTAGAACAAAATGCTTTGTTTCTATTTAGGAAATTCATATCATTATTGAATCAATAAAATGGAAAAGTGGAGATCCTAGAAGGAATGGCTGCAATAATCTTAAGTGTAGAAGAATAATCAGAGTAAGATAATTAATTTATAATAGTATTTTTGCTGATGAAATTATTCCACATTTATCATAGTTATTATAAAATCAATAATGGCAAGTGAAGAAGATGGCTTTAGATATTTTATATTCTCTGGTTGTCTTATAAAAAGATAAAATCCAAGAACATTCATATTTTAAGGAATTAATGTATGAATTAAAATCAAATAAGGTATTTATTGTAATTAATTTATTAGATAAAATAAATAAGAGATTCAGCAAATTTAATATTAGATGTATTATAATAGAATAATTAATAATCATAATAATAATCATAATCATAATCATAATCATAATCATAATAATAATAATAATAATAATAATAATAATAATAATAATAATAATAATAATAATAATAATAATAATAATAATAATAATAATAATAATAATAATCATAATCATAATCATAATCATAATCATAATCATAATTATAATCATAATAATAATTAGATAAATAAGTTACTTCTGTTGAAAGATAAACTAATTATGGAGGCTAAATTAAATCATCATCCTAACCTTAATTATTCATTAATACTACATATAAGTAATCTCAGTCAAATACTGCAATACCTCAATAACCACAAACTCCTTCTTAATAATAAAATAATAGATTATCTTAAACACCTGCTTTAACTAATAAAATTAGCAATGATGAAAAACTTTAATTAGCAATTGATGCAATCTAGTTATTAAGTGGGATATTGAAATCTAAAGGAATTTGTGATTCTACAGAAACCTAATAAATAGATTCAATATTGAATAAATTAAATGAAAGAGATAGTTATAAATAACCCACAATGAAATTTTCATAGTTTAATGACACTGAAACTTTTATAAGTAAAGAAGCAGCTGAAATTTTGAGAGAATTCAAAGAAAAGTAAAGATCAGAATACTTAAGATAATGAATGTGTTAAATTATAATGAAATTTTATTTATTATATAACCACTATTTTTATCATGATATTTCGCAAATATTTTATTTAATAAATAATATCCAAAATATATCATGTCATAATCATATTTTTCTGGTCTTTTGAGTTGGTAAATATACATCATTGAATAGTTTAGGGTGAAAAAGCATAATGGAAATAATCAACTCGTAATTTGTTAGAGATCTATCAGCCTATTTATCTTAAAGATGTATTTACATGATAGATTAGTCCAGAAATCCTAATACAAATTGAATTCGAACTAATCAATTCAATTCAAGGATTCTATTGACCAAATATGTGAAATCACGGAATGCACTTAAAAATAAAATTTAGAAGAAGTAAGTCATCACTTTTATTTTATAGAAATTATTATCTTAACTCACTCTGGTGGATTAGGATGAAATATTTGATACTATTTGTATCAGAGGAGATATGATTGAAATAATCAATCTATTAAGGGATTGCTCAAATGGTAAGGCTTTTGCAGAATAACTCAAAATTGTTGAAGATAATAAACAATTAAAAGTTTAAGATGCTACTTGGTTTGATTCTACTCAACCTTAGACTTGTCTAAATTGGATAATAAACGAGTTTGAAAAGTAAGTCACACTGCTCTATTATAAACATATTAATTTCATTAATTATGAATGCCTTTAGTAATATTGGATAAACAATGGAAATAATATAAGAAAGAAGGTATCTGATTGTATTTCAAATGTCATTAAACCAAATCAAAACATTATGCTATAATAATATTCCTCTTTTATTAAAGATCATACAATTAATATTCAAAGTATTCTTAGTAAATTTAATGATAATCAACTTGAAACCATATTCTATTTACCTTTACATAATGCTTTGATTTTATAAAGTTTCTGTGAAAAATTAGTTCTTTAAATCATAAGAGAATCTTATAAATAATCAATTTTATAAGAATTAGAATGTTTAACAAAGAATAATCATAATATATAACATCAATAAATGTCATAATAAAAATTAAAGAAAAAGAAGAAATAAAATAAGTAAAAGAAACTAATACATTAAGTATTGTAGGAAAACACACGAATTGTTGTTTAAAAAGAGCATGAAAATTAGGATGTTACTACTGATGACAATCAAGACACTGAGGATTGGATTGTGGTGACTAAGAAAAAAAAGTAGAAATCTCTTAATCATTCTAATTCAACTAATTCTAATAAAGAAAAATAATTAAGTTTAGAATAATAAGAACAATAACCTTAAGTATAAGAAAATAGAATATAAATGGAAATTGAGGAAATAAGTAAGAATGATTTAGATTAATAAGAATAACTATAATTGTTAAATTAAGAGTAAAAATAATAAGATTAATAATAATAATAATTAGATTAATAATAATAATAGTAATTTGATTAATAATAATAATAATAATAATAATAATAAAATTAATAATAAGAATAAGAATAAACTATTAGCACTCCAGAAAAGAAAAAATTAATTAGAAAAAATCTAGTCTTACCTAAAACAATTGAATTAATTTAAGATCCCATAGATGAAAATCTTATGAATCAAGCATTTTAATAAATGATAAAAAAATTAGATCTTGATATTAAAGAATTTATTGATTAAATTAGAAGAGACAATGATTAGCAATTTCCAATTAGATAGTTAATCTTCAATAGAATTCAATTCATAATTTAATTATTATTTAAGGATGCTGGAGTGTGTCTTTTTGGATCATGTGCCACAAGATTGGCTCTTCCTGATAGTGATATTGATATAGGTATTACTGGTCTGGAAACACATTAATTAAACCAAAAGATGGATATCATTATAGAGTTCTTATGTAAAATGAATTGGGTCAAACGCATTAAGTAAATCATTTTAATATTTTAGACAAATCTATCCTACTTAAACTACTTTGCCTCTCATTAAGTTATGGGTGGATCCCAGTATCCCCTTTAGGAATGGGAATATGAATTTACCTCCTATAGATCTTGTATGCCAATCCCAGTTGATTTAAGTAGATATCAGTTTCTTTGGACACATTAAGCATTAAGGATTGATATCAACAGAACTTACTTGTTATTGGCTTCAAGAATATTAAGAATTAAAAACTCTTACACTTTTATTTAAAAGTTTACTAAAAAAGAGAGGATTAAATGATTAATCTAAAGGTGGAATTTCATCATTTTGTTTAGTACTAATAGTTGTGTCCTTTCTGGAGTACTATTATTAATAAAATGCTGGATTCCATTCAATTGGATTGGCAACATACAAATTTCTAGAATTTTATGGAACCAAATTCAATCCTCATTCTATGGGAATCTTTTATAAAGGATTTGATTAGAAGTATTAATTTAATAAATTAATAATAGTCCATTCTTTTATTTTGAAAAAGAGGACTTCTAATTGACAATAGTTAGTCCTATTACTTATGATATTATTAGTCAGAATAGTTCATTTGTTTAGACTATACTTTAAGATATCAATGGATTATTCAATGCATGCGAAAATGAAACTAAGTTCTTCTATGATAAGGTTAAATTTAACAAGAAGAAGAAAGGAAAGAAGGAGGAACGAAATTTGTTTTATAAGGAATTTGCAAAACTAACACCACTATTTAGTACTTGATTATATATATAAATATTAAATTGTATGAGTGAACCAAAAAAAATTGTGATGCTTGGAGAGGGTGAGTCATATTGATTTAATCTTTAGGCAGAGTAGGCAAGACTTGTTTAACTTTGAGATATTGTTAAGATCAATTTAATGAGAATTAAGAATCATCAGTCAATGCCACATATTTTGATAAAGTTGTAGATCTTGGAGGTGGTAAAGACATTAAATTGGCAATCTGGGTATTTAAATATTTAATTTTTAAAGGACACTGCAGGTCAAGAAATATTTCATGCATTGACTACAGTATATTATAGAGATGCATATGGAGCTGTACTTGTTTATGATGTCACTTATAAAGAATCATTTCTTAAAGTATAACATTTAAATTCACTTATAGGTAGAAAAATGGGTAGAAGAATTAAGACAATTTGGAACTAAGGATATTTCAATCGTTGTTGCAGGAAATAAATGTGATATGAAGAATTAAATGCAAATTGATAAAAACGAAGTAGAAGAATATTGCAAAAAGATTGGAGCAAAACATTTCTTTACTTCAGCCAAAGCTGGGATTGGAATTAGTGAAGTATTTAGATCTTTAGGCGAAAGTATTTATTTGATTAAATTAGGTATCTCAATCAAAGTTTAGGCTTAAGAAAGCAAAGGTAAGAAAAAGAAAGGTCTCTAAATCAAAGATGTTAAAGACACGAAGAAATAAAACTCAAAAAATGATGGATGTTGTTGAATTACAATACGGAATTCTTAATCAATATATATTTTATATTCTATATTATAGAATCAATCCAATCCTTCAGGAATTCCTTCATCATCTCCTTTAATTGTTTTAGGTTGAACTAAATTTTACGACATCTTTTTAATAGTATCAATTTCTAAATATAATGATCATATATATACATGTATGTGCTTTTCTAGTTTTTCTCTAAAAATCAGCATTTGGTTTCTTAATTCCTTTTGTTACATAACCAATCATTTTCTAAAATCCTGGAATTTAACCATCTCCTAATTCCCAAATAGGCAATCTACCCTCACTAACAACATCTTCACTTTGATGATAGTTATTCATCTTAGATGTTGCTACTGAGGGATTCAAAGAAGGTAAATAATCTATTAATCCACTTGAGTTTAATTAAGGTATTTGTAAAAATGAATTTTATTATTGATATGGCTTAAGATTTAATAATCCAAAAGATGGCATTTAAGCAGGACTCTCTGGTTCTGCTATATTTATCATAATTGGATCTTTCTTTTTTGTCTTATGACTAGTTGTTTTTTTAGTGCTTTTCTTTTTCTTAGTATCTTGCATAATTTATTCGAAAGTCTAAGGAATTACTTTTGGAGGTTCCTTCTATTTGACTAAATTAACTTTTTCCTCTTTACTACTTTATTACATAATATGAACTGTAAGATGCTTTTTCTTTTATTAATACTCAGGTAGTTTTTCCCAATCATACTAAAATTATCCTTTTCGTTCTTTTTAAATTTATTCTAATTCTTCTGAGAAATAACTCTTTAATAGTTAATAATTGGGTTATTATTTAAATTCATATCCTCTTACATCTTACATAAACTTTGTAAAACACTATTTTATTAAATAAATTAAATACTCTAGGCAATTTAGCACACAAAACATCAGGTTTAATTGTTTTCTTCATATGGTGAATTTTAGCATATTTTAAATCTTTCTATTCAATCTGTAAATTCATCCATGGTAGTGTACCACTTGCCAAATAAATCAACACATAACCAATACTTTCTAAATCATCCTTTCTTCCTTATTCCATTTCATCATGAGCACTAATACTAGCATATCTGGCAGTACCAATTAAACCTGCTTTCTTAATATATTGAATATGATCCCCTTTTGAGTTCTATATTAATTAAATTCAATTACAATATAGTGTTTTGAAAGTCCAAAATCAATCAGATAAATCAATTTAGGTGATGGACCTGCTTCAAGTACAAAATTATCAGGTTTAATATCTCTATGCAAGAAACGACAATTATGGAGGGTTTCGATTCTATCTATCATCTATTCACTATATATTGTATCAATGACTTACTTGAATTGCGATCTTTAAAGATGTCCCCAAATCAAAATTACCTCCACACTTTCTCACTACAGATTCTAAATTCTTTCCTAACATTGTCATTATACAATATGTAAATCTCTTTTCTTATCCATAAAATTTGATTTAAGGGAATCCAGTTTTTTTTCTAATAATTATCATCTTATTCTCTACCTCATCTCTATCAATACTTTAATTTCCTTCTCTAACATACTATAATCTTCTTCCTCTACTTCTACTTTCATTGCCATCACCTAATCCCCACTTTTCTGATCTATCACTTTATAAACCTACCCGAAAGAACCCTCTCCAATTTTCTAACTTATACTGAATCTTCCTTATATTACATCTCCAACCTAAAATGAACCAGATCCATTACCTTCAACTCTTCATCATCTTCATCACTTTCATAATGATGTTTCATCTATTTTAATAATAAATATAAATAATACTTTTGACTGGAATTCATTAATACAAATATATATTATTTTTCTTTATCGAAATAAAGTTTAATTGTCTATAAATTCATTATTCACATTCTTTTCATTATTAACTTTTAAATTATACATTACCAAAGATATAAAACAATTTGTTAATATAATTGTTGAAAATAACTTAGATTCATTATAAAATAATTATTATAATCTATATTTTTTATCATAAATATATCATTAAATTTATAGAAATTAATCTTGTATTTCAAATACCTTTTTTAATTAAATATCTATATCTCTTTATTGAAGATAAATTTAGACAGTTCTCATTGATTAGAAAAATTATTATTAAGTGAAATTCTTATACATCTATATCTATTTTATTTCAATATCAATATAGAATAAAGCATAATAGAGTATAATTCTTCTTCTTAAGATTTCATCTTGATTTTTAAACTTCTCAATAAGAGTAATCTTTAATCAAAAATTTTGATAAAAGTAGAATACTCATTCAATAATTTAAGTGTAACTAAAATCTTAATATGAATATTTATTATTGAAATATATTCCTTCAATTTTAATATATATATTACAGTATAAAAAAAAGAACAGTAAGAAACCAACTTAATCCAATATCTAGCTTTGGTAGTTTTTTCAGGTATAGTTTAGATTTCAGTAATAAATATAAATTGAATTTATTTCAGCTTCTTCTCTAAATTTATGAGAATATTTCTATTTATTATCTTGCATCTCTATATGTAATTAATAGACATGAAAAACGGCTGTTTTTAAAAAGTCTAATATTTTTTTATTGATTCTACTTTTTGATTATTACAATTCTCTTAGTATTTTTTATTTACAATATTATGTAATAAAGGGATCTAGTAATATAAATTTTATTCTATTTCCTATTAAAATTTTATTCTTTTCAAGGTCTAAGTTCCCTATAATTTTAATACTCTGAAAGGATTAATTAATTTTCTAAGTGAAAAAGAGCCTTAAATGAATACAATTTTCTTATGTGATATATATATAAATTTAGAAAATCAATCATTCCATCTCTTCTTAACTTCTTAGGATAAAGTGTCAACAAAATGAACAAGATTTTACCCTTGTCTAAGTTCAAATTCCGCAGCCTGAATTCCTTATGCTAAAGCCATTAGAAATTTTGCTGCAGTTTAAAACCCTACCCAAGTTTAACTCCTTTTGGAAGTTTAACATTAAAATTATGCATGTTATATAAAATAACCTTAACACTCTGGTTTGTCTCTAAAGTTTTTACAAAAAATATCTCCATATTCGTTAATAAAGGAAGGACATCCACAGGCTTTATGATGCCACTTCCTAAGTTGATTTGATTTACATGGACATCCAGGTGGACAAGAACAACATAATGAAATGACTAACCCTCTATTTAAACCACCAGGTGGTAATTAATCTGCCATACTTAATAATTATTATTATAGATTTGAAAGAAATAAACATAAAGATTATAAGAAATTATTCTATTAGTTATAATGTTTAAATAACAAAGGAAAAATTTATTAAAAATATTTATCATTTTGATATATTATATATATATTATTTATGTTAAACTTTAAAAATATAGTCTTTTTTAAAGGCTGTGGTTATTTTAAATTATCTATTCTACTTATTAGGATTGAGAATTTTTGTTTTAGGAATATATACATTATGAAAAAAAAGTATTTTTTATTCATATTTAGATATATGTAAATGATTTCAAGTATCTTTTAGAATTTGTTAAATATTTTGAGATCAAGAGAACTGTTAAAAATATTATTTATATATTTATGCGTCGTTATAATTTAAATAATATATTATTAATGGATTCATTAATTGAAAAATGGAAAAAGACAACCTAAAGTGCATCTAGATATAGTGAGTAGAAGTTGAAAAAGTAAGATAGGAATGCATCATCATCTTCAGAAAGCTCTTAAGAATAGAAAAGAGTAAATAATATTAATAAGAATTCACCTCAACCTCAAACTACAAAGAGTTTAAAATAGTCCAATTAATCATCTGGTAAGAAACCAACTTAATAATCATTACCAAATTCAGGTAATAAGAAATTTCTAAAACCATAAACCTTTTCATAATTACTTGATTTCTTTACATAGCAATTCTAAACCTTATTTAAAAGCAACATATTACCTTCATAATTGAATGAATAAATTAAGACTATTTTAGTAGATTATGCTGAAAATATATAATTGTTAAGTGCATCAGGATTTACTGGAGCTTAAGTTGAAGAATTATAAAATAAATTGAATCAAGCAGAATAATAAATATTTACTCTAAAAAATAACAATTCTAAAGATGATTTTAGCAAAAAGATTATAAATGAATTAGAAGATAAATTGTTGGATAGTGAAAAGTAAAGAGTAAAATTAAAATAATAGAAAGAGTAGATGTAAATATAAATAGAGAAAATTTCAGAATCTTTAGGGAAATATTAAATCAATTAAGAATTAATACATTAGATGAAATAAGAGAATTTATAATTAAGAAAAAATAATGATATTTTAGTAACTTAAATTTAATAATTAAATACTTAAAATAAAGAATAATAAGTATTATGGAATTAATAAATAGAAGACTTAATTAAAATGATGGATATTTTAAGAAAATCAACAAGTTCTTCTTGAATATTTATAAATTAATAAATTTTTAATCTCTTTTAAGTAAAATAATCATTATTCAATAAATTCATAAAATCTACATTCATTATCTAAATTAACAAACTCTTAATTCAACAGTTTACATTATTCAGATAATTTTCTAATTAAATATAATTTATCTCTATTTCCATAGTCATCAATAGTTAAAATAAGTAATTCTTCAGGTATATTAAGTTTAATTACTCTTTTGCAATTTAACTTTTTACCTTAATTTGGTATTCTAAAATAACCTAACTTATTAATATTGTATAATTCATAACCATTCTCTAATTTTAAAATCTCTTCAAAATCAATGTAAGAAATATCAATAATTCCAGACCAAACTATTTATTTATTATTATACATAATTTATAAATTTTATACCCTTAGACCATCATATTAATTTTAGTATATTTGTTCATGATTAAATTAATAATGATAATTTTAGTTGAAATTTGGTGTCTTAAATTAAAATATCTCAATTAATATAGGATAACTAATTTCATTTAGTAACATTTAATCTTCTAATATATTTCCATTTACTAAAATTCTTGAACATTCAATATATCCTTATATTTTCTAAGTTATAAATAGCTATTTTTTAAATAATTCACATATAATCTATTATTTTAATTAGAAGCATGTATTTATCAAATTCAAAGAGTAATCTTTGAGTTCCAAGGTTTTTTCACTTTCTCTAAATATTAAAGTAATATTAGCTGATCTGGAACATTCTGGTGTTCTATTTAATTGAAAAGGTCTTTTTTATGTTTTTCTTTTTTTTTATGAAGAATATTAATTCTCTTTTTTTATTTTATGAATACATTTAATATTATAAAGTTCTTTATTATTTTCTTATGATGATTAATATACATCTTAAAACTATTAATCTAATACTAATTCCAGTTTACTTTGAACTTCTAAATGAGTTATAGGAGTAAATTAATTTTAGGCGGTCTCTATTTTTAAATCAGTTCTTTAAAAAGATTAATTTAAATGTTATGTGATAAAGGAAGTATTATTATTTTTTGTATTGACTCTCTCCTTTAAAGAGAATAACCTTTTACTACATTTATAATCAATCTAATACAGATCTTGATCACAAGGCTTAATTTGGAAAAGATAATTTTATTAATGCCCTCTCATTTTATTTATGCTTAATTTATGATATTTAAATTCATTAAGGGTATTCTAAAAGTTTGCAATTTAGAAAAAAATGATTATTTTAAATTAATATCAAATTTCATTATTATCATATTAAAAACAAATAATGAAAGTGATATTCTATTTAATTTATCTACTATTCTAAGAATGAATGAGAAATAAAAATAAAGTTTATAAAAATATTTATATTTAGATTGTTCAAATTGATTTCATATATATGATATAGTTATTAAATATTAATGTAAGAAGTTATAATATTTCAATTGATTAATATTTATTATTATGATTATTTAATTGTTATACCATATTCATCTATAATTTTGTAATGATTATTCATTTCATTTTAAATTTACATTTAATTTTATTAATGATATTTTAAGTATCTTGTTTATTACCTTAATATACTATATTCTAACATAGATTATTTTATTTATTATACTGATTTTATATAATCTACAAAATTTAATAAGACCATTAAACATAAAATATTTGCTCTAATTTATTATTCTCTATCTAAATAATAATTAATTAATGATATATATTAATTTTTTAGAAAATTCAAGCTAAATTAAATCATATTCTTTATACTTTTACAAAATTAGATTTCTATATCATTTCCTATTGATTCTTTAAATTATGTTATAAATCTAATATCATTATTATAGTTTTATATATAATTGAAAGTTATGTGTATTTTAATATTAATAAAATTTCGCGCTTATGGAATTTGAAAACCACAACTCTCAAGCCAATTCAACTCCTTGCTTCCAAAATTCATTTCTATTTACTCCTGATCAATCTTAATAATTTTACACTGTTCCCAATAATACTATGAATCCTTTCACCAACTAATTTTAATAATTCTAACAACCCTAATTTTGGAATTAAGGAACGAATTTAATAGCATAATAAAACCAATTTAACCTAAATCCAGTTTTCTAATAGGCCCCTATACAAATGAATACTCAATAATTTTTCTAATAACCTTAAGATCAAAATGAAGAAGATTATGACTAAGATTATTAGCCTGGAGAAGAAGAAGAATCTAGTTCAAGTGAAAGTGAAGAATAAGAAGAAGAACTTTAGGAAGAAGGTATTAATATATAATAATTTTTAAAGAATAATTTGATGATCCAGACTTTGATTTATAAGCTTACTTAAAAGTTCGTGATCAACTTTGAAATAATAATTTTATATTAAACATCATATAACCATTTTTTCACTTAAATAATTAATAAACATGGATAAGTATTTCTCTTGTGTTTACAATAATAAATTATTAGTCTTAAATACATAACAATCTGGATCTTAAAGTCTTTAAACCATTAATTTGAGTAATGGTTAATTATGACGATTTGCTGCACAAATCTTTTCAATCATTCTTCCATCAAAAAAGAATTAAGCCAATTCTTCTGATATATCTAAATTTTCAAATATTGCATTCTCTAAAGTATAACAAATAAATTGACTAGCAATTAATGAATGGGTAGATGCTATTTAATTAATAATATTAATACCTCCTATTGATTTAAAGTTTTAAAAAAGACATTCTAAAACTCTAATTTCTGCTATATATTAATGTACTTCAAATTAAGGACTATATAGATATGCTTCAAAGTATTTAACAATTTGTCTGATAGATTTATTATATTGTTGATTTTTATAATGAAAAAGGGATTACTTTTTGTATAATTTGGAATATTTAAATTACAATTTATCTTCTAATAGACTTTAATCAAATTATTGTATTGTAACAATTTTCTCTCTTTTAAAAGATTTGATTAATAATTTAACTTTAACATCATGTGGTAATTTTATTTCAAAAGATGGAAAATCCTAATTCAATATAGGCATTAAAGAGTAATAATTATTAAAATCAAGTGGATTATATTCTGTAATAGATTTCAGAATTAAAGCTTAAATTTACTCTAATATAAATTTTGATAAGCAATTTTCAATGAAAAAAGTTAAATTATCCAAACAATTTGTAAATAAATCTTAAATTGGTTCAAGTAATAATTTTATATCTGAATGACTTAAAATTAATGATAAAGCTAATTAGACATTTTAATTATATTAATCAATTTTAAAAGGCATAGATATAGGTGATTTTTAAATAATATCTACAAATTCTTAAATACTTTTAACTTAATCTTATATAGTTCTTGTTTGATCTTATAAGGTCTTATAAAATTTATTGATTAGATTGATAAGTACTTTAGTTACATCCTTATTTCCATTAGAAAATTTACAAATCAATTAAGCTAAAATACTTATGATATTGATTTCTGAAATAGCAGCAATTTCTAATTATCTTATCAATTAATCTATTTCAACAATTTGAGAATTTTTCAAGAAAATAGTAATTAATTTATCAACCAAAGGATCAGCTCCATTAACTATTCTTTGCAATTATAATAGTAATTCTCTATTATTTGTAGATATTCCATTTTATAAATAAATTACTATAATTCTAGTACTGCTTGGTCCATCCAGAATTTCTTTTTCTATAAAGGATCTTGTAGCAGTTTTAGTTTATCTTTATACAATCTATTATTCTTATGATTCATCAGAATCAGTAACAGGTGATAATTCATCTTTACTTTATAAAATAATATATTTGTAGTCTTCAATTTTTTCACTTGAATAACCAACTGGGAATTCAGTCAAAGTCTTTTGTAATTTATCATGAATATAAAATAGATTTTCAATGTTATGTTCTTCTTATAACATATAGAATTCAATTAATCTTTAAATATTAAGAATTGCAATTGGTTCTGTAGAGTTTGATAAAATAGATTCCAAATCTTAGAGATTGATCATAGAATTCAATCTTTCTGGAGTTATTTCTTTGTGTAAAATATATTCTGTTAAATATTCAAGAGTATATGCTGAAAATAATAATTTATAGTATTCTGTTTATTGAGCTCCTTTGAAGTAATGCTGGACAAGTTCAAATTGAAGATTCTTTTTAGAAAAATCACTAAGTATGGGTGTATAGATTTCATTAATTTGATATACAACTTATAGAAGTTTTTTAAATTTCTTTCCTTAAAACTTTGAATCCTCTAAACATACAGATTATAAATGATCTAAATATGTTTGGAAGAGAGCTCTTTGATTAGGTAAATCTTAAGCTTTCATCTAATTAGAAAAAGTGATTTACGTATTCTTTGATTAGGGAAGGTTTAACACAAAATTCAAGCCAAGTGTATTGTTCCATTAATAATATTAAATTGATTAATGAGTTTAATACAAAATGATGAAAATTTCATTTCAAAAAGAATGGCAGTAGCTATAGCAATCTTAATATTGTATTTATTGCATTACACAACTTTATTTTTGAGTTCATGCTTCAATTATAAATATTAAGGAGAATATACAAGTAGAAGAATATTTTTGTATGGTATATCAGGTATAAATAAAATATATTAAGGATTATTAAGTATGAGTGCAATATAGAGTAATATATTTTCAGCTGTATTAGCATGGTTAACATTGATACCACTCTCAATATTACATTTTTCTAATTATCAAAAATTTAAGACATTATATAAGATATAAGATTCATTATGGTTAACATATTATACATTGTAAATTACATGGTATTTGGGCATCATTATAGATTTTTATTCATGAAATATAAATCAATCATTTTTAACATAATTAAATAGCAATTTCAGCTCCAACTCTTGCATTGTTTCTAATTAAGGCAACATTAGATTTTGAACTCATCCCATCAGTAATTTCATTAACTCTTTTCAATAGAAATGGTGTAACTAAAGCTCCATTTACATTCTATTCATCCATTTCTTTAAGTGCCTATTTTAGAATGAAATAATACTTTATCAATAGCTTATTAAACAATTTAACCATCTGCTGCTTAATCTTATGGTACTGGTACACAAAAGAGAATTCCATTCTTGAGTTTCAATATATCAAATTATGCTTTAATTAATTCACTAGCTTCTTGACTAGAATTCACAAATGTACTACATAATAAACCTGAATCAGGAGTAAAAAAATTTGGAAAATGTTTAGTTTTATATCCAACTACAGGTACTCCTTATGTTTCTAAATATTCTAATGTTTTTGGAATATCTAAAATAGATTTAGCACCTGCACATACTACTGCCACTGGAGTTTATCCCAATTCAACCAAATCTGCAGATATATCAAAAGTATGTTCTGCTCCTCTATGTACTCCTCCAATTCCTCCAGTAACAAATACTTTTATTCCAGCCATATGAGCAATCATCATTGTGGCTGCCACAGTTGTACTTCCATATCCTTTTTATGCAATTATTTAGGCTAAGTCTCTTCTTGAACATTTCTAGTATTAATGTTTATTCTTTCCTATCTCTTCAATCTCATCTTATGTTAAACCAACTCTAAGTATTCCTTTTGTGACAATAATTGTTGCAGGAATAGCTCCTTTATTTCTAATTTCTTCCTCAACTCCCAAAGCTGTCTAAACATTTGTTGGATATTCCATTCCATGTGTTATTATTGTTGACTCTAATGCCACTACTGCTTGACCCTTCTCAAGTGCTTCTCTTACTTCTTATGAGATCTATAATAATTTCTCCATAAATAATTAATGATTTTTATACATTTTATTTTACACTTAGCTACTGCTTATTAAGTTGGTTAAAATAAGGATGATATAGATAATATTGCAAGTGAAGGTTAAGTTGGATAACATCTAATCAAAGAAGTAAGAGCCTTTCTAAGAAAAGGTATTACTACATTAAATAATCTAGGACATGATTAAACATAATTCTTAATCTATCTTAATAATATGGAAGCTAAAGTAGCATCTCTTACTTCAGATGAATTCTAAGAATAATGTGATACAGGTTTCATTACACATTATTATATTTAATAGAATTGCTAAATATTGAAGAAACATAAAGAATGCTCTAAGATTCTAAATATAGAGTTACATCATTAGAAAATAAAATAGCTCTATTAACCAATTATACCAATAAGTTTGCATAAATTATTGATGAAAAATAAGCTATACTAGAAGTGACTGAAAATACCGTTTCTGAATTAGTCTAAATTCGAGAAAACGAAGTTCAAAATATCAACTAAATATTTAGATTGCTATGTTTGAAAGACGAAGAAGTGAAATAACCATGTCCAGTGGTATTGTTCGTAGATCAAAAGGATTAATTGGTTAATTGATACCTAAAATGCCTGATCTTGCTCCTTAAACTAAATTTGCTAAACAAGATAATTAATTAGAGGTTAGTTACGATGACATACGATCAGAATTCTTATAGATACGATCTTAAGCTAAGGAATAATTGGGAGAATCAAATCCCTTTAGTCAAATTATTGGTACTTGTCTTTATCAACTAAAGAATCATTCGCCCAAATTCCAGAATAGACTGGAAATCTAGAACATGTTACTTATGTTGTTGACATGCTTGCCAATATGTATTAATAATTCAATATTCTTTTAGGGAATAAAATTTAGCAGATACAAATATAGCACTCTTTAATGCTGAATAATAAAGAATAGAATTACATGAAAGATTATTAGAACATGTTGATGAAAAAACTGAAAAATTAAATGAATAGATTTCAGAATTAGAATAAATGATTGCTGATATGGAATAATAGATAGAAGATCATTAAGCAGAAATATAAGTTGAATTAGAAAATCAAGAGAATATTCATCAGATCTATGAAGAATATATTGATGCACATGAATCTACTTTGGTAATCTCATCAATTTATAGTAGCATACACATGATGAAGATATTAAAAATAATATTTTGCTTATAAAAATGATTCGAACTCTTAAAAATGATTTTATGAATGATTTTGAAGCAAGTTCAAGATATATTTTGACACCACGTTTTCATTTTTAAAATTTATCCAGTTTATGAATATTATATATATTATTTTTAGAACTAGTAATAATATTTATTTTATATTCATTTAAATTTATAATTTCAAGTTCTACATTTTCAAAGTTATGAATAAAAATTTAATACTAATTTATTATTCAAACATTAACTAAAATTTAGAAATTTTATTAACAGTAGATATAAGATTAATTTTTGATTTTACATCAGGTAGTAATGTTAAAGATTTTAATTAGGACTATTGAAAACATGTTATAATTATGGAAAAATAATTGGATTTTTTCTGACTATTTATAAGAATTATATATTAGTATTTAAAATATATATACTTCTATCGCATCCAATTATTAAAAAAATTAAGATCATTATCAGTCATTTTTAATTCATTAAAAATTTCCCTAAAAATCCATAGAAAATTCTAAAAGGCTTCTAAGCTTTTTCTTAAACATTTAATAATAATTTGCAACTCGATTTTTATAACTATATTTAATATCCTATAGCTTATTTATATAAATAAAAAAAATAAAAAAAATGTAATGTTTTAACTAATCTTTCAGGGTTTATGGCTTATAACTTTTTCGAAATTATAAGTTATCAAAATCAAATAAAAAAATTGGATAAAGTTTTCTGAATAGAAGTGTCATCAGCTGAAATTAATTTAATTTTAATTCATCCAATATAACTTTAAACTTTTTTTGGAAACAAAATACTTTATTGTTATTTTAGATTCATGATGACAGATTAAATAGAAATTCAAATAAAAAGTTCAAGTAAAAATTCAATGAAAATCCCAAGTATTGATATTTTTTTATAAGTTTACAAATAGATTGAACACAATTCCAATTTGTTCAAAAAACCAATAAAACACCTTATAAAAATCGTTATTTTTCTAATCAATGTTAAGTCCAATTCACATTTTAAATAAAATAATTCTTATAATTAATCTAATATCCTCTGTCTTATAAAAATAGAAACAATAAAATTGTTTGTGTTTTTACTGTATCTACTTATTAATAAATTATTAATTAACAATAATTTTCATACATTTTAGGGGTTATGTGATATATTAAGAAATTAATTTATGTATTTTTTGCAATTTGAGCATAACAATATTCTAAGGATGATTATGACTCTACAAAGTTGCTTTAAACTTATAAATTGAATTATAACATTATACTTATTACAATAATTTTAATTCACAATTTATTATCTCTCATTATTTTATTAGAGATAAGAAATAGCATTTTTTATTTCAATTAACTATGTGAACTTAATAATTTTTTGTGTTTAACTAAGACAGTTTATTTTCATCTCTAAATTAAAGGATAAAGATGATATAATTATTAAGACTAAAAAATTTCTGCATAAGCATTTAAATTTCTAAATTATTTATTTTAAGATGTATTTGATATTTATCAGCTAACTTAAGATTATATGCGCATTCTATTCGTATATTGCAAATCCTAATGATAATCTTGATGGTAATAATACTAAAATAACATTAGGTTGGTCAATTTTAAATGCACATTCTCCGTACTTAACAAATTGTGCTGGTATTACTATTTTGGGAGGCATAACTTCATTTAATGAAAATACTATGATTAGTAGAAGCTTTGGAAATTTAGATCCTCATTATTAGATAAAACTGAAGTTCTAAATTTTAATGTATAAATAATATTATGTTAAAAGAATAGATTCTTTATCAACTGCTGACTTAGAAGTTGAATTGGATTAAGATAATTTTGCAGAATCAATTTCTACATAAATAATTGATCAATAAAACTATTGTGGATAAACCGATAAAAATGAATATATTAAATAAATATCATTTTAATTAGAACATACAAAAGACATTGTTAATATATTCACTAAGATAAAATAAAATAATTAATAAGGAGTAATTAATTTGTACTATTTATAGTTTTAATGGGGTATAAAAAAAATGGATTTTTAATTAGACATCTGTTATATAGGATGCTCTTTCTGTTCCGGCCCTAAACAATCAGATTGCTAGAGCTGGCAAAATTTGTTCTATTCATTTGAAAACACTTTATTTTCCAATTTAATTGTAATAAATCCCTAAACCTATGAATTCTCTTAGTATTATGAGTGTTAATAATGTGAAAGAATTTTAAATATAGATTTTGTTCAGACAAATACAAATAATCAAGCTTAATTAAAGTATTATGATATTTTATAAATTAGAGAAAATTATCTAATAAATTAAGAGTTAATATTATAATTATACGATGATGGAACAATGTAAATTAGTATGATTTTGGATTATGGAATACGGGAATTCAATTTTCGACTTTATTCTAGATGGGGAAGTGTAGCTCAACAAGTCTAAATATAATATCAATTGATTTATCATGTAGATGAAATAGAATTTCCTTTTTTTCCTGGTTGTTTAAATTATTTGAATAAATAATGTATGGAATGTTAGGAAGGGTGGGAATTTAATACAATAGAGAGGTTGTGTTAGCCTATCTGCGGTAATTAAAAAATTGAAGGAGATGAAGAATGCGATGATGGTAATTTTAAAGCGCATGATGGCTGTTTTGAATGCAAATATTCATGTATTTAAAATTGTAAACATTGTTAAATGGGTATATGTGAGTAATGTGCATCTGGATTTAAATTTGATGAAAAGATGGAAAATTGCCTGCCAATTTGTGGAAATGGAATGTTAGTCCCATTAATTTCAGAGCTTTGTGATGACGATAATTTAATATAAGAAGATAATTGCTATCAATGTATATAAGAATGTGATGAATACTGTTCAATTTGCATTTATTTTTATTGCTTTTAATGTAAGGAAGGTTTTTAAATAGTGAATGGTATGTGCAATCCTATATGTGGAGATAAAATTGTTTTACCAGAATTTGAAGAGTGTGATGATGGTAACAATCAAAAAAATGATGGATGTCATGAATGTAAACTTTTTTGTTATGATGGATGCGAAGTCTGTGAAAAAGGTATATGCAAAACAGATTGCAAATAGTTAAATGGATAAGGATATTATTTCATTGAGGATAGTTGTAAATCAATATGTGGAGATGGAATAATTGCAATTAATGAGGAATGTGATGACGGGAATGAAATTGAATTTGATGGTTGTTTTTAATGTAGATATACTTGTGAGACAAATTGTCTGGATTGTAAATAAGGTGAATGTTCCACATATCAAAGCATTTGTGGTAATTTTAAATTAGAAGGGGAAGAATAATGCGATGATGGGAATCAAGATCCAAATGATGGATGTTATTATTGTTTTGTAGAACCTAGTTGGAAATGTAAAAATACAAGTGATGGAAGCTTTTGCAATTTTATAAATCCGCCTTAATTTATTTCTAATTTCAGATCAATAAATAATAATAAGCAATTAGTTCTATTCCAGTTCACTTAAAATATAAAGATTATGAATGATTAGAATTTGACTGAGTCCATGATTTTAGAAGTGCTTAATGTTCCTGTTGAGTAATAAGTCTTTAAATTTATTAATAAGAAAGAACCTATAAAAGATGAAGTACAAGAAATATTTTATGAAATCTAAATTGAAATAAAAACTATGCTTGATTTTAAACCTATACTTAGTATAGATTTAAATGCTACTATTCTTAATAGTGATGATATAAAATTGGAATAAGAAAGATATCAATTAAGACTTGAAGTTCCATAATATTTGGAAAAAAAATAAGAATAATAAAGTAACAATATTAAAGACATGAATTCATTCATCATATATGGTCTATTAAGTATTGGAAGTATTACTTTGCTTTTTGGATAGCCTTAAATATTGACTGAAATATTGGATATGCTCCAATATATTTCATATTTAAAGTATATTAACATATCTTTTCCCAAGAATTTATTTATCTTTTTTCAAATAAGTGATCTAGTATCAATATCATTAATTGAGGATTACATCAACTTCAAAGAAATGTAAAAATAGTTAATTCCTCAGAATGATATATTACCTTAATTTGGTAAATTTTAAATATATTAGTAAAATGCAGATCTGATATCAAACATAACTACATAGATAATTTAAGTTTTTGGATTAGTACTGCTTTTTCTATTTGGAAGGATTTTTTTTAAATTAGTTTACAAATTTTTCACAAATACAAGAATTTTCTATCATATAACATATTTTTTGTCTAAAATAAAAAATAAATTTTTTCTGGGTTTAGTAAAAGCACTCTATAATGGAATTAGAAAATTGATTCAAAATGAAAAATATCTTACAAAAAGAAATTTAATTAACATAATGATTATTAATGGATGGGATATAAATTTTAAAAGTTTTCTCTATTTAAAATCTTTTGAAAATTATTAAATCAGAAATTTAATCTCAATAGTCCTTTCAATATCAATTATAGTCACATATGGATTCATTGCAATTAATGAAATAAAAACTGTAAATACTTTAAAGGTTAATCAAAAGAAACAATTAATTCAATAAAGATATTAAGCTTTAAATTTATTAAGGTAAATGTTTTTTTTATTTGTTTTAATTTTTTATTATCAGTCTGAAGTTTTTTAATTATCGTTATTGTTTGCCAGTAGTTTCGCATCGGTAATATTAATAATAAATGTAAGAAAAATACTTGGACTATAAATGTTCATTACATCAATTTTTCAAGAAGGATCAATACTATTATTTATCATAAGTTCTTTAGCATATACAAAAGATTTTTCTTTTATTTTTTCCTCAAAAAGTAAAATTCAAGTAGGGTGGATTCATATGGCTCTTCTGTCAACAATAATTGTATTTCCGATTTTAAGATTATCAAAAAATGCCTTAGCTGTTGCTATGGCCTAGTTGTGGAAAAAATAAAAGAAAAAAACGAGTAATCATTAAATATTTTACTTGATTAATTTATCCTGAACACCATAAAGAGCTTTATGTATAATCAAATTATAAATTTATATATATAACTAATTCAACATATCTAATTAGTTATACTATTACAATAATACAATTATTAAACAATAAAATTCTTTTTAAAATATTGAAATAACATAAGCATTTCAAATCTTTTTTTTAAATTTCTTGTTAAAAATAAATCCAAATTTCGATTTTGTTTAACTAATGAAATGAAACACATATACTATTTCATCTTCTGTAATTTTCTCAAGAGAAACTTATTTGTATTATTTTTAAGTTGGAATATATATTTACCTAAGTATGCAATTAATCAAATTAAGGATAAAATACTACATAAATAATAAAAAAAAATATTATTATAATTGAATAAATTATTTAATATTCTTTTTAGTCAACATCAATATATAATTTTAATAAACTTGTTTAGTATTAAAATATTTTATTAAATTTAAACAATATGTAATTTTTAATTGATTAGGTCACAATTCTAATTATTCGATCTTCATAAGTAGCTACTCTAATTCTACTTAATTCTATAGTACTTGAATTAATTCAATACTCTAAGTTGTAATTATTATCTTAAATTTATAGGATGTTTAAGTAGATGAAGTGAATAGTAAATGGAAAATTATGAAATTGTAATTTTTTTAACATTGATATTTTATAACTTGCGTTTATGATGGATCACAGTTATTCTTTTAATGAAGTGAACCTTGAATTACTTTTCCTATAAAGCATTTTACAGAAACTTCTATTTTCAAATAGGGTAGCCTTTAATTCACTATAAATGTAAATTATCCTATATTAAAATATTAGAGATTCAAATCAATGAAATTAATTATCTTATCTGGTAAATCATTTATATTTGATACTAATTTTCTTTGAGTTTATATCTTAATGCAATTAAAGTACTTATATTAATAGTTTAACCAAAGTTAAGTATGTTAACTTCCAGTCTATGTTCCACTCCCTAAAATTTAATAAATAAATACATGTGCCAAATTTATAAGTTATAGTATTAGAATCATTAGTGTATGTTAGGTTTAGTCTTATGTTCTGTGTGGTAAAATAATTTAGACCTTAAAGGTTAAAAACGAACCATGATTCAGATTCTATTTAGATTAGCTAACTAGTATATTAACCAGGAGAAGTTTATAATCCTAGATTAATTATATCAAATTCAGTTATGACAACTTAATAACCAATTTTTTTTAGATTTTAGAATTTAATATCTACTTTATTGATTTCAACAGAAACCGATTAACTTGTCAATTCACTAATCTGAGATGATTATCATAAAAAATATTTACTTTTAGTAGAAAATCAATATTGCCACTATATTAAAAACCTGTTAAACTCACAAATCCATTTTTTGCATTACTCAATGTATGTGGGAAAGTCATATTGACAATTGAGGTTGTACTGATATAATTTATCACTTGATAACTACAACCCAAAACAGCATACCATTTAACTCTTATAGCATATACTCTTTAACTTGAACATGAAATTTTTAGATCAAAATCTAAATTGATGAAATTATATATATATACATGTAGGTTGAATATCTGTGACTTACAAAAAAAAATATGCGTTTGTAAACCATGTATCAATTTTTTCAAGGGTTAGAATTATTTTTGGAGGATTAGGAAAGGAATCTGAAAAGAATATTGAACTAGTAACTGAATTATATTAGCAATTAAAAGTAGTATTAAAATAGTCATCGAAACCTTTGAATATGTTGGTATCATAAAATATTAAGCCAGAGACAAAACTTATCAAAATTATGAGGATTTTCATTTAAATCGTTTGATTTCAATAAAAATTAATATATTTAAAATTCTTAGAATTTAAATATAATTAATCAATTAATAATTGATTTTAATGTCTTTTTATATTATTTATAACATCAGCATAAAATATATGATTTATTTGAAGTATATATATAGAAATAACAATATATTTAAGGTTTAAAAAATATAATGAGTGGTTAATTCAAATTTCTTCTTCTTCATCAATTTCTTATTTTAATTTAGTCAATTCATAACTTTCATTTGCTCTTGACTATTTTTATATTTTTGCTTTTTGAGTTAAAATACAATAAAATACAAGACATATCAATAATGTTGGAAGTAGTATTTATTTAAAGTAATCAACCTCTAATTGTATCTATTCAAATTGATCTTAACAATTAAAATCAGAAAAATAGAATTTCTAAGTATTTTAATTAATTGTCATAAGTTTTTATGCTAAAAATGGTAATCCTAACTCAATACGATTTAATTTAGATCTATTAAATCTTAATATATGAGTATCATTTTAAAGTTTTAAGATATATGATTCTGATTCCATAATAATTTTTTCATCATCATCAAATATAAATTCAATATCTGGTAATTTTAGAGATTGATTCTTCACAATTAGATTATAGGATTCTTCTACAACTTAAAATTTGGAGAAATATGTTAAAATCTTTTGATAATTTTCTTCAGGTAATAAAATATATGGATCTCTACTATCAATAAATGTAACCTTGCCTGTTAGATTAACAATTGTTTAATTTTGTATTTTAATTAGTTTAAGATCTACTTAATATTTAGAGGAAGAATTTGATTTGTAATTTATTTGATACTTGTATGGATTCTTAAACTCTTTTGAAATAAATCCTTTATTAAAACCAAGACATATATGAAAAATATTGGAAATAAAAGGATTCTATGGATATTTAGATGCTACAACTATAAAAATCATAAATTACATCCTCTTTATTGTCCTAAACCTAATATTTCCTCTTGATCTGTAGAAACGTATAACATCTGTTCTATTTTTTCTTCTTGTAACACATTGTTCAAGATGATATCATTTTGCATTAAATTACCATCTCCTATGACACAATTGGGAGTGCAAGAAGAACATTCAACCTCATCTCCAAATGGAGATGAATTACATTTGACTTCCTATCCTCTAAGTTTCATAAAGGTCAATTAAGAATTTAAATCAAGTGTCAAGGACCCTTATTGATAGGCTAATTGAAAAGCAAAGGTTTTTGGGTTTTACGTGATGGGATAGATGTGTGATGCCAAAGCACTTGTAATTAGAAATATTATCATAATAATAATTCATAATGCAATTGAAGCAGTTGCCAATGTTGTGGTGACAATTCCGATCTTGAAAATGAAATTAAGCATTTTTTAATGTACTTATTCAGAGGTGACATTCTTTTTATGTTATTCCCAGTTCTTTAATTACAAATCCATAATTTCAAACCATAATTTTGGAACCCATGCCAATAATATACAAACAGTATATCCATGAGGCAATTAAGGACTTTCATCATAAGAACAAAGTGTTTAATATGATTTGTATGGATTTTCATGATGATCTGAATGTCTTTACAATTTAAAGAGAAGATAATTGGATAATCTATGAGGAGCATTCCAACTGTGTCTAATATCTACTTTCTCATATTTTCCAGGTTCTATTTCTTTTCTGCTTAAACCATAATGTTCGATATAATTAATGGTCTCTAAATACACAACACTATTAATAACAGTACCTAAGAAATAGGCACATCCCAAGAAACCAAAGTAATAATAAAAAATACATGGAATAATAAAATAAGAAATTGTATACCTATGATATAATTAATTATTACCATATCATTCTATTTTAGATTCTAATAACTGATCCATATTTCTTTTACATAAGATCAGCTTCATAATTCCAAGCTGATAGATATGAACCGATTATGGTTTATGGTAAAAAGTGCCATATTTTTTATCCTTTCAATGAGGATGCTGGATCTTTAGGAGTAGCAACATGTCTATGATGACCATGAAGATGTTCTATTGCAAAGTGTGTGTACAGGTTTCTAGCTAATGTAACAGTTCCCAATAACTTGTCAAGCAAATTATCCTTATGAAACAATTCATGAGCAATATTGATATTAGAGGCAGCCAAATTACCACACAAAAAGATTATACCTAGTTTATTGAATAACTAGATCTCATTGTTTAAAAGGAAATTGATCATCCAAACCAGACTAATCCAATCAAAGATGACGCACACATATAATGGAAGCTTAAATTTCATCTCTGACTCTAGTTTCCTAATAATAATCTATTGGGTTATTTACATCTATTCATCCTTGGTTGGATTACGAAGATCTAAAGAGAAAAATTCGTCCAAAAAAGGAATTAGAGTATAAACAATCCAAATAGCTATCCAAGCATTTTCAAAGTAGGAAATCAATATCATAGCCATTGTATATAAAAATGGAACCGTATAGTATTGATAACTACTGAATAGAAGTGAGTCATCATTGAATATCTTGATTTTACTGTTTATCATGATTGTAATTTTAATATTATAGTTCTATGACGTAAAAATTTGGAACTTGAGATAATAATTTATTCTAAAAAGTTTTCTTTTAATTAATCTATTTTGTAATTAAATTAATAAATATTATATAATGGGTTTATGCCACTCAATTACTTAATTTTAAGGAGAAATCAATTTCTAAGTGACCAACGCTGATTACTAAAATGGTCATTATAGTGGTTCAATCTTAATTAGCAATCCAGCATTGGATAACTCTCATTACCTAAATGTCAATCTGATTGGGATTGAGCATATTACTACAAAAGGATTCACTATTTCTAATTAATTCTTAGATGTCAACCTTATGCGACGAAAACTAAACGGAGAAGCTCAACTTCATATCCCTTTTGATCAACATATTTAATGGTAACCTATTTATTAGAATTATTATTCAATAATTGCTGAATAAACTCTCTCCACAATAATCTATTTAGAATGTTTCTTAGCTGTAATTAAAGATTATAATGATAGAAAAGTTCTTCAGCTTCTTCATTGAGTAGCAGTGTTGTACCTAATACTAGGTAAATTCATGTTGTTAAAACAAAAAAGGATAGATATGATACTAAACCGATATCTCTCAATTATGAACCAAAATTTGCTGGTTTTGCTCCAATAATTTAGTTCAAGTATAGATTTAGTTATAAATATAGTTTGGATAAGGATGTATATAGGATAGGTGAACATTTAAAAGGGATATTATAAATTGATAATACAAAATCTCAATATAGTTTAGTGAAGAATCAGATTACTATTTTATAAATCATTGATTTACTCATAAAAAATGATACCAAATATAAACGAGTAAGATTTGCTAATGATTATTAGTTACCTCCACAAACAATGATTTAGTAAAGATTGGATAATATGCATAGTGAAAAAAGAACTCTAGATATAGATATAGTTATAACCTAATCTTTTAAGGATGCATGTTCATATCCAGGAAAACTTTACAAAGTTAATTATTTAATTCAATTAGAATTTATGTGGGAAGATTAATAAACCCATATTCTGTCTAATGAAATTGTAATTAATAATGATTATAATTGATAACTTTTGGTGAGTTTTAAACTTTATTATATTTATACGATTATAAATTATTAATCAATTTTTAAATCCTCCTCTGTATTTTATATTTCCTCTTATAAAATTTGATTCTTACAAATCAATCTCATCTTATTTTTATCTGTTTTTTTTTTTTTAATTTTTCTATTCATTTCTATTTCCTCCAGATTTTAAATCAAAAGCATCAGCAAATCCATGTAATCCTTCTGTCATTAATTCTTCATCATTCCCAACATAATTTTTAGGTATTCTCTTCTTTGTTTTACTCCATTTGTTCTAAACTTCATCTTATTTATTTTATTATGAATCCACTTATTTAATTTATTCTATTTGGAAATCTTATTATTATGATTATTATTATTATTATTATGATTATTATTATTATTACTATTATTTATTTTACTTTGACTCTCTTTTCTCTTTGTTATTTTTTTTTTATAATTTTTCATATTCAATTAATTACTGCAAATACTTTTCAACATAAATTATTGGATTATATATATCATTTCCAAAATCCAATACTTAAAAACTAATTGTTAAACCACTTTCTTCACAATCTTATATGTCTTTGATACTACCACTTGTTTTTATTGAATTTTTATTATTAGGAAATTAATTCTTTAATAATTCTAAAACACAAGTTGCCACACATATGTCTTCACCTTGAGCTTCAATACTGATTGATTTAGATTCATTGAAACGATCTCTTAATTATAAAATAGCTTCAAGGAAGTATTTAGCTGCATCAACTTCTTTTTAACCTGAACTCTTTACTTTAATCATATATTTAATTTTATAAAATGGATTTCTTTTAAGAAGAAGAAGAAGAAGAACATCCAGAATAAAAAGGATGTTGTGCATTTTTAACAATCAAATATTATTAACCATACTTTAATGTCTCTGAAGATGATGTGATTGATAGAGTTAAAGCTTCATTTCTCCCATTTAGGAAGGACTTTCATGAACGTGTTGCAGGAAATCCTGATCTGTAAATGCAATTTTATATATCTAGATGGGGTCCATTATGGATTAGTGCAACAATTATCTTCCTCATTACAGCTGTCGCAAATATTAACTAAATGAATTTAGAAGGATAAACAACATATTCAGTAGCTTATGTTCCATAATCAGCAGCACTTTTGTATTGCATAAGTTTTGGAACTCCAGTCATTCTTACACTTGTAATGAAGATTCTAGGTAGTGATATCAGATTCTTTCATACACTGTGTCTTTATGGCTATTCCATGTCAATTTTAATGCCTATCACTATTTTATGTGTAATTCGAAATTCTATTCTTTAATGGTGCTTAGTTGGCTATGGTATGATCAGCTCATCAAGTTTCTTAATAATGGGAATGAGAAAGTATAAAAATAAATTAAATTAGAATTTTAGGTGATTTGGAATAATCCAAAAGATATATTATTATTGGGATTGTATTAGCTATGTAATTTAGTCTATATCTGCTTTATAAACTAGTATTTTTTAAAGTTATAGAAAAGAATTCAACAGAATGAATGAAATATTAATAATATATATTTTTTTATTATTAATTACGGAATTGTTGATAAAATATTCTGCTTTATTAAATTACTGAAAATTGCAAATAGAACTCAACATAAATAATTTAAATGAAAAATTTGATCAACTATAAAAAAACACATTTATTATTAGATATATTTTAAAATTAATAGAGAAGATTAAAGAAAGTTAAATTATTCATAAACCATTAAGAGTAAGATAATTTAATTAATCATATTAAAAATATATTTTGTAGTAAAATATTCATATCAAAATAAGTAATGATATATATACTATAAGATCTGATAAATAATGACATATACTAAATTAGAACTTATTATATTGGGATTAATTTTGATTAATTATGATATTACTTTTAGAAGTATAAATCCTTATCAAACTTTGATTAATAAAATTGTTATAAATTTATAAAAAAATATATGGAATATTATTAAATTTATTATTAAAATTGTCTCAATCAGAGTATATTGATTTCAAAAAAAAAGTATTCAACAACCAATAGTTAGGTTTAGTAATTGATATTAATTTTAATAAGAAATTTTAATCTAAAATATCTTATTAAAGGTTTTTATGTAAGTTATCTCAAAATATAGAATTTTATGAGTCATTCTTATTAATATTAAAGCTGTGTTTGATTGCTATATAATATTAAAATATCTAATATATTTCTTGATGTAGTCACCACTAAATACTGATGATAGCATAGGATAAAATAATTTTTACCAAATGGCTGATTATATATAAAGTCCTAATCAAACAACCTGCTTAGATATTTTAGGGACATAAGTGGGAATCTTCGTTTAGTAGAGATTTGAATTTTTCTAAGTGATGATTGGTAGAACTACTTAATTTAAAATATTTACTAGGATTTTAGACTCCAAATGTATTTAAAGTATATGCAGCGAATGATTAAGGATAGTAGATTGAACAAAAAGAATTATTCAAATGTAAAGAAAAATCTTCAGCTTGTGCAAGATTGACATTAGGGTAACTCTTATAGTAAAATTTAGTCCACCTTATCGACCATTTGAGATGTTTGTTAGTAATTATGGGTGTAAAGACTTTTAGCCTAATATGGATTAATTATTTTAAGAAAACTCTGATCGAATTGTATTTAGATTTGATAGATAGTATGCATGTACTTGCTGTTGTTTGAATAGGTTATTATATTTAATTATGTAATTTAGGCCACGATTAGATGTATAATATGTTGAAAATGGTTAAAATAAGAGTTTAGGTTATATTATTAACCCTTAGTATTGTTGTACACTTGGTTGTCATATTTATGATTCTGATGATAAATTGAAATACATTATAGAAGGTAGCTGTTGCTAATGCTATTTTTGGTGTAGATGTCCATGTAGTGATTAATGCAACAAAGTTGATTTTGATATCAAAACTTCAAATGGGGAAGTATATAATTAAACTAGTTATCAAGGTTGTTGCTCCTATGAAAAAGGAGGCCAAAGGTTGTTGTTAAAATTGGGCTGATTTCACTGATAATATTAGTGTCGTATTTCCTTAGAATGCATCAAAAGAAGATAAAGCTTTAATTCTAGCTGCCACCATTTTTTTTGATTACATGTATTTTGAGAATAAAGATGGTCCATAACCATCAAATTGAAAGTAATGATTATTATTCAATTAAATCAATTGTGTATCATATATAATTAATTATTTTATCTTTAATCTTGAATTAATAGAATCCAATTAAAGTAGTACTCTTCATAGATTATTGAAAATAATAAATGAAATATAATCATTTATATTATTAAATTACTAATTTAATGTATAATTTTTTATCAAATTTTAAAATTACATTCGAATGCGATTTCTGTTAAAATAGTAGATAAATACATAATTTTAGATCAAATGATTTTTAAAAATATCTCAGAAATTAAGTTAATATTATTTTTTAATTTATTGGTTAATATAATATTTAATTGAACGAATATTATCGAATGACAATTTTTGACATTAAACTAAAAATATTGTTTTTAATTTATTGAGCAGTAATTCCTTAAACATAATCTCATTCAAATCTTTATTAATTTTCTTATTGTTAATTAGTAGAACGTTTTATAACATTGGAGTATTGTTGGATCTAAAATCAAAGATTTTGGATATTTAAATAAATAAATTTTTCCATTAAACTGAAATTGGTATTTAGAATTCTTTCTAAATGTTTTTAACTTCCTGAATCACATAATTATAATTATAACTCCAATCCTATACATATATAAAAATAGCCTGATATTAAAATATTTTCTAATAATGAATTAAAATTCGACTTCTCATTACATTTAGTCCAAATGTAAATTATTATATTTAAAAATAGTACGTGAGCTAAATTTAGAAGGTAAATAAGATGAAACTTTTGAGTAAGTAAACAAAAATATTGAGAATAATAAAAACAATATCCTTTTATATAGAAAAAAGGGTAGATTTTGTTAAATTTAAATAGCTAATCTTTTATCTTAATTGGGAAAATTATAGGAAGTTTTACATACTTGGGAATAGGGCATTTAAAATAATATTCATGATATCAATTTTTATCAAGAAAAAGGCATTCCTTATTTTACAATATATTAGCTTAAGTACTAAGGAATTAGGGCAAATGGAATGAGATTATTGAATTATATGATTTTGGTATAACAAAAAATGCTAAAGATGTTTCATTTTATTTTTTAAAATGTATCAGACTAAGATTAATATTCATTAGGTCGTGAATTATTTGAATAAAATAAATTTAAAGAAATAATTGAATGTTGGGATTAAGGAATTTAAAATAATAAAGAGTTTAAAATATATTACATTTAGAAAGGTAAATTTCTAAATCATCCATATTCAAAGCTAACTCTATTAAAAGTTTTTATACTCTAAATAATGGAATTATAAATAATGAAGGATGGAGAGAAATTGCAGACTGTTGGGGTTAAGGAATCACCTATAATAAAAATGATTACTCGTTCTATTTAGAAAAAGGTAAATCTCATTTTAGATATCTTTAGTGTAAGCTTTAGAATAATTAGAAGAATATTAAGAAATATTGGAATGTTTAAATTTAGGGCTCAAACATAATAAATATCAATTGCTTTTATATCGAAAAAAAGGTAATCTTTAAATGTATATGATTAGGAGAAATTTTAGAAAAAATGGGAAAAGATCAAGAAATAATAGATAATTATGATCAAGCTATTTCAATAATGGTACACCCTGGTATTTATGAGGAAAAAGGTACGAAAATTATTAATAATTTAAGCTATTGCTTTAACTAAATAATAAAAATGGAAGGAAGTAATATAATTTTGCAACTGTGATAAATAAAAGTTAAATAACTATTTTTTTTTAGTCAAGATATAAAGTAATAAATGATTATATTATTTAATAGTTTAAGCTCTATCGGAATTAAATGAATAAGATTAACTCATTAAATTATGTAATGAATTCATACATAAAAATGATATGTATATCTATAAATTCAAAGGTTAATATATTATTTTGAATTTAGCCTAAGCATTATTTAAATAAGGGTTGTTTGAATAAGTTATTGAATCATGGGATGAAGCTATTAAAAAAAATGAAAAAGTACAAGAATTTTATGTTGAAAAAAGTATTTTAGATGGAACTATTTTTAGTTAAAGCTTTAAATGATTAAAATAGATATCCAGAGGCTATTCAAAATTGTAATCTTGTAATCAATTTGTAATTAGATAATTAAATAGAAATATAAAATTGGAAAAGTATCAAATATTCTTTTTCTATTTAGTGAATATCTTAGAAAAGTAAAGTAATATTAGAGAAGCTCTAAAGATATCTAGAATTATTGGAACAATTAGAAAAATATATTAAAAACAAATTTGATGTCAAAATAAACAGCTGTCACTTTATTAAAGTGTTCTAAATAAATATTTTAAAGTTTTATAATTCTAAAAGAATAGATTATTTTTTTAATTATAAAAATTTTTTGATTTATAACCTTATCTTTAAATAATTATTTCAATACATTTATAATATTATAAATAATATTTTTCATCATCTCCTTTCATTAGTTTGTCATAAGAGCCTGTTTTATTTATGTTTGATTTTTTTCAGTTATACTAATTGGGATATAAGTTTCCCTAACAAAACTTAAAAATGCTGAATAACTCATTTTATAGAAATATAAATATTGGAAGGAGAGAAGAAGTATGATATATGGGTGTCTGCTTGTTTATGAGAAAATTTTATTCTAATACTGAATAATCAACGGATAATTAAATGGGTCATGTCAGCAAAGGATTATTAAACTATGATGATGGGGAGAATTAGCATTTTTACTCTTTCATTATTAACTTATAAAATGACACCTAGAAGTTGTAAACTTTCTTATGAATTTCCTCAAAGATAATATCTATTAGAACCAAAAGTAAATTATGATTTTATCTAAGCTTAACTTTCAATAAAAACTAAGGAACCCTTGTAGAATGAAATTGAAATTTTGATGACACAAAGTTTAAGAGCTAAAGAAATTAATATTTATGTTAGCCTGGTTATTAAGATGATGATATAAATCTACCATGTCTACTAATATGCTGTAGATTAAATCATAGTTGATGAAGAAGAATGTGATGATGATAAGATGGTAATCCTTAATGTTAATTTTCATGATAAGATGAATGTTAAATTTGTTTCAAAGGTAAATATTATCAATGCAAAAATAATTATTAATAAATTGGAGTAATTCATACATGCATATCAATTTTGGTGATTTAGTAATTAAAAATGAATAAGGCGATGATGGTAATGATAAAAAATTTTAATGCATGTCATCTTTTTTAATTCTAATGTTACAATCATTTATCCATTGTAGTTAAGGGATTTGTTATAAATGTGATGAAATAAATGCTTGGTATTCAACAGGTACTAAATGAGAATTCATATGCGTAAATGGAATAGTTGCTAAAAGATAAGAATAATGTGATGATTCAATTTTATATCCTTTAGATTTGTGAAATTTGTGAGATTGTAGGAAATGAATAATGAGATAGTTAGATGATATATTATTTATAATTTTTGAGGATTGGTTGTTTAAGCGTCATCATAATTAACTATGTTATAATTTACTTCTAATTTTACTAACAGTAATATTTTGGATATGACTGTCTGATTTGCAATAAGGGGACTTAAAAATTTTTATAAATAAACTCTGATTAAAATGATTAAAAAATTGATTATCCAATTACAGATTTTCAGTAATATACTGCTTTAAGATGAGGAGAAAATCAATTGTCAATTAATTTATGAATGAATGTGGTAATGGACTTCTAGTCAATAAATATGATGAGTGTGATGATGGAAATATTTTTGGAGGAGATGGATTTTCTTCATTTTTTAATATGAAGAATTCATATCACTATATAACTGAGGAAGAGTCATTAAGATTATGAGCATATATTGAAGCTCATCAATATTTTATCTGATAAAGCTAGTTCAATATAATTATGAGAATTAACTTTCGCTTAATATGTTAAAATATAAACAGAACTAGTAATTGAAGATATTTGTTATTCAAAATTTCTCCTTAAACTCAAGATTACTATACAATCAATAGCATTGATAAAAAAATAATTTACTTGGGCTTTCCTCTATATTAAATTTAAATCGAATTTATAAGTTGATACAAATAAGTCCATAATCCATAATTCATTAAGATTTATAGATAAACTAAAAGAAGATTATTCTTCCTTTTGTATTACCTGAGACGAAAAATACTAATTATCTTTAGTCGTATTAATTAATGATGTTATGATGTATTCTATGGTAAATATATCAAGCTTTGCTATCAGTTAATACAGTTATTAGATTTATTATAATCTTTATCGTATATTAAGTTTATGTAATATAAATTTCCTCCTCGTTTAATTGAATTTTTGAACACTTATGCTAAAATATCATTGTAACCAATCATGAAGTATATTAAGGTAGATTTTTTATTGGCAAAATTAAATGGTGAAATCACTAATAAATCAAATAAAAAAGTCTCGAAAAATGCAAAATGCTTTAAAATGAGTGCATCATTTATAATTTATCTACTTTATTCTCTCATTTAGTCTGAAAGTTTTTTAAATTTTGTTCTTAAACTTTCTAATCGTAATAAGAATAATGTTACACTCTTATAACTTATAGATTTTTTTTAAGAAAAAATTAAGAAAAAGTGATTAAAATAAAAATTGAATATTTCTATTTAGGAAACTTTAAAGCTTACTAAGCGATTATACATTAGCTTCTGTTCAGTACATTATTGCAATTTCCTAATTATAAATTTAATAATAATAAATTTGAAATCTTAAACAGTTTTAAAGCTATATTTTGATTACAATTTATCTTGATGGTTACTTTTACATTATTTACAGTTTTTACAGTTACTCCTGCACAAATACAAGATTTCAGGAAATGGAAATACTTTTATTACCAATCCAAAAGCTAATTTTGATTTTTGATTGCTTAATGTATGTTCTTTTTATTTATAGAATATTGTTTTATATTGTAATTCTATTACAATTCATTAACTATCCAGAAGCATAATCAATTTTACTATCTATGTTATCGTTTATGTATTTGATTTACTTGGTCAAGTTAGAACCTTTACAATCTCCATTTGAATTTTTAATAAAAAGGATACTTTACTAATCATTAGTAATAATTTATCGTATTTGATTATATAAAAAATGAATAATATTTCTATTTTTTTCTTAATTGGTTTTAACATTTTTAATGCTGAAAGCTAAATCTTAATATGATATCATATCTTTTATTTATTATTTCATCAATATTTATATATTTTATTTAAATAAAATTGAGACAAAGTACCTTTATCAAACATGCTCATTTAAAAAATATCAATATCTACTATGATATAAGTGATTTTGCAAAATATAGTAAATAAGTTGAATTAAGAACAAGTTATGTTAAAGAGAAAATTTTTTCACAACCTTTGGATTAGATTTCAGACAATTAAACAAAATCAACGTTCCATATTTGATGTAGTATAAAAAATAGAATTTTTTTGTTAATTTTTATGACTTAAAAAAATTTTATTAGATTTAGTTTAAGCCTTTAGATACAAATCTATGGAAAGGATTCTTTGTTTTTGAAAGATTCATTAGTATTTGACATATATTAATAGGAACTTTCCTTTATTTTACAATCTAGCTAAATAAAAATATTAAAATTATAGACAAAAGTAGTATTAAAACAAAAAAAATGTTGAATTTCAATTCTTATGATGCTCTTACTTTTATAGATATGGCATAAAGTCTCAATCCAAATAATGAGAAATCATATTCTGATATCAAAAGGTTTTGCCGTATTAATCTAATTAAATTTTCTTTATTTTTATGTAATTTGCAAAGGTACTTAGAGCCTAAATCTACCTACGCAACGATAAAACATTTAAATATAAAGGCATTTTTTATATGTAAAATATTAAATAGGCGATGCAATTTAATGTTTCAAAAATGCAATCATTCTAAACAATAGGAACGACGAAGCTTCCGAAAACAAAAGGTTTAAACATATAAGATTGTTAGCTTTTTCCCTGAATATTTAAAAAAAAATTAAAATATTTATTATTAACAATCTTTCTTAAAAAGACTCTATTATATCAAAGCGGAAAGGTATTTTAAGTTCTAATATTAAGCTTACACACTAAAATTATTTTTAAAGTGTGTTTGATACTGGTTTTAGAAAGAAAAAAGGAAGCAAAATATATTTTTATGAAGCATTAAGTATAAGAAAACTTAATTCAGAGTAGGATTTTATTCTGTAATAATTAATAAAAACATGAAATTATCATAAAATAATTTAATGATCTATATACCTATTTCTTCAAATGAGAATAAGTTTGCTGAGGTGTTTATTAAATTTTTTTCACTATCAGAAATTATTTTTCAAGACCATTCTTGGATTATGGATTCGTTGGTTTGGGAATATTATCCATATGAAATCTCATATATATGTTTTTATAATTCCACTATTTATTTTTTTTGTGATGAAAGAGAAATATTTATAAATATAAATTTATTCCGCCAAACTCAAAGTTAAATAATGTTAATAATATCTTTAAGAGTTACCTTTTAATTATTTTGATGAATAAATTCTAAACCGTTTTAATTTCTAAAAAAACGTGATTAAATATTATAACTCGTAGTTAACTATCACAAATTTATTGATGTATAAAATATATATTACCTTCTACTTTCAAAAAAAAAACATGATGTGTGTATTTTATCTTTAATGAAAATTACTTATATTTGAATGCCTATTGAGTTTCATTCATAATTCGTAGGCATTCACCTTAGATTAATTACATTAACCTTAATTGTCTCTCATAGAGAAAAACTAATGGAGCAATTCTCAAATTTTAATAGTATTTATAATTCAAATAATTTTAATGAATAAATTTGAATCGCCAAAATAAGTAGGAGATAGGTGTGAGAAAATAATAAAAATAAGTGAATTAATTATTTATCTGTTATTTAATGAAATTTTATATTATTAATAATAATAAAAATTATATTAATTCCCATAATACTAAGTTTATAAAACATTTTATACCGGTGTGGATTTATTATTTAAATTTTTACTTAAAATGCCAAGCCCATTGAATAAATTAGCATCCACATTACGTGGAGGTGGTTGTGGTTGTGGATCTACAAAACGATTCCCATCGCAGATATAGTCTTAAAGTCTGATATTTAAGACATAGAAAATTTCATTACAAGATTTGATTCTTTTGTCTAAACTATATACACTAAAGCAGCTGTTGCTGCTAATTAATTAGAAGCTTAAGAAATAATGATAGCCATATAATGGTTTATGTTTTAAGAGGTAAACATTTACAAACTCATCAAGAATGCTTCATGAAATCATACAACTTAATTATAGATGGAATCCTAAAATTATTGAAAGGTTGTTTGATTTACGTCAGAACAGATTAATTTAAATGCTTATTCATCTTAAGGACTAGCTTCTTTATCTAAAGTGATATTTAGCTTCCATCTAAGAAAGGATTAGAGATTTATGAACTGTGACACATAAAAGCAATTTGTGGATATTTAGATAATAAATTGAAATAGAGAAAAATGATTTAATTCAAAATTAATTGGAACTCTACCTTTTCCTAACAAAATCTTCTTTTCAGATGGCCCCAAATGATGGTAAAGATAGAGATGATATCGTAAACGGTTGTTTAGATGGTATCTTTAACTCAATATTTGATATGAAACCTAATACTGAATTATTTATGTAATTGTATAAAGGAGCATGCCTATTTTACAATAAGTATACAATTTAAAAAAATAGAGAATAATATGAAATTTATTTTTAAATTGATATGTTGCAATGGGAGATCATATTTAATTTAAAAAATGATAGCTAACAGAATTTGGAAGAAATAATTATACAAATTGAGAATACACATTAAAAACTTGTGAAAAATTCAAGTAATTGGAAAAATCATTTTTTGTGGATCTAAATGATTGGAAAAATCTTAATATATAATCCTCTGATAACCAAAAAAAAATTAAAGCTGACTAGCTCTTTCAATTTTGAAACCAAATGGAAGGAATATCTGAACAAAGGGTTTCTGATTTAAATGAATCATAGCAATGACTAAGCTGTAATTTTACTTAATTAATTTAACAATAAAGAATTAACTTAAATTGATAAATTAATATTAGAGGACACTTTCAAAGAATGGGAAAACTTCATGTTGCTAAAAGACTTCTTAATGAATGAAAAAAAAGATAATATCTATTTCACATTTGGTGCTTATTTAAATTTACAATTAGAAAGTATAGGAAACTAAGAAAATGAATATATTTAAACAGTTTGTAAAATTTAATAATTGTTTGATTTCATCATCTCTAATAAACTACTAGCTTTAATTCAAAAAAATGATGAGAGTTTGGGAGTCATAGTTACAAATTATAAATATTTTATACAAAAAAATTAGCATTATAATTTCACAATAGAATAAGCCACTTATAATTCATAATTAAAAAGAATAATTCTAAATTTCAAAGAATATTTCCAAAACACTCTAAAAATCATTAAAATTATTAGGCTTAGTTTAAGGAAATAAGATTTTTAGATGGAATAATGTGAATAGGAAAAGATTAATGAATTCAAAATTTTTTAATAACTTAGATATATTTTGAGACTATTAGAATCAATATTGTCACAAAAAATTAAAGATATTAATGATTAAAGAAATGAATCAGATGAAAGCGTAATGTTTTAGTAAGAGATAGAGTTGATAAAAGAGGAATTATAAAATTTAAACTTAGCAAATAAATAATTTTCTTTTGCCAATAAGTTTTAGTAAAAGTTACTTGCCTTCCCTAATGCAACTCTTAACAAATAAAACAAATAAAGTTTTTTGAAAGAAGCTTAATACATGTTAAAACTTATCGAACAAACTGAAAAATAAGTCTCATAACTAGAAACTGTGTTACTTAAAAAGGATAACTTAATTCAATACTTTTAAAGCTTATTGAATAACCTAAATATTTATTATGAAAAACAGATCTAAGAAATTCAAAATTACTTTAATGAATTACTTTTAAGTTTTAAGACCATTATTATATTTCAATATGAAATAGAGTCTGTTTCTTTACCTGAAAAATTAATAGAAATTAAATAACAATATTGTTGTAAGCCTTCATATTAATTTATACAAAAATAAAGATTGAACATTTTAAAGCTGAAATAACAATTAATTGCTTTCAAAGAATGTTTTTTACAAATATTAAAAATACCATTCGAAGAATTTTAATAGTTACAAAATTTTATAAATTTGGATGAGTTTCTACTTGATGTATTTAAGAATTATCCAAAACGAATGATTTTTTGTGACAGTTCATTTTATAAATAAACTATTGCTGAATTAAGTGACTTATAAATTACTGAATAACACTATTAAAATAATTTAATAGAATAAAAAGGAATTTTAGATTATCTTATATTTAAATTAACTCTAGAAGAATAAATGATTGACATGGAAAGAATAGATTTAGAATTAATAGAAAAGGAATTTGGAGAATTATTTATAGAAGAAACTGATTATTTAAATATTACTGAAAGAATTATCAAAATTATAAATGGCCTTTAAATAGACTTTTCATTTAACATTATCAATAACAAAAATCTTAATCAGAATTAATTGAATATTGAGAGAGGAAAGTATGAGATTTTATTGTTATAATTAAGAAAAATTGACTACTAAAAAAATTGTTAAGAGGTAGAATATCTTAAATTGTTAATAAGTCAGATTTAAATCCTTGTTAGATTATTCAAAGCTTCCATTAATCAAGATCTAAAAATTTTTGAAATGCCAATCATTAAAAGAGTAAATGATTTAAAAGAAAAATTTGATGAATTTAAAACATAATATGATGATTAGAATAAAAGTGATAATGAGAATACTGAGTAACTCAAATAATTAAATACTCAAATTAATGGCCAAAAAAAAATTAGAATCAATTTATTAATCATTATTAGTATTCTATAATCATTATTAATAAAAATCAGACAAGAGAAACAAAAGTTGGCCTAATTCCTTGAAAATGTTAAAAATTTTACTAAAAGTCTTGATTTGATACAGGAGTGTTACTAGGAAATGTATAAAAGTTTTTCAAGTGGTTTTGAAACATTTATAAGCTAAATTAAGGAAAAGCAATCCACAACTGCTAATTTAGAAAAATAGGAAAAAGAATCAATTAAAGAATACTTCTCAAGAATTTCTATCGACACATTGTAGAATGAAAAATAATCAGACAACAAAAATAATTAATCAACGAATATTGTTGATTTTCTCTTTAAGTTAATGGCTGAAACAAAAGAAACTTTAAAAATATCTAAGTGGGAATTCTAGGAAATTTAATTTTATCAAGATTATCTAGTTCAATTAACTAATAAAATATACCTACAAGAAAACGATGAGGAATATGAAGTCAAATCAAATCAATAGGATTAATTCTCTATTGATTAATAAAAAAATGATGAATGGAAAATAAAATAGGGTTTCGTATTAACTATAATTTAGATTTCATAGAATAGAATAGCTTTACAGAAACAATTACTCGATTTTGTTAAAAAACACTCATTTAATTATGGGTTTTAGAAAAAGACTTAAGAGTTAGAAATTTATTGAAAAATAAACACTTAATAAGTTTATAGATGGAAATTTTGTCAAAAGATTGGTAGACATAACATGATAGAATTGCAGGAGAGATGTAAAAAATGCTGAAGAGAATTGATGAATTGCAAGAATAAATTACCCAGGAGGCAAATCTTAACAAAAGAGAGCTGTAATTGAAAGAAATGGATGAAACAATTCAGCAATTAGATGAATATATTTAAAATATCAACGAAATGGGTTAATAACTCAGGTTGGTAACTGATTTTGTAAATCATATCAGAAAGCGTTTGTTAAGAGTTGAGGGAAAAATAAATCAAATAAAAGAGTAGCTCAACAACATTGGGAATGATCTTAAATTTTTGAGAGGAAAATCAGTTATATAATTGCTTGAAATTAGAAAATGGAAAGTGTTGAAGGAAGCAGCAGAAAAAATGTTAAGTCCATCTATGTACCATTAAAAACTTAAGAGATAGGTAAAAATGAGATTAGTAATTTGATGAATTTAGATTAATTTGGCGATTAAAATGGAGAAGTGAATGAGTTTTTATATGAAGGGAAAACAGTATTACTAATTCATGGATTAGCTGGAATCGGCAAAAGTACTACAGCCAAAAAAATTGAAGAGTTTATTTGGAAATTACATGATAGTAATTAAAAAATTGGGAATTATGTACTAATACCTGTTTATATTTCATTACCCTCTTTAAAAAACCCTATTTTTTAAGCAGTAGAGGAATCACTTAAATAAGATGA